TTATAAAAGGGTACATGGACCTTAAACTTTTTCGTCATCGTTAGCGTACAATGTTATGCTTCATAATTTCAGACGAGGCAGCCTTGCTAGCACTCAATATAACTATGGTTAGTTTGATTAGTAATATTATCCAGAGGAAAGTGTGGTAGATTTTTAAAGAATCTTTGCATTTTTAACACAAGTCTTCAGAACATGAGTTTTACAATTGAGGAAGATCGAGGTACCTATGCTCATTAACTAAGTGTGATCGTTTAACATAATATTCAGGAGCAGAACAAGGAAGATTTTTACTGGATGTATGCATTTTCACAAATATGATTTAGAATAGTCTCCGACATTCAGCGGAACCATTTCCTAAGGCACAATGTAGCCTTGCTCGTCTAATTCACAACTATACTCTTAGCTTATCTGCTTACTAATCAGGGGCAGAATTCTTTTCAAATTATTTAACATTTTCTGTTATTAATTTTATAAGAAAAGCCCTATCATAACACACCTGACTTTGGAGCCATGCATGAATTTCACAATAAGGGAAGAAGCATTCAAGCATTCGACATAATCATGCACTAAGTTTGCTGAAAACCCATACTTCACAATGTGTATTGATTTTGACAAGCCCTTTCAATGGGTGTATATATATTTGACTTTGACCTTAGAATTTGACCCACGTCTTAAAAAAAACATTAACCTTTACCTTTTGAACGGTTTGCACTAGGGCTTTTATATTTCACAAGTATATTCTATATGACATGACCTTTAATTCCTTTGATAGCAACCATTCTGACCTTTTGACCTTGACCTTTGGAGATTAAACTTTAACCCTAGCAACAGAACTGTAGCTTTCCGAAAAAAAATATTGACAGATCGGAGAGATACAGTGCCACCAATTGAAAAAAGTATATATTTATTGCGCACAAAAATGTGCGCTGTTTCTCGATTTATTTCTCCATACTTTTAAACTGTTATCTCAAAATATTACTAACCGTGTGTTCCTAGTAACAGTAAGATCATATGAAGATTTCTCTTCATATGATCTTACTGACTTAGAACAGAACCGCAGTCAATCAAATGAATGGATTAACAAGATGTGTTTGTGAAAGACTATGCGCCCGGCGGCAACAAATTTATAAAACATATTTTTAGCATAAAGGTCACAGTGAAGGTCACAAGGTTAATGATCTTGGTGTCCTTTTAAAGATCTTGATTAGTGAAGTATGCATACCAAATATGAAGTCTCTATCTTTCATGGTTCAAAAGTTATGGTGAAGGTTCAAAAAGGCTATTTTTAGCATATAAGACACAGTCAAGGTCACAAGGTAATTGACCTTGGTGTCCTGTGAAAGGGCTTCATTAGTGGAGTATGCATGCCAAATATTAAGTCTCTATCTTTCTTCGTTCAAAAGTTATGTCGAAGGTTAATGTTTGCTGTCAAAAAAGCTATATTTAGCGTATAGACCACAGTCAAGGTCACAAGGTCATTGACCATGGTGTCTTTTAAAAAAGCTTAATAAGTGTTGTATGTATACCAAATATGAAGTCTCTATCTTTTATGGTTCAAAAGTTATGGCAAAGGTTAAAGTTTGCAAAAAAACCTCTATTTTTAGCATATAGGTCACAGTCAAGGTCACAAGGTCATTCACCTTGGTATCATTTGAAAAAGCTTCATTAGTGGAGTAGGCATACCAAATATAAAGTCTCTAACATTCTTTCGATCCGGGCGCATGAAAATAAACTCCTCCCACGGCTGTGTCATATATAATTCTCAACTTGCCTGCTCGTTGTACATATCGAGCACACAATCAATTTCGAACACACGCGATTTCAGAATGGACTCCAACCCATTCAGGTTAGCACGGGATTATACGAAATAGCTTGATTTACTGGGGGGAAATCGTATGGTGAAGATATTAAAGCTTCTGAACCAATGAATATCCTTGTAACAAGAATCGTAATATCTATATTTTTATGCGCCCGGATTGATAGATCCGGGGCGTATATTGTTTTGTCCTGTCTGTCTGTTTGTTTGTTTGCTTGTTTGCTTGTTTGTTTGTTTGTCTGCAAACTTTAACCTTCGCCATAACTTTTGAACCATGGAAGATAGAGACTTCATATTAGGTAGGCATACTCCACTAATTAGGCTCTTTCAAATGACACCAAGGTCGATTGCCATGTGACCTTGACTGTGACCTATATGCTAAAACTAGCTTTTTATCTGCAAACTTTAACCTTCACCATAACTTTTGAACCATGAAAGATAAGGACTTCATATTTGATATGCATACTCCACTAATTAAGCCCTTTCAAATGACACCAAGGTCAATGACCTTGTGACCTTGACTGTGACCTATATGCTAAAAATAGCTTTTTATCTGCAAACTTTAACCTTCACCATAACTTTTGAACATTGAAAGATAAGGACTTCATATTTGATATGCGTACTCCACTAATTAAGCCCTTTCAAATGACACCAAGGTCAATGACCTTGTGACCTTGACTGTGACCTGTATGCTAAAAATAGACTTTTCATACCTTTGCCATAACTTTCGAACTATAGAAGATAGAGACTGCAATTTTAGTATGCCTACTCCATTAATTAATCTCTTTTAAATGACTCCAAGGTCAATGACCTTGTGACCTTGACTGTGACCTGTATGCTAAAAATAGTTTTTTCGTACCTTTGCCATAACTTTTGAACCACACGAGATAGAGACTTCATATTTGGTATCCATACTTTACTAATCAAGTTCTTTCAAATGACACCAAGGTCAATGGCCTTGTGACCTTGACTGTGACATATATGTTAAAAAATAGCTTTTTTTATAGAAATTTTGTTGCTGCCGGGCGCATAGTGTTTCACAAACACATCTTGTTGAAATCTGTTTGTGATAAGATGACAAGACACTCGTCAGCAGGAGTTGGTATTGCTGTCTTGGGTCAAATAAAAATTTGATGAAAATTGTGACTGAAATCTGTCTTCAAAGACAAGGTTCGTCTCTGATATACATGACGATGGTTGTATATTATGTACATGTGTATTTACCGAAATGTGAAAAAAATAATATTCCAAAAGGCGACAAAAGATTATGTACAGTGGAAAAAAAGTGTAACAAGGCCTAGAAAGTTTAAATATCATTGTAAACAGCACGTGGGTATTGAAGTTTCTTTTTTGTTTGCTGAACAAAAACCAGTGAAGACACCCCCTTATAACTCTCAAGGGAACCAATCAGACACCGTTGAATATTTTAGAAATAGAATTCTTCACCATGAATTCGAAGAATCAATTCTTCGCGAGAAATGGAAGCATTTGATTGGCTGAATGAGTACGTTATGTTCTAAACATATTCTTTCACTGTTTCCACAATAAAACATTCCTTATAATTGTTGTTAATAGCCCTCCTTGCCCTGAAACTGACATTATCGAAAATTTCGTCTATTTATACTGCCATTTTGATTTGCAAAATAATTCATTCCAACGCGCTTCTTGCAGATGTCAACTACGAGAGTACTTGATACTAATACCGGTAGTAAGGATTTTTTGTAATCTATTTTTTTTTTTTTTTTGCAATTGAAGTGTAAAATTGGAAGAATTAATCCAGAACTAAGCGCAACTTTTTGTGTACAATAAATATACAGTTTTTACAAGGGGTGGCACTGTAGCTCTCCAGTCTGTAATTTTTTTTTTTTTGGAGAGCTAGTTTTGCAGTTACTTCAGCCTTTGCCATTGGGGCATCAGTTTTTCACAAACACATCTTGTTTTTTTTAATTAAACTTCCTGATTACTTGAATCGATATTTTCAAACACAATATATATTTTTTCTTCTGACACTACCTATTCATTGTAGTGACATTGACATAAAACAGATATTTCATTAGAAATTGGCACAATTGACATGTTTTGCTGGATTCGTAATTTTCCAAGTCGTGTGAAATTTACAAATTAAAGATGCACATATGTATTCTTGTATAGAAACTAAAATGTACGGCTCTTGCTCTATTTATTTAACACTGTCTGGTACATGTTCATCTGAACGTCTCGATAGACAGGCTTATAGAAAAGTGCACGCGATTTTCATGCCCTAGTTATCGAAGATTTGATGGCGCATCGTTTTAACTGTCTGTCTGTCTGTCTGTTAGTCAAAAAAAAAAAAAACAACTTAAAACTTGATCATAATTATTGACTGTTTGGAGATTCGCCTTTCATGTTTCGTTTCAGCTTTTGCAATGAAATTTTACATAACATCTCCCTACGGCCTTAAGAAGACCCCTATTGATATTGAGGTCAAAAAATCAAAGGTAATTAATTCCGTCTGTTTTATTATTTTTGTTACCGCGCGATATCTCGAGAAGCCTTTGAGCGTTTGCAATGAAACTCCCTATGGCCTAAGGAAGACCCCTATTAATTTGACGTCAAAGGTCAAGATCATAGATTCATATTTTTTGTCTGTAAGCCTTCCTATTTCCGGGCGATATTAGTATGTCAAGAAGCTTTTGCAATAAATATACCATAACTCCCTATGGTACCGTCCAGGCCTCTTAAAGTGCCCCGACACCCAACAGCTCCACGGACGCTCTTCTTTTGCCGGTCAGGCGCAGTGGTAGAGCGCCTGCTCTAGAAGAGTTGATCCTTACGTGGAGGGTTCGAATCCCATTGCTGGACGGGGACAAGTCCTTTGGATGAGACCGTATAAACCGAGGTCCCGTGTTGCAGTAGATGCTGGCACGAAAAAGATACCTTACTGCTTAATGGCCCTAGGTGCCGAGTATAGGTCTCCACCGGCAAGTGATGGCGTCTTCATACGAGTTTAAAATTCTGAGAGGGAAGTGAAACAACAAGCAAACTTTAGCGGGGGACAAAGATTCTCTGAATAAGCTTGTAGTGAGTTCTTTTCTCGTAATAAAACTATGTATAATACGATCTGAAAAAATAGAATACACAACATCGTACATTATATACATTTTAAAATAAGTTCATAAATATGCGGCGTAGGCAAAAACATGACAGATTTCCCTTTTATTACAAATGAGATACATTTAAAGCAAGTAATGTACAAAATGCGCGATGAAGACGAAAATGAATATATACATATGAGTTGAACACTTTTCTTTGTGCAGTCATTTAATGAAGTCATTGATGACGTCATTTTAAGGACATTTTCTCTCCACACAACCTCTTCCACCTTCGTCATATTCTTGTTTTGAGATCCACATTTGCTGGAAAGAACCCTGAAATAAAAAAATCTTAATGGTCAACTTTTCTTAATAATGATATGGGCGATAAACTTGATATATCAAGAGATTTTTCAACGTAATATTTGATTCCATCGTCTCAAGCTACCAGAATGGGAGAGGATCGTACATTTTGGCCGTGGTATGCGACGATGATTTGATTCAAGACGCTACGTTAACTCGTAGATCATACCCTTGTTTGGCTTCAAAATTAACAATTAACTGTGCTATTCCAGCAACAATACTGTTTCCAATTAACGAGAACCTCGACCTCATGGGTGAAGGAATCTATGACACTTACCAGAGAGGCGAGTATAGATCCGCCAATCCAACTGCTGAACCTTCGCTCTGCACTTCCGGTGGCGGATATAATCTTTAACCTCATACTCTGAAAAGAAATAAAGCAGACTCAAACACATGGGGTTTGGGGTCTTAGGTTTCAATGAAACTGAACAGGCGCTGTTCACACTATGCAGATGCACTTCATTTTGAGATAAAATGCAGTGATAGCAAATAATGGTAGAATAGGGTAAAAAAAAAATCAAGGTGATGTCATTAATACATGGAAAGGGGGGGTTCCTTTTCAAAAGGAAAATAGTCAATGCTACAATTTTTTCAGTTAAAGCTTTGGTCGGCGGGTTTTACCAATCTACCTAAACGACCCGATCCAATCTGAACTCAAGAGTTGGAACAAAATAACAGCAAAAAATACAGTTTAATCTCAAATCAGCGTTTTTGTTTCAGTGAGCATAATATTTTGACGTCAAGCAATCAACCAAATTTCAAGTAATTTACAATCCCTGACCCACATCAGATTTCAAAAGAGCAGACGAACGACTCAAACGGTCCAATAAAACAAAGACTATTCTCCCATAAATGTCGTCTGATGAAATTCAGCTTTGAACGCTAGATTGTGCTGCAGCGTCATTTTTTGTCAAATTAAACCGAATTCCCTTAGCACCCCGCCCCCGATTAACCCCACCAAAAGCCACGGAACACATAATACGTCAATGAATTACGCACCAAATCTGACTTTTCCTCCTGAAACTAGTTCTTGCACTCGAAAAGACAATGTTCAAAGAGAAATGTCATGTTTTCTTAGGCGGATTCGACATGACACGGGAAGGGAAATAATCATCAAAGATTGTTCGAAATTCACCAAAAAACTAAAATCTACACGAATCCTGTCGATAAGGTAAACAAAGTATGACGATTCGGCTCTGATAACCGTCTATTACGTAAAAGTGTCAAACTCTACAAAAATTAAGGTTTATCTGCTAATGAGGCTTTAATTAGGCGTTGCATAATGATTGTTTAATCACTTCTTTAACTCGTAGTGCAACAACTTTTGCCACGATCTACATCTTTTCTCCGAAACTTTAATGCATGCGAACATCAGAGTGCAAGATTTTATCACCTGCCTAAATGCTTAGTACACGTTACGATAACATTTTGACGTCGCGTTTTCCGACATTTTTCTCCAGCAGTGATATGGTATCAATTAAATAAAGATAACGATGAAATACTAGTACCTTGGATATTGCTACATCATCATGTAACTTTCACTTATACCGTGGCTTATATCCCCCCCCCCCTTCTCCTTCAATTTGGAACACTTAATTAATTAAGATTTCTACTTATAACTCATTACCTTTCTACTGAGGACTGCAGCAGCTTAGCAAGAAGAGAGCAGTGTTTCTGATGGTTTATACAATACTTGAAATTAGTACACACACGGGTCGTTCTTACATTTTCAGTTAGTGTTTGGTAACAACTTTTTCATAGAAAATTTATAATTATTAGAAAATTAATACATAATCAATTTATATAAATGAATATAAGGTACGCTCAATTCAAAAAATATGGGATTCTAGGTTATGTGTTACTGTGGTATCGCCTTATGATTCACGAATAATAAATAACGTCAAAATGTCGAAAGAAATGTCTTTATCTTTGGAAAAAAACCCGATACCCCCCCCCCCCCACCCCCTTATCTGAAGCACACATTCGACTTGCCCTGTATATCTCCAACTATACCAAACGACGCACACATAAGGGAGTTTCCGAAGATTTGTTTTACTAAATTTTTGGACAGTACTCTCACTACATCCAACTACTAATTAACTAGACAGCCAAATCTTTTCAATGTCATCAATCTTTCCCTATTGCTTGTTGTTTTACACGCGGGCTCCATGCAAAAGCACCAATTCCACTTGTATACTAAAGACTTGGTTTAAAAAAAAAAAAAATTATCTTCTGTTATCTGACATTTAGGCTGTAAGGAATTTCAAATGTCATTACTAAACATATTAAAATTGAACTGCTCTTTGGTGCGCCATAATGTCATCAAATGTTGCCATGTTATGAAACCTAGATGTTTCGTGCTGTGCCAAGCGACCCATCCTGTGCACATTTAAATACAGTGTATAGCAAAATCTTTATTTTTGACATTGTCTACATTTATTCAAATTCATATGTACTCATATATGATGAACATTTCCTAAAAATTTCAGCATTAATCCTAGTGCGAGTATAAATTTTAATTAAAAGGTGTTCCACAATTTTTATGCACAACCTTCATACAACCTGGTTTTTCAGACTGCTCAATAGGCATCGTCCCTTGGTATCTTATGCTACCAGGCCAACAAAATATATATACTTTTTTTATTTAATAATAATATGATTACATGTACTTGTTTGCTATTATCCGCCTGGTCATTGCAGTATAAAGGAGCTTGGTATTTTATTATTATTTTTTCTTTCTTCATATTGTATTATTATTATTATATTATATGTAATGCTTATATTTCATTGTGAACTATCCTGTATATCAGTACTTCAAATCTGAGAACTTTTACAAGTGAGGATCATGTCAATTTTGCATTGTTATAATCATGATTATATTGTTTGTTTCTTAATTGTATATGCCCCCATAGGGCCCTTGATTGGTGAATAAATAAATAATACAACATGTAGTTTCATATACATGTAAATACATTAAAATGATGTTATCGTATATAGAGAAATACACTGTTTTATCTAAAGAAGAAAGAGCATTTTCAGAGATTAAATGCATTTTCAATATATCGATAATCAAGATTGAAATTAATAAATCAATATCAACCAATGATCAATAAATCTCCAACCCAAATCCTGATCTATAGGAAAAGTGTTAAATTTAACTACAAGTACATGATCAATAGAGCCAGTTCTAACACACCCCCCCCAAGAATGCCTTACTCATGGGTCATGAGGTTTATAGTTCTGAAAGAGGTACCTTTTTTCATTATTATAATCATGCACTTAGTTAATATCTGCTGAACATCCATAAGGAAAGAAGAAGATTTTTGAGGAATTTATGCAATTTCACTACATAATCAATGGAACCCATCTATGCCCCCATTTATGGAGAGGGCTTATATAGGCTATGCCTGCTGCCCAATCCATTTATGTATTTGCATAATAAAATATGTTCAGATCAACCCATCTATGCCATGAATCTCATAATATTGAATGGAACCTCTTTGCTCATCATATCCATGCACTTCGTTTGTATGTTAAACATCCAGGGACAGGACTAGAGAAGATTTTGATGCATTTTCACTGCAGGATAAACAGAACCCCTTTCCTAAAACTAGAACCCTTGACCCAGGATTATGAAGTTCACAATTTTAGTCGGTTTCACCATTTGATACGAATTAACAAAATGATAACAGTTTGACAACTTGATGTCTACAAGAAAATAAAATTCTTGACGACTGCAATAATTTTGATTGTTTTGGACCTATCCCTCATGCCCCCAGACCAAAAAAAATCACTTTTATATATGTATTTCAAAATTGTACCCCTCCTTAAAATCCGCCAGCGGCAGTGCATATGCATGAATTTAAACATTTGCATACGTAACTCCTAATAACTTGACATCATTACATGTAGTGCAAACTAAGAATTTCTGAAACGAAGGTAGATAACTTACGGGTGGTGTTTTTGCACTCAGATCTCTGTTTAGTCTGTCTGTAAATCCCTGCATCAAAGAGTTACCTCCCACCACAATAACACTGTTGTACAAACTCTGTAAAAATCAAAGGACTGAAATAATTTACAAGAAACAACTTGCAAAGTAATATATCTAGGACTGTGTTTCCTACAACTGGAATTTAATTTCTTATCTTTAACATTTACATTATTAGATTTCATCTCTTTTTTTATTATAAATTTCAGTGGATAATTTAGTTTTTCATACATCATAGTACACAAACTGAAAAGGCTAACAAAAATTTTGTGGATTTGCAAACTGAAATCTCTTACAGGTCGAATGTCTATATCACACATCCCCACACTGGTTGTGACTGTGTGGCCGACACTCAACATGGAGTTTCCACTAGGAAGATCCTACAAAACAAATCACAACATTGGTTAAGAGGAAACAAAGATTTCAGCAACTCAGTTATAAAGAATATTTTTAATTGGTTCTAGGTCCCACTTTTACCTTTATAATAGATGGATCAAACAACCCTTCACATGTTTTGAATCTCTCAGCACCAAAATCTTTGTTGTAGCCATTCGGGAACTCATAATGCACTGTGGGCATACTCTCAGCCTGGCTGTTCAAAGGAAATTAGAAAAATAAAATGTACATCTACAGAAATATCAAGTGAATCTACAGTGGAGCCTCATTTATCCGGACGCTTTGGTTCCCAGTCAATTTGTCCGGATATGTGAAATGTCCGGATACCTGAATTACCAGTTAAACAAGACAAAATAACATTTAAAAATTCCGTTCTGATGAAAATCGTCCGGATACTGAAGCATCCGGATATCTGGCGTCTGGATATCTGAAGGCTGTATATTAAAAACATTGAGAAAATCATTTAATGATAACCTTTAATATTAAATACCATAAATTTATCAAAAAGGTTAAATATATCTCCTAGCTTAATACAAAATTGTTCCTAGTACAGATGAGCATTCCATAGCTCCAGGTAAGATAAGAAAGTGAAACACTCACGCCTGATCATATGGTTGATCTATAACTTGTAGAACTGAGGCAGCAAAGTCTTGTAAAACATCCTACAATTATACACGGAAATTAATGGAAAAAAAAATATTGACAGGAATAGCTTGAATTTTAAGGGTATGTTTTACAAAACATTCTATACTAAAATAAAATAATTTTTTCATATACTAGTGGAAACAATAGGTAGTAAAAATAAATTATTTTTGTAAAATCAAACAAAGGTACATTTAAATAATTATTATACCTCCCCCGCTTGAAAAGCAGGAGGGTATATAGTAATCGGTATGTACGTCCGTCTAGCTGTCTGTATGTCCATTCGTCCGTCTGTCTGTCTGTTACGCTTTGTGGTACCCATCTCTTATCTGCAACTCCTCTCAAACCACTGAATGAAATTTGATGAAACTTTCACAGAATCTTTATTACACATTGCCATTGTGCACCTCCTATTTTACTTTTTGATCCGACACATATTTTGGGTTTCCCACAGCAAAACAAGGACACTGCCATTTTATACATATGGGAGGCGGGGGGTATAATTTTGTGAGCTCATTGCTCACAGTACCTCTAGTTTTCTTTACGCCTGAAGTAACAAAACTTCAAAATGATACCATACTTCGCATAGTTTAAATACTATGTCTTTAATTGTATGACTGAGAAATTAACAAAAATGAGTAACTTCCAAAGTTGAAAGGATTAGGAGTTTTTTTGGCTGACTGAAAAAAAATCTGTAAGAAAAACAATTAACTTTTAAGGCTTTATATAGAGTAAAATTGAGTAATAGAACTACAACTAGCATTTGGCTCATATAAATATTACCTTGACCATGTAATTGTGAAAAGATTTTGTAACTTCTGGGATGTCTTTCTTTGTCCATTTAGGAGGATCCATGAAATTTACAGCTTCCTGTGGTGAATAAATTGTGCAAACAATAAATTTAGACTGGAAAAAAATCATTTCTTATCTTTTTAAATTTTGATAAGGCCTATATGAATAGTTTGTTTCCGGTTCCCCGACCAACCCTAAACTATAGGAGCTGACCCTGAAATTTTCTTCTCTCAATATCTTTCCAGGAGTAAACCATTCCAATTTTACAATTAGAAATCCCAATCATGATCACTTCTGTGTTTGAGAAAATGCAATTGATATGCACATTAATCAGAAATATTTTGACAGCAATTTCCCTTCGGGAAAATAGCAGCGTGCCTGCCAGTAAAATGTTAAAATATAATAAATTTTCCTTACCCACCTACCCTATTTTTTCTCAAGTTGGAATAGGAAACACACTATTTATCTATCTTGACCTAAATCATTTGATAATTGCAGATTAACAGCCCTTTATCATACCTTGCTTTTTATCATATATGGTGGTATAACTTCTATCTTCTGTTCTTCCATTAATTTTCTACACTCCATTGTGATAAAATCCCCTGCTAATGGTGACTTCACTATGGCTAAATAGGGAATACAGTATTTATCATTATACTTTTTTTATTCAGGATATATTGCCTTAATGGTGAAAGAGTTATGTGAATTTGATTTTCTCAAAAAATGCTTTGAGGAATTTTTTATGAAGTCTTTTGCAATTGCTTAAGACTTATGACATAAATATATTGAATAACCAAAATATTTTCCTTTCACCTTAAAAAAAGGACATAAACCTTTTAAGACTAGAGTAATATTTTTTAATACAACAAGAAGCTTTGAAATGGTACTGTAAAAGTAATAGATGATGCAATTAAACCATGCTCTACACCATTCAAAACACACTAATACCAGCATATACAGGTAATTTGTTAAAGTTGATATAGTTAGATAGCAAAGAAGATGAAATACCTTGCTGTATAACATATCCATCATACACAGGTACAGCTGTTGTGTGGGTGGCGCCAGAGTCTAACACTAAACCTGTAGACCGGCCATTGGCAAAGCTTTTACAAGTATTAAGGAATATTTCAAAATTTTACTTTAATGTGTTTTTTTTTTTTTTTTTTTTTTTTCATTTTTTTTTTTTTAATGCTTTATTTCCATGCTTTCAATTTAAACATCAAGTACATTTATCAAAATTGCACAGAAAATTTTTCACATCCACCCACTTTCGCACTTCACTCACACCAGTAGTACATCAATTTTTGAAAATTTTTACACACTTTATATGGATAAAAAAGGGGGGGAAAAAAAGTATGCTACATTTGATCTAAATATGTTTTTGTTTTTTTCAGAGGATTACATTTCCAACATAATTTTCCAATGTGACCATGCAGACTCAAAATTTTCTACAGTTAGATTTTTAACAGATATGTACTTTGGTCAACCTTATAATACATTTTTAAATGGGCAATCAGCCCATTTAAATTAGGCTTCTTTGCATTTTTTAAGCAGTGAAAAATGTACTGTTTAGCATATAAAATTACAAAATTTATGACATAGTTTGAATTTGACAAAGGTAACTCTCCAAAGATTACATTTTGAATATTAAAACCTACACGTTTTGATGTATAATTGTAAATATGTAGACTAAGATCATTCCAAATATGCATTACATCTTTACATATAAACAGACTGTGCAATATGGTTTCACATTCATTGTTACAGAATGTACAAATATCATTTTCTTTTATTTTAATTTTTTTAAGGTAATAATTTACAGGTAGTATTCTATGCAAGATTCTAAATTGTAACCACTGGATAGCTGAATTTGAGGACACCTTAAAGCACACATTAAAAACATCTCTCAACTCCATTTCTTGAAATCCTTTTAGAAGCATTTCTGAATTCCATTTTGAAAAACCAGTTGGCTTTACATTCTTTGTGTTAATACTTTTATAAATATCTTTTGAACATTTATCAATCAATATTAATCTTTTGTATAACAATGGCAAAAATGGACGCTGTAGCTTTGAGAAGCCTACCCTAGAGAATTTTGTATCTTTTAAAAACTTTGAAATAGCACTTATAATGCTGTTATACTGCATAAAACATACATGATGAATGCTATATTTCTCCACAAAATTTTCTCTAGATAAAAATGACCCATTGACATCTAAAAAATCATCAATAATTTTTACATCATTTTTGTACCATTCTTTATAAAAAATACTCTTTTTATTCACTTTGATACAAGAGTTTAGCCAAACTGGGGTTGATAAAATTTCAGACTGTGTAAGATTTGGCTTGTCAAAACAATTATCAGTGATGATGGATAACCAAGACTCTAAGACATCATTCCAAAATTTGTTTTTTGTACATTTCAACATTTTCAACACAAAATCATCACCCATATTCAAAATCTTTTCCACAACATCTTGTCCATAAACTATTTCAAAAATACTCAACCATGAATGACTTCCTTTAATAATTCTTTGAATCCATGAACATTTTAGAGAAAGTATAAAATTTTTAAGATGTACCATGTTAAGGCCACCCAATGTCTGGTGCTGTGTAGCAACAACACGTTTTATTTTATCACTTTTTGACCCCCATACAAATCTAAACAACTGCTGTGTTAAATTGTCTAAGATTTCTTCATTTGGATTTGGTAATGAAATAAATAGATGGTTTAATTTTGGTACAATTAAAGTTTTTACAACCGTTACCCGTCCAATGGGAGTTAGAATACGTCTTTTCCATTGCTGAATCATTGAAGTGATTTTTGGCAATTGAACTTTGAAATTTATATCAACAATTTTTTCTAGGTCGACAGAGAAATTTATTCCTAACAAGGAGAAATTTGTTGCCCCCCAATCTAGCTTCCATCTTGAATGGTGGAAAACCTCAGCAGAAAATTTTTTTGAGCCTATCCAAATAATTTTAGTTTTTGTACTGTTTATTTTCAAACCTGAAATTTTTGCATATAATTCCAATGTATCAAGTGCAGCATACAGAGAACCCGCAGAACCATCAAGGGCAAGAGAAGTGTCATCAGCAAATTGAGATAATTTATGTTCCTTATCATTTACAACAATACCCTTTATATCATGGTTTTGTTTAATAAGAATGGCTAAAATTTCTGCACAGAGAAGAAAAATGTATGGAGAAACAGGGTCTCCCTGGCGACATCCACGCTGGACTGGAAATTGCTTAGAAAGAAAACCGCTTTGGAGTATAGAAGCTTCAAAATTTGTGTTTAAAATTTTTACCCATTTAATTATATTTTTACCAAAACCAAAAAAGTGTAAAACCTTGTAAACAAAAGACCAGGAAATGGAATCAAAGGCCTTCTCAAAGTCAATGAGAACCAACAATCCAGGTATATTATTAATTTCAGTATAAGACATAAGATCATAAATAAATCGCGTGTTTTCCCCAATATATCTCCCTTTCATAAATCCTGTTTGTGTTTCTGAAATTAGAAGATCGAGTGTAGATTTGATTCTATAACTAATACAACCAGATATTAACTTATAGAATACGTTTAAAAGAGTTATTGGTCTCCAGTTTTTTAAGAGATGTCTTGGCTTGTCTCCTTTTGGCAAACAAGATATTATACCAAGTCTCTGGGATATTGGAAGCTGTTTCTGAAGAAATATTTGATTGATTGCTTTTAAGATAAACATTTTAAGATCATTCCAGAAAAACTTAAAGAATTCAGTTGTAAATCCATCACTTCCAGGTGATTTATTATTATTCATATTTTTCAGTACCAGAAAAACCTCCTCTTCTTCTATATCTTTATCTAAGATTGATGTTGTTTCTATGTCTAACTTTGGAACATCATGGTATTGAATGGTATTAGAGAGATCTACATCTAACAATTCAGAATCTGCGTTTTTATATAAAGTTTCATAATAATCTTTGACTTCGTTTAGAATATCAGATTGTTTGTATATAATACCTTTGTCTAGAGTTTCTACCTTTTTTATTGTTTTGTTCAGGAAATTTCTCGACTCAAGATGACAGAAATATTTTGTTGGCTTTTCCCCTTCTTCCACCCACTTGGCTCTAGATCTGATCATATTACCTTTTAGTTTTTCTTTTCTTAAATTTTCAAGAGCAGATTTTTTTTCTTCCAGTAAAGAGAAGTCAGGAATTGCATTTTTGTTTTCCAAATACTCTATTTCCTTAATTAATGATTTTTCTAATTTATCTTTTTCTCTTTTTTTGAAAGTTGAATATGATATAGTTAACCCCCTGATTTCCATTAGTAGTAAGTCAAAAAATACAGAGTCATCAACTGAAATCTCTACTTCTACTCCATTTAGGTCTTGAGAATACTGGTTTTTAACTAATTGTATTTTTTGTTTCACCTTTTCAACATACTCTTTATCATGTAATAGATTATTGTTAAATTTCCATAGTCCACGTCCTCGTTCAAATAAATTAAACTTTAACTCAATTGTAACTGAAGAATGATCAGATCTATACCCAGGTTTTATATCAAAATGTTCAACAATATTAGATAGGTTTTCTGATATAAGGATGTAGTCAAGACGACCCTGTTTAACTGGATTTTTTCTTCTCCATGTATAGACTTTTTTATCTGGGTTAAGTATTCTATAATAGTCAACTAAATTTAAATCATTCATTATTTCAATAAGTTTATCTCTGGCTTTGGGGTTAATTAAATGTGTCTATGTTGGGATTCAATGCCAGATTAAAATCTCCGCACAGGATAAAATAATCATTATCAAATTCTAAGAAATAGTCCCTAACTTTTTCATAAAATTCAGGGCTATCGTAATTTGGCCCATAAATATTAATAATAGTAATTCTGTTTTCATCAACACTGACGTCAAGTGCTAAAATATTACCCTCATTATCTTTTTTCTCCCTGTGGAGCTTTAGTTCAAAATTATTATTGAAAAAAATGGCTACCCCTCTAGAGTTTGACAAATATGAATTAAACACACATTTATAACCCCACTGAGTCTCTACACATGATTCTAAATCAGTTGTAAAATGGGTATCCTGAAAACAAACTATAGAATAATCTTTTGTTTTATAAAAGTTTAGTACATCTTTTCTTTTTGATTGTGTATTTAACCCTTGACAATTGACTGTTGCTATTTTTATCGAACCCATATCGGTGTAAAAATAATGCTAAGTACATCACATTCATACTGGCCTTTCATACGAACAATCTCACTGAAAAACATAGTACAGAAATGAAAAGGTAAACAAATGAAAAAAAAGAAAAGACAAAAAATAAATGAATAGGAAAAGAAAAAACAAAAAAGACAAAAAAAAACGTAAAATCTGAAAAATAGACTTTAAATTGACACTAAAGTCAGCCGTGGATCCAAACTAGCAGACTCAAACCGGAAGTTTATGGTGTGACAGTTATTAACGAAGTAAACGATGGCGGAACATTTTTTCCCGAAAAGAAAGTCACTTACTAATTTTGTTGATCTTGTCGTCTAGATCATCTGCTATGTCAAATTTCGTTCTTTTTTCGCTTCCCTCGATTTTTGCATAAATGGAACCGTTAAAGTACCATGCAGATTCGATGTCTTCTCGACTTAGAAGTTTACTGATAAGTTCCCCGTTTGCTTTAGTCACATCGTCCACCAATTTCAAACCGTTTCCTAGCTTCTTTATATCTGAACGCTTCCTCATGACTCTGGCCTTGGCATCTGAGTTGATCACTTTAACAATAATGGGCCTTGGCTTTCCTTTCTCTCCTGGAATACGATGCGCTGCTATTATTTCGCGATCTTGGAGTTGTACACCTGCGTTCTCCTGAATTAACTCTTTTACAACCCTCTGTGTGTTTTCTTTCTCCATCTCCATAACTCCCATGATCTTAAAATTATATTTTCGTGAGTATTGTTCATTTTTATTACTCAGAGATAAAGCTTCACCCGCAATTTTTTCATTTATCTGCACCCTCTGTTTTAATTCTCTGATTTCTTTATTGCTCTCCGCTAATTTCTCGGCTAGTACTTCTGCCCTTGATTCAAGTTTTTCAATATCTCCCGCTGCCTTATCTTTTTTCTTTTGAAACTCGACTTTTAATGCCTGGCACTGTTCTTCTACTTCTGCTTTTACACTCTCATCTCTTTACTTTAATGTTTTAATCATTTAATACATGTAGAAACTATAATCTGCCAAAAATGTACCATTTAAGACCCTTTCTTTCAACACCTGTCTTTTGTCCGCTTCTCTGCCTATCCATTTGTGTGAAACTGACATCTTTTGTTATATACTAGATGATTCAAGATGGCTATACTACTGTACATTTTAATACATCTTCCTGGATAAAAAATTATTTGGTCCTACGTGTTTTTAATCATTTAATGTTGGCCTTTGATTTTAAAAAAAATTACAGTTTTCATTATTACTGGTAGTACTCAATTTACTAAAATGGGACATTGAACATGAACACTGAATTTTGTCATTCATCTGTTTCATCTGTAAACTTTGACTCAGCCTTTTGAAAATGTTTCTTGGAACAGTTGTTTTTAATGTATAATAAATGTACTTGTAGTTACTTGTAATGTGCCTTATAGCTGTTTAAAAGGATACGCAGAAAGAACAGCATTTTTACATAAGAAGAAAGCTGGAACATTGTATTTCTCGAACATGATTTCTGTTATCTTTTCTCTCTTTGCTTTGGTGTTCCACTAAAAAACAAAGAAAAAAATTGTTTTACACATGTTTTGCCAGATCCATCAAGTTCTTTATCTTTTCTACAGATCTGCTGCTATACTCTGGTTTTAAAAAAGTAACAAACTGCTAACTTCTGTTAAAATCTGTGGAGATGAAAATATGTACTTACTGCAGGCTCTGACATCATGACTGGATGGAATTGTGACTCGGACTTGATATGCCTGCTGTATGTGTGATCAAGAACTTTCTCAAAAACCTCCCAGTTATCAACTACAAAGAATTGAACACTTTAAGTTATAAATCCAATATAAATTTCGTAACCTTTTGTGAGATCCATTATGATATTGTTCTGAATGGTACTCTTACATTTTTAGATCAAATATTTGCACTGTAGCATAGTATTATCATATCTTCATTTCTTACTCATTCCTTCCTTCAAGATTGGGGTTATCTCCATTCCTTTCCGTGGCACTTTAATGGAATTGGTGTCCAAAAAGTACTTCTTATCTATGCTTTTATCATCAGTTTCCATTGCTGTATCAACTTCATCAATGACCCCAATATGAGTTGGTAACTCTGCCTATCAATATCAATAAAAGGGACAAAGTGTATATAACACCAGATATATTCAAACAATGCATATCAACGCAACATAAAATTATTCTTTGAACAGTAAAGAATTTGATAAATAAATCGAACTTTACAAGTTCACAACTTATGCAAAGTAGAAGAAAGTTGAAGTAAAGAAAAACTATGCTATAGTTAAAAGTTCTAAGCACTTTGTAGCATGTAATAAAAGCAAAAAGTAAATTTGACATTTACAGTATTGACTTTACTTGAGGCTTCATAAGAGTAAAATTTCTCAACAATACATCAGTCCTCACCTTTGGAGAATCCTCTCCCGCATAGCCTGCTCTGAAGGAGTATGACCCAACATCAAAAACAAGCGCACCGACTTCGTCTGAGGAAATACAACAAGAGAGAAAATAGTTAACATTTCGAGAACACAAAGCATGGATCAGCAGGCGTTTATATCTTTACAACACAAAGATTCTTACCTCCACCGTAAACTCCTCCACTCATATTCACTATATTTTTTTTCGAAACACTGCAATTTAGGTAGGTTTTTCAATATTAGTTAAATTATTATCGAAAACAAAGCATACAAGCCGGCGGAAGTACGGATTTTAGGTCGATTGTACAATGATTAGTTCGCATTCATTTTATAATAGGTTTTTCTTTTCCCTTTCCTTAATTTTCTCTCTCTCTCTTTATATTATTATAATTTTTCATAACAATAAAACTTTTTAAATGCTTAACTTTTATTACATTTGTTTTATTAAAAAGGTTATTTTTGTATTTAAGCCTCCATCTTAGTCTCGTTCAACCAGACGCTCGGCTGTCTCCGTGAACTCCGACCAGCAGAGAGTCTGGTAAAGAATCACGTAAGCGTTTGTAACCGTCAGAGGGCGCTATCTTGTTTTCATTTTAAAAATCCTTTTTGTAATCAAACGTTAAAGACGTTTCTTCTGCTGGATTGTGACTTTATATTAATAAACTGGTCTTTAATTAGGGATACCATACGAGAAATTACAATATCAATCGAAATAACGTGTATTACGCAGGTAGGGCTACTCTACTTTCACTTTTGTTTTCGTACGGAATATTTGCAAGACATAATAAAACACACTTACCTATAACTGATGGACATTACCGTAAACAATTCCTCTCTAACGGTTTTAACTTTTAAACATATAACTTTCACATCTTTAAGTTATTTTTCTGCTGATTTATCATGTATTTGTTTAAATCTTGTAGGTGTGTTCTTTTCAGCCAATCAAAAACTTTACCAGAATTTCGGTAAGCCTCGTTTTGGCGTTACAAACGATATCACGTATCTTTACCAGACCCTCTGGGTGGTCGGAGATTTACGGAGACAGCCGAGGGTCTGGTTGAACGAGACTAGCCTCCATCTACGAATAAAACAATGTACAAGTTAACAAAGAGCTCTTGAAAAATAAATTCTGAATAGATTTTGGCAAGATATCCGGACAACAATACAAACGTAGAACTGTATGTATTTATATGAATTATTGCTGACAACAATGAATACAATTTAAAATAACAAGTTCTTAGGATAAATATTTTGATGATGACACCCAGATTGAAAAGAAAAAAAAAACAACAACAGTAAATCAAGTACTAAAATAGGATAAACAATGATCATAACAGGCCTGCTGCCTTGGCTTTAATCTATATTTCAATATGTATGCTATACATATAAAAATATGTTTTATGCATGTGATACATATTGATATACCGGTATAATAAAAACTTAGGCACCTGTGAGGATAGTGAAACTATACACAGTGAAACTCGGATATAACGAAGTCAAGCTGGGACCTATGAAATAATAACTTCGCTATATCCGTAATTCATTATATTCATATTAGGAATATGTTAAATTATATAGCTTGGGATCCAAAATAAGTTCGCTATATCCTGAATTCGCTATATCTGTGTTCGTACTAAACAAGTTTTGCTGTACAGGTGAACTTGTGTATCTCAAACATCAGTTATAATCTTGGATTTGTGAATGTATTCAAGTCCCAATCACTTTTGATTTGGGTACTTTATCCTCAATATCTCAAATTCTCAGATTGGATTGTATCTTAAAGTTTTCCTTGGTCCCAATACTGTCACACCGAGTCCAGGATAACAGGGTTTGACTGTATCTTTACATCACAACATTAATTTTTTTTTTAGCATAGAATAATTGTTTTTTAAATTATGTGTGTGAATGCACTGTCAAACAGTGGATTTCTTGGAACTCAATTAAAAACCGAGACCTCTGAGGGTTCTATTGAGAAAAAATGTTTGAGACTTCCAACTTCAATTAAGTTATTTACAGACATTTGTGTGTATAAAGATATATACCTTGATTTTTTTTTCTTTCAGGTTGTAAGCAAAATGTCTATCACAGACAAAAAAGAGACATTATTTGAGCTTAAATCAGAAAACAGCTCTCAGTTTTCTAACAAATGCAAAGACATTTTTGGAAACCTAGAGAAACTTGAAAGAAAGCATGAGGAATATGAAAAATCTAGACCTTCAGATGATGACAGGGGTGGAATCAAAACAGATCCAAGTGATGCTGACACAGAGACAATTACCCCAGCTTTCAAAGTACCTCAGTCAGGAAGTCTTGGGACAAGGGGTGGGAGACCATGGAGAAGGAACCCTGATAGGAGAGAAGACAGGGATGGGAACCCTCCACCTTGGAGGGGTGACAGTGAAAGAAGATCGGAGAGGCGGAGAGATGAGAGAGGAACTGACAGCATCCGACGTGAACTACAGCCAAGGCAATTTGTGAGCCACAGAAGAGGGCATCCTTACCATAACTACAGGGGAAATAGGAGGCAAAAGACCCCAGATTATAAAGCTCATCCAGAGAAATGGACCAAATATTCACTGGAGGATGTTGGAAATGAGGATATGTCTGAATCCTCAAATACAAGGGCAGCTTTCGCTTTCTTGGAAGAGCGAAGAAAATTAAGAGAAGGTGAAATGAAAGCAGAGGCAGTGAATACTGAAGACACTTCCTGTTCGAAGGGAATCTTTATGTTTAAGAAACCAGTGAAGAATGAAAGCAAAAAGGACACATCAAAAGTTTCTTCTAAAGTTTCCCTTCAGCAAACAAATTCAAATGATGATGAAGAAGATATAACTTTATCGTATGAAAAAGAAAGTGTAGAAGTGTCTGGTGCAGCTGATGTTGAGAAAGTGGAAGTTGAAAAGGTGACATTTAAGTCTCATAAAAAGTCAAAGAGGAGCATCAGAAGTCGTGATACAGATGATGATTGATTTAAACTCATCAATTCATATCAAACGTTTCTTTATCATTTTATCATGTTTTAGATTTGCATTCATTTAGACTGTCCATCATTATAAAAACATATGTATCATGTTTATGGTATACCCCGGTATGTTGGTTAGAAATTGATAAATAAAAATTTTGAGTAATATACAAAGTTGCAGTAAGTTGTCTGAATTGTCTCTCTATTTCTCATCTAGATCACGAAAGCACTTTTATTTAACAAGGGGCACATTGGCCATACTGCTTACCTAAGTCACTGTTGCCTCCTTTTTTTCATCATGGAAAACTGATCACTTAATTTGGCCCCACCCTGTACCTGGGGGACATCTTTTTAAAAGAGACACTATCTGAGGATGCTTACATATCTATATGACTAACCATACCTTTGCTGTTTTTGAGAAGATTTTTAAAGATTTTTCTAATATATACTATGTAAAAACTTTGTTCCCCATTTGTGACTCCTCCCTACACCTTCAGCAATGAATGGGGTAGGGGTGATGTTTTTAGAAAAAATGAATGTACCCAATGTAGTGAAGCTTTCATTTTCAACTGCATGTATTCTGTTCACCAGGATTTTCAGAAGAATGATTTTCAAAAGGCATTGAAATTTTCCTTAATTTTAAATGTCTCCCCTTAATTGAGGGTGTAGCGAATAACCTCCAAAGGATGCATTGTGGCCAATTTGATTAAAATCAGACCTTCAATCTGCTCTGCTCACATAGATTGCTCTATACTGTGCACAAGGTTGTGTGGCAAGCAGATCAAAGGATCTGATTTTAATCAGATTGGCACTGTGGCTAGTTTGGTTGAAACTTACACAGTGATTCTGCAAATGTGAAGCGTGAACTGACAGATGCATGGATGATGGGAAAAATTTGTCACAGGAAAGGAGAAAATGCATGGATGGACATGGGAATCAAACCTGGGACTCCTACATCACTTGTCAGGTGCTCTACAAACTGAGCTACCCAGGCCAATGTCCATTGCCCAGACCTTTAACACTTTAATCAGAAAAGTTTACTTGACCTTGAGCCTTCAGCTCAGGCGTACTAAAAATGTATGATATACAAGACAAAATGGGCTCAAAATCAACTGAGACTGCCTGTCCCTGCTAATTTTTGTTTTTGAAAACATCTGCCCTTGTTTGCTTTTTTCTTGAATATCTTTTATTTTGCACTCCACTTTAACAAATGCAGGGGTTTACATTAAATCACATTTAAAAAGTTAACGGGTATGTTTGCCCTCTCCTACCTCACTGACTAAAAATGGACCTACACAAAACTTTTTTAAATCTTCAGGACACAAGTATTTTTAATTAATTCCAAGTTTACCTAGCCAAAAATCATCTTTTGCAAGTATTTTTATTTTTTGAAAAAAATTCCCCTTACCTATCTACCCAAATTTTTTATCCTGAGTTGGGAGAAGGCAAGCAAATATTTTTTTAATCTATGTAAAATAAGATGTTAGATCCGCTCGCATTCTCGCTACACTAACATCTAACATCCCATAGATGGTCACATCAGAGGTCAAACTCAGAACAAATCTTGACTTATTTGCTTCAACAAATATATGCTGATTTTGCAGGCAATGATTTGATTGGTTGATAGAATTTGACCTCTGACATGAACCTCTATGGGATGTTGTTAGATGTTAGTGAAGCAAGTATGTGAGCGGATCCAACATCTAATTTTAATTAGACTGAAGATAATATAATCCAGGAGAGGATTTCACACAGATATTTTTGACCTTGACCTTTGATGAACAAAAGTAGATCAAGCTCACTGCAGACCCTTTATCCATTGACACTCCTTAAAATTTGAGCCTAACCGAACCATGTGGAGAAAAGATATGCTCTAGAATTAATCAACTTATAGATGCTTTTATACAAATATGATACTAGTATTATGTAAAAAAAAAGAAAAAATGTCAACATATACACGTCACCCTACAGTTACCTTTGAAATTCCTTGATTAAAAACAAACAACATTTCATATTTTGTTATGTTTTATTGGTTTTTTACTTTTATTTTTTATGTGGCTAAATTTCTACCTAGCCTTCAGTTAGTTGAGAATAGTTATCTGTGAAAGCTTTATACATAGCAACATCTAAGGCACAGACATATACATGTAGAATGAGTTTTTACAATGACATACAATGTAAATGGACATACATTTTTGTATACAGATACAGGTATTAACTAATGATTCTTAGTTTATAATTAAACATTACAATCAGAAGATTAAATCTTAATATATAACAAACTAAATAATACATGATAGTAAAGACTATGCAATTTAACCAATTTGGCAGTCAGCTATGTACCATACACTATCAAAAACATTCAAAGATATCTCTGTGGTTGTTTTGGGGGGGATAGAAATTTTCACTGAATCCAAGAAATGTGCAAAATCTCCCAAAAGTTTCATTGACCCCTTTTAAAATTAAATCTTTTTCATTAAATCTGGGACAAAAGTATAATATCTTAACAATAATTCCAGGCCAAAATACATGAAGTTCTATCTATGACTTCAAAACTAGAAAATACTTTAAAATATTGTCACATTAACAATGTGTATAAAATACAGAACTAACCTATGAAATATGTTACAGAGAAATACCCGTTGTAAAAAAAGCACTCTTTTTAAAACATTTTGGGGAAAAGAAACAGGGGAAACAAACAAACAAACGTAGATTTCATTTAAAATAAAAGATATCAAACATAAAAAAAGAAAGATAAATAAAAATATGCTTTACTGGTTTCATAAAAAGGTTTGCTTCCTTGGAAGACAAGAGTTGAAATTTTCAATGTGATATTTACATGCCATTCCCAAAATAGCATTCATCAATAATTAGGTATATAGTTATTATTATATTACTTGTCAATAAAATATAAACATGTGAATAACATCGTCTTTAAAAGGAAAAAAATAAGGTAATTTTAACATAATTTGGCTAAATGTTCTCATAAAATTAACAGACACAAATAAAATTTCAGCATGCATCAATGTGAAAAAGAAATATCACAATTTCCATCTCTGTCACACAGAACTAAAAAAACAAAAAAATTTGAAAAAAAAAAAATTTCCTTGGCTAAAAATTTAATATATATACAAGCAGCACTATGGAAACCAAACACAACAAAATAAAATCTAGAAAGCTTATCACAAGACAAAAACATCACAAAGTGTGCAATAAAGCAGTGCTTTTCCATTAAGTCTCTATTATAATATTGAACTGCCCATAGTGTGAAAGATTTACACAAAATTTTTTGCAACGGATCTTAAAAATTTACTAGCATTGCTGCCTCTTACAAAGTATACAGACTAAAACAAAAATTTTAGTGACAGAAATTCTACCAAATTCATTCTCTGAAATCAATCACACAAAGTGCTTCAATTTACCCTTTTTTCATCAAAATAATTTTTTATTTTCAGTGTAGTTCGATAACTCATCAAATATGGCACAGAAAAATTGTATATACATAAAACATTTCACATGATACAATTTCAACAGATACAACCAAATATTTACTGAATACAAAATCACTTTATACATCGATCTGTTGGTCACTTGTTAACCCACGTTGGCAGTATTTAAAGATTTGTTGAAACAAGACTAAAACAGAACAGAGTATAGTTTAATTCCCATTTACATGTATCTCATTGTGCTTAACGTTTCAAATGATAAGAAAAGGGATCAAGAGGTATACATGTATGTGCAAAATAACTTATTTCGCATAAAAATGAAAAGTAATGCACCATGGCTTACATAAGATATCACAGCAAAATCTTAATTTTAAGTACAGTATACATTACCATTTTGCAAAATTATTTATCTTGTATTTGACCTTTTAGCACATCCTTAATCTGAAATGAATCCTTGATCTTTGACCCCCCTTCCCATCATGTCCTTGAACTAAGACAATACCTTTACCACTTTAACCATTAAAGGACTAATGATATCAAAAGGTAAGCTAACATCAAAACTGCAGAAAGACAAATCCACAAAAAAAATACCAAGCCCATTTCTATTGAATGTCTAATGAACAAAAAGAAAATTATCATTCCATGATTGAGCACCAACCAGATGAATCAATAATGCCAAATTCAGAGAGAAGTGGGACAAAGTGACCAACAGATGGTTACTGACCAAGATGACTGCTCCGCAAGAGGTAGAACGAAATTATTTAATGACCGTGAACACATCATCAGCTGGAGCGAAACTGAACTCAGCAGAGCACCTCTTCACACAGAGAAATCAAATAAAGTCCACACAACAGTATAGTGTCAGAAATATACAACAGTAGTGGGGGAAATATACAACCTTGTTCACACAAAGTGGGTTGTCCCAATAGAAAATCTCTTATGAACAAGAGGTACATGCTTTTATACTATAAGGTATGTTTTTTCTCTATTTTTTCGTTTTTGTACTTCAACATGCATGTGCTCATACTTTAAACATTGGGCCTAAAGTCAAATATGAATTTCTGTACATATTGAAAAGTTTTTCTTTTTTTAATCTTTTTGCTCTAACAGATTAAATTACCATAAAACTTAAAAATTCATAAAATTTTAAAACTAACTTTCAACATAGCACTAAAAACTAAATCCAATAAATTTTCTTGAGTACAGATTGATTCGTATTTTGAACTGAAATTTTCCATTGGGACAACTCACAGTATACAAAAATTTTAAAAGTGCATATAACACGTTTACATAGAGTGAAAATCTGCATAAAAATCAGCAAAAATTATAAAGTATACAAAACATTTCTTCACAACAAATTCTACAAAATGCCAAATACTCATTCGAAAGATGCCCATTTTGAACCTGCTAAATAATGAGGATATGAACTGATACACCAATAATAACAAGTGCCCAAGTTTTCTATGTTGGCAGGAAGAGATTCTACAAGAGGTTATACAAAGAACTTATCATACAATGCTGATTTCTTTTTTTCATATGCATATAAATACTGTCAAACAATAACAAGAGAAATTACGTATAAAAATTTGTCATATCACACACATCATTTACTAGCACTCATAAAAAAATCACATTTGACACAAGAAATATTTGTATTCAGGTGAATATATATATATATAATCATGATAATTATATACACTAACAATCGGAACTCTCAGCCACTGGTGAAGGGGGTGGGGGGTATGGATTAAAGAAGCTCCTCTCAGTTGATGGTGGTGAAGGGGGGCAACTCATATCGTCTGAAAAATAGGGGGTGGGTAAAGGAGGGTAGGGGTCATAGGTGTAAATTTCTGATATAGATTGTTCGTAGTATAATTTGGGAGGATAAGGTTCACTTTCCTCACAAACGTCCGTACTACACGGTGTGGTGGGAGGAGGGGGGATGTTGTGTATTCTGAGTTTGTACGGTCGATACGACCGGACCGTCGATGGACTATTAGAGGAGTACCCCGAGTAGCCCCCTTTATACACCGACCGGTCAGTGACGGGACTAGGTGGGGGATTGAGGGTCTCTTTGGGGTATTGAGTCACAGTGCTACTACTGGAAGAGGCCCCCGTCACATGATTTCTATCATACAGAGGCATCGTCACTGAGGATAACCCCGTCTCGTGGGACTTCCCCCCATGAGAAGACAGGGTATTAAGAGTCGTCTCTCCTGTGTGCACAGAATGGTTTTGGTTCAATGGTTTTAATTGACTCATGTCGCTGCGCTGCTCTTCGTATATTAATCTTGGAGTCCTGCGGCGACATGCGAACACAAACACAAACACTAACACGATTGCGATAAGCCCCACCACTATGACGATGGTCCATGTGGCCACCTCCTTGCTGGGTGATGACTTGGCCACTGATGGGGGACAGTCATCCTCTTTACAGTTATGAGGGGCTCGACTCGTTGGATCACAGTTCGATTCGTCTGTCAGATCCTTACACTGGGCCTCTCCATCACACACTTTTTTGATGCTGATGCAGATATCATTGTCACATTTGAACTCATCTTGTGGATGACACACTGGACAGCTCTGTTCGTCCGACCCGTCCGAACATTCCGTCGTGCCATCACACCTCCATACCTTTGGGATACAGTGGATTTCTCCACTGACACACGTGAACTGCTCTGGTGAACAAGTGGGAGGATCTGAACAAGTCTTCAGATCGGCTTTTAACACCAAGTCTAAGGGACAAGAACAACTAGCCTTGCCCGCACTATCTGCCACGCAGATGTGTGAACAGTTGCCTTTACTTTTGGCACACGGATGGTTGAGGTCTTCAGGCACTAAACCCCTTGCCACCAGAAGGTCACTAAGTTGATCTAGCCTACCCTGGATGAACGATCGATTTTTCCCAGTAGCTTTTTGCACTCTGCTGATAACATGATGTTGTTTGTCGATCCAGTAAAGAAAATTACCAAAGATGGCCATTCCACGTGGATTGGCCACATCTTGATCCACCAAATTCTTCCTATTGCCTCCTGACAAGTCTGAGCATTCAATGCGATTAAGACGTGAATCCGCCCAGTATAACTTATTGCCTTCTACATCGATAGCTAGTGGTCCAGGGCGATCCAATTCTGAATTGAATAATATTATACTGTTTGTGCCATCCATTGAAGCTCGCATGATAGCGGGATTGCTGCCCATATCTGTCCAGTACATATGACTAAAATACAGGAAAAGTCATTTAACATTATCTGGTAAACAAATTAATTACTGACGTACAAGTACATGCACATCATTCTTAAGTTTTCTATGCCATCAAAATAACAAATTAAATGACAATTGATGTATTTCTCTGCAATATATTTAATATCATTATTTCCTGAGACTAAAAACTTTTTCTTGGATCATAAAAATGCCAAATTCATGCAAAAAGCATGTGTACTATAAACATCAAAATGAAGTTTGTTTTTTTTTTTTTCAAAAGACATACCCTCCCAGTGGATTGAGGACAATGTATCTGGGTACATGCTTCTCCCCCTCTACTATGACTCCAACAGGGGTGCCGTCCAGTCCAGTGATATTTATGGTATTCTTTTTAGAGCACGTCCAGTACAAGACGCGGGAGTACGGGTCCACAGCGATATCGAAAGGGCGGTGTTCTCCCTCCGGGTTAGACACCACTGTAGCAACCTGGAATTTGTAATCAATGAAAAAGGAATTCTATTAATAAAACAGAAATATCTTGCATGTACAACCAATTGATTTACATAAATTATGCACTCATGAAGCAAATATGCAAATTTGTAACAAATATTTCTTAATTTTTAATTTTGTTACTAGAAGCAGTTTTACTTTCTTGAGCTTGCAGAAAAATGATGTGCAACTACATACGTGGGTTCCATTATCAGCAGCCTTTTTGATGATCATATTTTTGCCTTCAATCCAGTAAATGAAATGTTTGACTGGGTCGTAGCTGAGGGCTTTGATGTTCTTGAGATTCGGGATCGGTAGAACCACCTCTGGTGTATCGGGATCGAAATCGTCGTTATTTATCACTAGACGGCTGATCGTGTTCTTCTGACTGAACAGCAAAAATGTCTTTGGAGCTAAAAGATAAATCAGGCACTCAGTTAATCTAAACTAGAACTAAAGATAGAGCTGCAAGAAATCTGTACCAAAATACTGCTTGGTGAATTAACCTCAACTTCTCCTAGTATGAAAGTTATGAATGTTTAATTATACAGATCAGTAATACAATACTTAATTCTTTAGAAAATTAGGCACAATTTTATATCCATGTCAATTTTGACATATATTTGTAGATAATAAAATTTCTTATTGCTGAAACATACTGTTCCTTTCTTTCTATGCAGTCTTAAATCTTTTTCATAAATTTGACATATCAGTAAATGAATGCTTCTCCCTTGCTTTCAGTTTGGCTGCTCATTTATACATTTTTCCCTAAATCAACCATACCTGAGCATGTCTTATTGTCACGGTTGAGTCGAAAGTGTGTGGGACACGCACAGTGATGAGGCGTTCCAGAGGTGTGGTTAACAGGGTGGGCCAGACACAGGTGTGAACACCCCCCGTTATTGTCCTTACAGCTGTTACTACCTGTAAGAAAAGGATAGGTCTCTTTTACTTAGCTCCCACATAAAATGATGAAATATACAAAAATATCCAAAACAAAAGATGATTATTTTTTTTTTAGAAACTGGGACAATCATATAATTAATACAAGGTACTTAATAGATTCTAGACTAATAATTTTGCAGCAAATAGAAATTCATAAACTCAAGACATGATAAATCTTGAAATTTAACATTCTTTTAAGTTAAATTTTGCATTTTTCCATAGTTAACATGAGAGCTTGTACAAATTTAATATTTTTCTTAAAAATATTTAAGAATTGAACAACATTCACAAAGGAAAAAAAACTCCCATGTATCAATATCATAATCCCCAGTACTAACCGGATTGTCTGGAGGAATGGAAGACCAGTATATCCCTGACACTCTCTACACTTGTCTGGATGGTGGTGCGGTTGGAGCCCGAGGACTTGTTAGCCCGCTCTATGGTCTGCCTCTGCCAGTCGGCCCAGAATATGAAGTCGTGGTACAGAGTCAGACTCATGGGCTGGGGCACCTGATCCGTGATCACCTTTACCATATCTTGTCCTGTGATAATAATAAATGTACTGAATCACACAAAGGCATATTCTCAGTTTTGCTTAATCATATCAAAATACTTCTGATCATCATACTGTAAATCACTTTTAATTTGCGAGAACTTTATTTTCGCTTAATTACGCGAGACAGTGTGCTCGCAAAAATATGATTCTCGAGTATATTAGTATTCCTATGGATTATATAAAGCAATCACCACAATTCGTGAAAATTTTGTCTCCCTCATAAAGAGGCAATGACTATCTCATGAAAATAAGGTGTCGCTAAAATTTAGTGATTTACAGTACCTTGCTTATGCATGTACTATATTAATATAACCCTTTTATAAATATAGCCCTTTCATGAGGTTGGTCAATATGCTTTTCTGTGAAGTTGATATATCTGTGGATCGACCTGACGAAAGGCCAACATTTGTTTTATCATTTTTTTACAGAAATTAACAAAACAAAATTTGAAAATAATATGAATAAGCCACAAGGTTTCTTTGTCATCTTTTTAAACACAGACCAAAGATAAAAAAAATACTGGTAAGCTTATTATCATGATTGCGTTTCCTTTTTACTGATAGAGTAATTTAGGGAATGTAATATTTTCAAAGACAACATTTGCTTTATTATTTTTATGAAAAACATTTAGAATATATTTTGATATAAATTAAACTCATAGATTTTTATTCAAGGCATTGTTACATCCAACCTTTTATTACAGAACATCATAGAATCTGTTATAAAAAGGAGTTCAATCATTTTTTTTTCAGAAGCATCGTTACGTTTGCTATTAGTACTATGAAGTCAGTAATTTTGTTATTTTCCATTTTTTATAAACATCAAGTCAATATGCATTTTTCAGAATCTATAAATAGTGACTCAAGTCAATAGCTGTTATATACTTGATCATGTGATCGTTTGAGCCAATCAGAGAGCTTAGGATAATAGAGAAAAATAATATTGCTCATTATATTTTACATCACTTGATTTTTTTTTTTGGTAGAGGAAAATACTAACAGAAGAGATTTGCTATTTTAGTTCACTGTAGCCCTGCTCCCCTGCATAAGTGAATTTTTCACATGGCAGACATATTGCAGCAATGTAGATACATAGATCAATGTCTTATGCAAGTCCATGGACCATAGACATGATAAACAATTCTTTGAATTTGTCTTGCATGCTGTAAACATAATGTTTTCAGTTTTTCAATGTTTCTGTTTTGATTTGTTACCTCAACTGTATGCCAATATGGTCATTGTCAAGAAACTGAATTGTGAAAGGAAAACGATTATGCCTTTGCCTTTTGCTTCAAGCATACTGGCAATAAAAGGAGATTGCATTTTGATTTGAAACAGACTTTCACATTACCATTCAGATCAGAGGAGGCAATAACATTTTGGTCAATGCTTGTCCAGTACAGTCTCTTCTCTCCGTAGTCGATGGTCAGTCCGTGGACTTTCCCTATCCCAGTCCTGATGACCTCTCTCATCGTCCCGTCCAGGGCAGCCCTCTCCAGCTTCTGAGACACCCAGTCCGTCCAGTAGATGTAACTGGAAAACCAATAAATAGGAATATACAACTATTTCACAAGAATTAGTGGGAATCTATACTGTTACACCAACATTTACTGATTAAGTATAATACATGCACTAGCACTGGGTCAGTCAATTGACCAGGATGGAAAATACTAGTACTTATCACTAGGATTTACTAGTATCAGTATTTCCCAACTGACCATGTCAGTATTTCCTCCAAAAATTCTTTTAAATACATTGAATTTAAATCCCACTAAACATTATTTCAGCATTAACCATGATTACATAAGCACTCTCTCTTCCTTAACACGTAAAACATCTTTGAGACCTTGACTACAAATAGGAATTTTTTAGGCATACCCGTCTGGTGGATTAACGGCCAGTGCCCTAGGGGCTTCTAGGTCCTTCCAGATGATGACGCGCCGCGATGAGCCATCTAACCGTGCCACCTCAATCCGCCGTTTCTTTCCTGTGTCGACCCAGTTAAGATTTTTAGCCACCCAGTCCACGGCTATTCCTTCTGGGTAGGTGAGCCCATACTGAACAATGGGCTCAAGGGAACTGCCATTTAGAAAGGCTCGGCTTATTCTCTAAAATAAAAGAAAAATGCTCAGTTTAATAATTATCTGAAATGAATTTTCAAAGCAAATTGTAATTGCTTTGGAAATAGTGACTAAACAAATGGTCCTCTAGGAAATTCAAAGTACAAAAATCCTGAAACACAGAACCCAGTACATGCATTTCCTCAGTGAACCATGAATGAAAATTACTCTAGATCTTTCAATATTTATCATAATTTTTTTTAAATCTCAAGACTCAATCTTAGATAAAAGATCAAAGAGCTTATTATCTAATAGCAAACTCGTGGGCTTGTAATCAAAGGGTTTATCCCCAGCCTCTGAAAATCTGACATAGTTATTCTCATGCATGCTACTGGCCATTAAAACAACCCAGGGAGAGAGAAAAAAAAACTCTTTCTAAGACATAAACATCAAAGAGAACCAGGTCCTAGAATTCCATTAATATTAGATACCAGGTGAATCATGCGATCAATTCCAGGTTGACTTGCCTTCAGATCTCCGTCCGTCCAATAAATCCTATCGTCTGCGATATGGAAGTCTATCGCTAAGGCATCTTTGACCCCTTTGATAGGTATGGGTCGTATGCGATGATTGGTTTCCAAGGACATGCGTTTGATGTCATGGTGACTGGTAAACAGAATGAAGGCCTCCGGCACGATGCAGGTTTTCCCGTTGCTGACGAGCTCCAATCCCATTGGACAGGCACACACGACACCCTGATCAGCGGTAAACAGACAGAGGTGACTACATCCGCCATTGTAGTGTGCACAAGGATTGGTACCTGGAAATAGGAACCAGATATATTGTAAAAAGTATTCTAGGGAAGGGTGGGTTAATAATCAAAATAAAAAGTATCTGAAGATAAGCTACCACCCCCCCCTTCCTCCCCAAACAAATTGCACATTTTTTCATATGATTATATACAAAGTTTTTGATTGTGCACAAACTGAGAAAAATGGTGCTAAACAAATAAACATGGTCACATCTTGAGTAATGGGAATTCCCACACCCAGTATCAATAATGTAAGCCTTATTGCTTTCAAACCAAGTGCATTAATTTATTGCAAAATTATATAATATATCTGCACTCTCATGAGCTTGCACTGAACAATACTTCAAACGAACTTTTTCAAATTGTTTAAAAGTAAATTTATTGCACTGTAATCAATGATTTTTTAAAACTCTCCATGAAACAGAATTATTCATTCTATAATAGAATGTTGCATTTTGTAATTCTAATTTTAAATAATATGCATGAGCTGATAACATCAATTCTCAAATATGTTATTGGAGTCAGTCAACCATGCTGTTGCATATTCAGATCTCCCTGTCTTTGAAGCCCACCATTAATTGATTCAAACTATGCTGGAGTTTGGTTTGTCTAACTCCTCCATAACTCAAGTTAATTCTTGTCAATTCTTTTTCATACAATTATTGCTTCTAATGTCAGACTTTCTCTTAAAAGGCTTCCTCTGCTTCCAAATTGGAATTTAATTTTAATGTTTGTTGATCAATTTTAAGTTTTTTCATTGCTGCCTTTAAAACATTTAACTGTATTCTTAATTTCGATAATTTTTTTTTAAGAAACGTGAAATTTACACTGGCTGAACTATTCTGTCTCATTTATAAATGCATGTATGTGTTACAAAAATAATCATATTGAAACAATAAAGCTTTTAAATTTCAAACAAGTCCCTGATGACATCATTTTCAATGTTGTTTCTCCATCATGATGTCACGATAAGTATTCAGCAAACTTTTATGATTTTTTTCCAATATCAACATATTCAGTTCAACATTTTAAATAAAGCACAATTCTTCCTTTTTCAATGATAAATTCATGGTCAAATCTACATGAAAACAATTCCTAAAAATCTTTAAGAGTTCATTACACTTCCTTTATTTCTCCCAAAAGACATCCTCCAAAAGGTTATGGTAGTACAAAGTGCAAAACCTCTTCATTACAATAAGGTCCATAAGTTGAAAAATGATATAAAAATTTGATGGCTACTTAAATTTACATGCCTCTTTAAACTTCATATGAAGTGAACCAAGTTAAAATAAATTTTAAGAAAAGTCACTATGGCAGAATATCTTGTGGAATTACCGGTACTGCTTGGATTCAAATCATTTTTGAGGAGTATTCCAAATTCAAATTCCAATCAGGCCTAAAATTCAAGTTCCTCAACAGTTTTCTCACTAACTTCCAAAAATTACAGTATTTATCATTTACAGGTGTATGTAATCCTGAAAATTGTCCATTGAACTTTCACTGAACAAAAAGTACTATTATATACACGTTTTAAGCCTCGGTCGTCTTTATCATTTCTAAAATGGATACTTACTATGTACACTGCTTGTCAACATAAAAATCCCTACCACATGAACTACTAATATCTTCGCCATGCATAGTATACACAGTCCTACCCCGCTCTCCTACAGCTAGTAAAGGACTGAACACATTACAATAATATTCATCGCTTCATCAATTATGTTTACACAGAGAGAGAAAAAAAAACCTGCCTCCATTTTTCACTGAAGCCTTCGCAATAGGAAAAGATAAAAGGGATACGGTCTATGGATCAAACTCCCAGACTACGAGGAGAGGGAGAAAGATCAAATGTTTTATGCAACAAAAATGGCAAATTAGCTCCTAATTTGTCAGGGATTACTGCCTTCCATTCAGTCATATTTAGTCCTACATCAAAGAGATCATAACCTTCTATTTTGGAGTTTAATCCTGCATGCACCCTGAACACCAGTCACCTGACCCTGTCAATATCAGATAACCACTTCTCTTCAGAATCCCATAATGGGTTTATCTTACCATCTCGATACTGAAATATATTACTCTATTTTTCCTTTTTTCTACTTTTAAGGAACTTTTCACTGCCAAATTTAAATTAAATTTTTCATCAATCAATGCTTTTATGTTTTTAATTGCATTTCTGTACCGGTATTTTTTTGGGGGGGGGGGGGGGGAGGAGGTGGACAAATTAATAATTCCAAGTTTAAACTCAACATTTCATATACAGTTTAAACACCCATTTCATCCTTTTTTAATGAATGATCTGTTGTCAAATTTTGCATCCCTTTCCAATTAAAATATTGATAAATTATTAATTATAATAAAAAAATAAACAAAGCTTCTGATGATAACTTTTTTTTACAATTTTATTATTAGTTTCCGTCAATAACAAGACAATTACAGTAACTCATGCATTTAAATTGCACTTCATTAAGTTCTACGAAATTTTTTCGGAGTGAAGGAGTGGCAAAATCTTCAGGTATGTTATGACTAATAAGGAAAGGAACCACTGGTGTGGGTTTCAAAGGTTGGAGACTTCCAGAAACAAGGCCATAAAAACACCTCTTATTATGATCGTATCTTTGTCAAATCACGAGATTCATCCCAAGTGATAAAAATCCTACACTTTCCTTTCTCTGATTCACTGATACACCTTTTTCCAAATTTAAGCCTTAAAACTTATCAATTCAATTTTCCACAAGTCATCCAACAATTTTCAAACACTTAAACCCAATTACTAGATCATAAAACTGCATTTCAACAGCTGACGTTTCATTTCAGGAACTCAGTTAAGAGCAGGTAAATAAAAGCAATTAATTTTGAAAACTGGAATCATTTTCCACACATGAATTCCTTTTTCAAATGAAAATTAATTTCTTTTCAAACATATTTTACAATCCTTTAGTGTCAGTCAGCTCTTTTGATCTACATGTGTTTCACAAATTTTACAGTTTTTGTTTTCAAATTGGGGATAAAAATTACATCACAGATTATTATTTACAAAGCTACTATCCATTTCAAAACTTCTTTTTCTAAAAGGTTTTTTTAAAAAGAGACATTTCATCCATCTCTATAAAATGTGTGAAATTTTAACTTCTGTAATTTGTTTTTCATGTATGGCAAACAAAAAATGTTTATGACAGTCTGTGTAACATGTAAACAAAATAATGGTACATGCATTGAAAGTCATAAAAAATTTGATGAAAACAAGAACCTTGAATACAAAAACTGCAGAGAGACAGACAGAGGATTGGGTTTAATTACATGTAGGATGACACCATCTTGTGTATTTATACTGACTTAACATAAAACATACATTTATATGTAATATGACAGGGTTCAGTCTTGAATGCCAATTAATGTCTTCCATTCATACGTGTATATTGAGTTAATTTCTAGTATTTTAATACTTTTTAAATGAATTAAATTATCTGAAATCCTTGAAACAAGGTTCATTAAGTTTTTTTAGTACATGTACTAGATTCATATACTGTTGACATACTTTTATCTGCGTGGTATTAATTTACACTATGAACGTGGACAAAATTTTTCCGCGGAAATTTATCACAGCGTACTTTAAGTGTATTTAGGAATGAAATTGCACTAAATATATGAGAATAGGGTAATACGTTATTAAATACGTGGGTATAGGCCTACATGTTAAATATACATGTATTTTCTATGCATTTCTATCCTTGATATATGTACACACCGTAAATCATGCAAAGATGTTTTAAGAATTCACAAAATAATAAATTCATTTTTGGAAAAATAATTCTTCTCGCATAAATATCCTTGCCTCAAACTTGGTCTTCTCCCCCCCTAGTTAGAGATTAACGGCATGTGCCACACGGTTTTTGTCCTCAAGCAGATATGTTTCAATCATCCAATTATAGAAAGGCCAATTTTTAAGACCCGTGTTTTTACTTCAGTTTTCCAGATCCCTCTGTGTTTATACTGGTATAATTAATTGAATTGTAAATGACATTTTTACACGGAAATTAGCTCCACATCAGGTTAAAATATCTATCTGCTTTAAATATTTAATTTTTAGAAATTCATGACGTGCATATTAGAAAGAATCTGAAGGTCATCAAAATCATTTACATTTAATCTCTGAAAAATTATACTTACATGCGACAGCACAAGTTCAGGCCATGTAAAAATAATAATAATAAAAAAGAAAATTACTTTTTACTCATGAAAGATTTACTGATTTTCTTCTGTTTGAACGGACAGGTGTGCATTGATCAGCCACCTCACATGACTTGACCTCAGTGTTGATAATCGTAGATGTACGTATACAGTATGTGTTTATGGACTTCATTCCACCTTTTAAAAAATTTTATTTGAAGTTGATGTATGTAAACCTCAAGAATTATTTCATGATAATTCGTAATTTTGTGAGCTGGTGGGAACGTACATGTATGTTGTTCTGAGTCATTGAATGCTTTTGTTCTTTTAAAAAATTGTATATTCATAAGGCAGACAAATTCTAGCGAAAAATTACTTTTTTCTCATATATTTAGTGTAGGGTACAATATATATTTTTGGCATTTAAAGAATCCGTGTAATTTTTTTTACCCGCGAATCAAACTGATGTTGTGATTCCGCTGAATTAAGACCCTGTGGAAATAACTATGTCTACAATGTTATGAATCTTTAATTTTCATTTACTGTATTTACCTAGACAGGAAAATGTTGTTTTTTTTATTTTATAGTACATGAATTAATGTTGCAGTTGTTGCAGAAAAATATTCATTACCGCATAAGTGGGAAAGATATAGATATCACTATATAAATTATAGGCCATTGTGAACAACTGCATATTCAAGTTACTGATGCAAGTGCAAAGTAAAAGCAAAGTTAAAAATCTTTTTTTTCCCTTTACACCACCTTTATGGATTGTTTCCTCAAGCATTTCACTTTCCTGCATTTCAGAAAAAATACAGACAAGAAACAACTGTGCAGCTTTTACCTGAATAGTTAAACACACTGACGGCCTTGAGCCCCATCAGGTCAGGTAGCTGGTCGACAATGACCTTTCGGTCTGTCCCGTTGTGCTTGTTGACCCGCTCTATAGACCTTCTCTGCCAGTCTGTCCAGTAGATGTAATCTCCTGGAAGATAAACCAAAATCATTGAAGATTTCATATCCAACATAGAATTTGACCCTTTTTCAATTCACAGAGATGATATTTGTTTTCATTTTACCTAAACTCCAAAAATTTTAACTTTTTAAAGTTTTTTTATGGAACAAATCTTCAAAAAGTTATAGAATATAGGATTAAAAGTGCTAGATTTAAATCCCCACAATTAATATAAATCAATATCAGAGTAAAACAGATCTATTTACATCAGTCAACAGTAAATCAATAATGAAATCTGAACAAAGAGGGACAACTCTGTCACTGAGATTGAACATCTGACTGTTTACTGCTAAACTTGTACAAATCAATTTTTTTACCTAGCAAACTGAATCCGAACAGATGAGGGATATTCTGCTGTTCGTCCACCAGGACTTTTCTGTGGGATCCATTAACATCTGAGACCTCTATCTTATCATGTTTAGCGTCCCCCCAGTACAGTTTCTTTGGCTGTGCATTGATGTCAATAGCTAGTCCATTAGGCCAGCCCAAAGAGGAGTTGATTAAAAGCTTTCGGCTGCTTCCATCTAAGTTGGCTACTTCTATTTTAGCTTCCTTTCCCCAATCACTCCAATACATCAATCTATAATATCAAACAATGCTACATTTCTCTTGAGAGTCTAGAGATCACAAAAAAACCCTGATTTTTTTTTTAACAGTTTGCTTCTCAAAGTCATTATCATCGAGTTTCTGACATTTCTCTTATTTCACTAAAGACGAAATTAATATTACGTCAATATACATGATCATGCTTTAACATGCTTTACGCTAAAAACATATTTCAAATTAATGAAAAAATACAATGTTTTTTTTATTCGATTGCTTCATACAAACCCTGCTACAGGATCTAATGCTATAGCTCTTGGTTCCTCCAAGTCATCAGATATTAGAACTCTCCGAGATGTTCCGTTCAGTCTGGCTACTTCTATCCGGTCAGTTCCAGTGTCTGTCCAATACAAGTTCCGGGCAATCCAGTCCACAGCTATCCCATCTGGATGATCCACTCCAGTCCGGACCACTACTTCCTCTCCTGTAAATAGATTATGCATCCCAGTTACTTTTTATAAATTCTCAATTACATTGTACCATCAGGCATATTTCTTTATGCTACTTGTAGTACATGTACAATTGAATTAATCTATATATGCACTTTTTAGCATACATGAATAATGAGACTTCAAGGGAAGAAACTTTTGGGAACAAAAGTCAAAGGTACATATCAGGAGTATTATGACTAGTATACATTATGCCATTAATGGACAAAATAGAAAGATAAAAAAATTTAAAATTGTGAAAAGCATCTTATAAATGAGGGGTATATCATAGACCTTGAATGGAGTCTTTTTTTTTGGTTAACATACAAGTTGTCATTTCTAAGAAAGATTCAATTTATGCTTGCTTCAGGACCAATGATAAAACCAGGAAGAAAACAAGTTTTTAAACCTATGCAGCAATCCTCTGATGTGTTAAAACAAGATAGTCAATCACTGATATACATTTGCTTTGAAATTCAGTTAGTAACCTATTAACTGAAAAGTACATTTGTACAATTTCTAGGACATAACCCCAGGGCAACTTTCCTACTTTTATCAAAAAAAAAATCCAACTCATTTCCATTTCTGGAATTCCCAAAAATTTCCGTAAGAACTTCAATTCAATAGTATTCTATATTGTAAAAATTTACTTCATATATGAAAAGACAGCAGGCAAAGCACTGAATACAGATTTAAAAACTATAAAATTTTGGACCCTTGAAACACCACTGAAATTACAAGTAAATAAGCACAACATTGCCTAATCACCCACCTCTTCAAAATTGCTCATGTCTTTTGAAATTCAGAAGAAAACTTTTTTTTTTAATTTTATTCATTGGTGGGAGGGGGGATTCTAAACTGATTTAGGGTCTCTTAGAGTCCAATTCACCTGTCCCATCCAAGTAAGCCCTCTTGATGGCTCTCACTTCATCGTCCGTCCAGTAAACCATGCTTTCGACAGGGTCATAGTCAATAGCAATAGCATGTTTGATCTCGTTCAGGGGTAACACAACATCTGTGTGGTCAGGCATGTCCAAGGAAATTTTGCGGATATCTCTGCGTCTTGCCAGCAGCAACAGTTGTTCCACGCCTACAGATTAAAGTGTTCGTGCCTTTTTTAGATACAGTACGTAATTTTTCATAAACAAAGTTATCTTTATTAACTTTACAATTAGTTTAGAGCATTGTGTCTCCCAGAGGCTTGGTGACAATTGAAGATGTCACCTACCAAATGGTTCATGTCAAATACCATCCCTCCTAAAAATCATGTATTTACCATCAGGTTCAAAAAGAAAGACAACAGGAAGTTTTTTTTTTAAATTAAAAACGTGACTTCCTGCATAATAAAGGTGTCAATTAACCTTTTTTCTGTTTATGAATGAAATTTGTAAATTAAGGGTACCGGTACTTCTGTACCTAAGAAGTCATTTCCCTCCTAAATTTAATTTATCAAATTGTAAAAGGGAAAGAGAAAATTCATACCTTTAGCACAGGTTTTACTGTTCAGCAGCCTTACACCTGTGGGACAGGCACAGGTGTAGTAGGGTTCCTTGGTGGAGATCAGACACAGGTGAGAACAGCCTCCATTGTTAACGGTACAGGGATGAGTCCCCGGTCCTACAATTAAACAAATCAAGTCTGGTCAAAGGCATCTCTTTGATAAATTTTACAAAAACAAGAAAAACAAGAAAAGTTTGCATTATTTTTGTCTTTCTTGATCCATCAGATAAATTACACCTCTGCAACTTAATTACAAGGGAAGGGAAATTTATAGAGAATAGAATTCATAATGAAATTTATAAAGAATAGAATTCATAATAAAATATTTCTCCCAGACTCATACTTTTTTCTTTATTATCCAATTTATAAAAGAAAAGTATTACAATACATGTATAAATAAGAGACAAAACAAGACTCTTTATTTATGTATTATGAACACTCTCCACTCACTCTTGGGCTGTGTGTTGGCACTAAACACATGGATGTCCATCGGGGAGTATATGTCCTCCATCACTGGTCGAATGTTGCTCCCCGTAATTTTATCGCAGGTAAAAATGGCCCGTTTCTGCCAGTCCGTCCAATACAGGGTCCTACCGCTCAGCGTCAACGCAAAGGGGTGAGACAAGATCTTCCCTCCTGCTACTATCTCTCGCCGATTTTTTCCATCGTAATCACAGCTAGCAATGTATCGAAGCTTTGCATCTGCCCAGTAGATTTTTTGGTCAGCGTAGTCGATAGTGAGACCGTTGGGCCAGTGGATGTTTTCTTTGATGATTATGGAGCGTGTGGTCCGATCCCCGTTCATTCCTGCCCGCTCTATCTTTGGAACCTCTCCCCAGTCTGTCCAGAACATCCATCTATAAAAATTTAATATGGACAATTAATAAATATTTGAACTGACTTTATTTAGATAAACTGGGCCCTAACATCAAATTCAAATAAATAATAACTAGGTTAGAAATATGTCCAATAAATGAATTTTTTAACTAAATAATACTTACAGATACATGAGATAAACTATAGACACTACAATGTGACAAATAAATTTAAACAAGTAACTTTCAATTTAGTTTTCATTACAGAGTATGCTTCTTTATATAAGGAGAGTTATGTCTGTCAGGCATACAGAGCGCAAAAGCCAAGCACTATGGCAATTACATTCATTTTGAAAAATGGCCTTATTAAAGAATAAAATTTTCAGAACAAAATAAATAGTCATGTGGGGATTTGAAATTCGTACTTTCTAGGCACACTTTTGTATATTATAAATTATTTTACTGTTTTATCATGTTGATTATTAATATTTTGACATGAAGATACATGTTTTTCATTACTCTATAACTGATATAGGAATAGTAAAAAGAACACTTCTAATATATGTCAGAATGTACACTGTTAACACATTTGTTTAGTTTGCCATAATCATCAAAATATTGATGTAAAACATATTTACAATCAGGACCTAACAGTAAATTGACACAATATCTTCTGAAATACACAGGTCATCAGATAATTTATAATTGGCAAGGTGTTTATGGGTATCTTGAGGCAGTGATAGCGTGTCCTTGAAACACTTTAGGGTCACACAGTCAAATATGACATCATCAGAATGATTATTTGCCTGTCATGAAATGACCATAAAATCCATGATAGCCCCTGAAGTAGGGGGCCCTGCCCACCTACTTAGTGCAGGTAGATATAACTATACCTGTCAGTCCGGCCGCTATGGACATTTATAAATTGTGTGTCAAAGTTTTATTATTTAAACCCTCTGATCTCCGCTTTCTCATGATTGCAAATGATTTTTTTGTTTCATTCTGATCTCAAAGAAAACCTGTATTGCTAACATCCGTAAACACTTTGCAAACAAGAGGCCCATGGGCCACATCGCTCACCTGAGAAGCTTTGGCCATTCTGTACTTTACTAGATTTACCCCTTGTAATACATATTGTGACCCCACCCTACCCCACTGATCATAATTTAGACAATTTGAAATCTACACTACCCCGGGATGCTTCCATATATAAGTTTCAGCTTTTCTGGCCCTGTGGTTCTTGAGAAGAAGATTTTCAAAGATTTTTCCTATATATTTCTATGTAAAACTTTAATTCCCCATTGTGTCCCCGCCCAATCCCCAGGGGTCATGATTTGAACAATTTAGAATCTACACTACCCCAGGATGCTTTCATATAAGTTTCAGCTTTTCAGGCACAGTGGTTGTTGAAAAGAAGATTTTGAAAGATGTTTCCTATATATTTCTATGTAAAACTTTGATTCCCCATTGTGGCCCCACCCAACCCCCGGGGGTCGTGATTTGTATAAGTTAAAATCTACACTACCCCAGGATGCTTCATTATAAGTTTCAGCTTATCTGGCCCTGTGGTTCTTGAGAAGAAGATTTTCAAAGAATTTTTTCCTATATATTTCTATGAAAAACTTTGATTCCCCATTGTGGCCCCGCCCAATCCCCGGGGGTTATGATTGGAACAATTTAGAATCTACACTACCCCAGGATGCTTTCACATAAGTTTCAGCTTTTCAGGCACAGTGGTTCTTGAGAAGAAGATTTTCAAGGATGTTTCCTATATATTTCTATGTAAAACTTTGATTCCCCATTGTGGCCCCGCCCAAGCCCCGGGGGTTATGATTTGAACAATTTAGAATCTACACTATCCCAGGATGCTTCCACATAAGTTTCAGCTTTTCTGGCCCAGTGGTTCTTGAAAAGAAGATTTTCAAAGATTTTTCCTATATATTTCTATGTAAAACTTTGATTCCCCATTGTGGCCCCGCCCAATCCCCGGGGGTTATGATTTGAACAATTTAGAATCTACACTATCCCAGGATGCTCCCACATAAGTTTCAGCTTTTCTGGCCCAGTGGTTCTTGAGAAGAAGATTTTTTAATGACCCCACCCTATTTTTGTCTTTTCTTGATTATCTCCCCTTGCGAGGGGATATGTCCCTTCATTTTAACAATTTAAATTCCCCTTCACCCAAAGATGCTTTGTACCAAGTTTGGTCAAAATTGGTCCAGTGGTTCTTGAGAAGAAGTCGAAAATGTGAAAAGTTTACGGACGGACAGACAGACGGACAGACGGACGGACAGACGGACAGACGGACGGACGACGGACACAATGTGATCAGAAAAGCTCACTTGAGCCTTCGGCTCAGGTGAGCTAAAAAATGTCAACAACATGCATCGAAAAATTATTTCATAATTTGACAAACAGGAAATCTGAGTTTTTTTTTCTAGCTAATAAACTTTGGAATCTTATTTAAAAGTCAAAAACAAACATTACAACCCCTGAATGTCAGGCCACATAACTTATGAATGGCCAAACAAACAACAGGTATTATGACACCTTCATTCAAATGCAAAAGTAAACGTCCTAAGTGACTGACTGGCAGTTTGTGCAGGAGACCAAGATATATATATTAAATCTACCAAGTACGATTAGAAATGACATTTAATCCTTCAATTGGAAGGTCTCCCCAAACGTCCGCTAAATTGTATATATGGCAGTGAAAAATGATGCGTACGAGCCCCTGCTCCTCGTAGAAGGGTGCACTGCACTTATGTTTTGACACTTGTCATTAAAAAAAATCCCCTACTCTGGCAGCCCTTCTTGTGTCATTGCCACCAGCAATCATCAATTTCGGAGGAAAACCCTACAACTTGGCTGGCTAACCAACAACTTCCCTCGACTGCAATCTGGAATCCCTCTTTGTGTACAGGCAGTCAGGTGTACGCAGAATCAACCTATTTACTCATTTTCAATTGACAGTTTGGTACACAATCTGACACAAATGAGATCAGTCTACAATACACAAACATAGGAAATTAGCCTAATTTTGTTCGGGGGTTGAAAACCACGTACTTGCACTATCATGGAAATCTTCTTCGTCATTATCACACTTTTATATGTGTGTCATTCATTCATCCCTAAAATGCTGCATAATTTTTTTGCCCTATAAATTCTCTTATAGCTTTTGTGGTAGAAGATTATTTTGAATTTTCAAAGGCAATTATTTCAAATGACCTATTCCATTTCTAAATATTGGTAATGATTTCCCCTTCCTTTCAAAAAGGAAACCCTAAGAACTAAAGTGATTTAAACTCAAGTTTTACTCCCTAATTTGATTTAGAAGAGAATCCTTTAGACACTCCATCTACAGCTGTATATCAAAAGTAAAGATAATTTACAATTCTACAATAACTTTCAATGAAATATGTATCTTTAAATTGAAAAAAACTATCTGAATATTTTTTAATCATTTTAAGAGAAAATGAAAAAGCTACCTAAGTTAGAACTAACAAAAACATATGTAAAAGTAATTTAACCGTTCAATATAGTTTTGTAATCATATGTATCTTTAATTTTATCTAACAGACTGCAACACATAAGTACCTAGGTAACTCTTTCTTGAGTTATGAATTACTTATTCATCATATACAAAATCAAATACGTAGCAAAATTAAACACATCAAAACGGCAAAAGTTAAACAAAATCTACAAACAAAAATACAAATGGTCCCTACTTTTGGCACTCTACTCTACCTCCTTTAGAATTAAATGAATCAAATAACCTAGGTACCTAGCACTTCAGAGTACAATTAGTGTCAAAGGAATGGCCTGTTCTAAAGTCAATTGCAGTCACCTCTTTTTTAGACTCATTCAGGATGTCTTGTGTCCCACTTTTAATTAACTGCCCCTAATCATCTGGGGGCCTTTGATGTTGACAGGATGACCTCCTTTAAACCAAGAAAATCCCACATTTCAGCTATGTGAACTATTTTGCCAATCAATGACCCTTCTCTAAACTGACAAAAATCATTATTCATGCACACATTGTTGGAGACTGAAATATATGGCATGCTGTAAATTTCAAAGATAACATTCCTGTCAGAAAAAATGTTCGTTTTTTTCTCTCTCTGTAATACAAAATGCAGGTGTTCCTGACATTTTTGAATAGGTGTTTTTAATGGGAAATAATGTTTAGGGTTTTTATTCTTTAAAATTATCATTCAGATTACATTATGTTTACATATTCTAATATATACCAATGCATTGCCAATAATTTGCAGTAATCTGCATATCCACTATGTCTACAGCAAAAAAACTGATGTAGACAAACCTTCCATTCAGTAGTAAACCCTAAGTCAACAACGTAAAATTTACTCAGAAAACTTCTACCACTGATGAACATGATAAAAACTCTCCTCCCAGGCCAAAAACAAAGAGCCTTTTTCTCTCTAGTCAGTTTGACCTTTGACCTGATTGCTCTGAACAGCTTGCAGTGGGTAATCTTTCGGATTTGGGGGAAAAAGCTACTTTCTCTTATCATTTTTAAGTGAGGTCTGCATTTCTTAAATTCATAATCCTGTTCAATCATTCATTTTTCTTCACAATGATTGTCTATAAAGAGAAAATGTGTGAACAATCTTCTATTTCCTTAACAAAAAAAAGACATTTTTACAGGAATTTACTGTCACTAAACTTGCTTACTGACATGCCATTTTCTTCTCTTAGAACCCTTGCCTTTGGAATAGTATAAAGCAACAGTGACATAATTCATAATTATCTTTACCCAGAGAGAGGGTCCAAAGCAATGGCACGAGGCTGATCCAGTTCTTCCCAGAAAAGAACACTTCGGTAGCTTCCATTCAAGCTGCTGACTTCGATACGATTGGTTTCCGAGTCTGCCCAATACAATTTATCTGCGATCCAGTCACAGGCCAGACCATCCGGTGACACCAGTCCTGAGACTATGACATCCTCGCTGTATTTTGGCCGGTCGATCTGCGTCCTTTTGATTCTGGCCAGACTGACGTCCGTCCAGAACACTGATTTGTCTTTGAAGCAGAAGTCTAGGGCGGCCGCATCTTCCAAACCACTCTGGACAATGGTGGTATTGGCGCTATAGGCGGCGTCAATAAGTTGTACATCGGCACGGTTTGCAAGTAATAATAATGGTTTAGCTGAAAAACAAAAAGAGATGGAGTCAGTTTTTAATCAAAAATATGCTATGTTGAACTTAAAATCATGACAAGAACATTACTTCCACCCTTCCCTTAACGTTAGAAGTCAAAAACACCAAAGACCCCAATCATTCATGAAATTTAGTGCATTTGTACCAGCAATCACAAATCATCTTTAAAATAAACAAGGCAGTACCATTCATTAATATTTCATACTTATGTACACTATTCAACAGTTACTGATCAAGTTAAAATATAGTATTAAATAAACTTTCTTTTCTCTCACAATAAAATATTACGTAAATCAAATTTCTTCCAAAGCCGCATAAATCAGAAGAAATGAGATGCTATGTATCTTGTACAATAGCAAACTACTAACAATTACACAAGAATAAAACTTTTTTTCTCCTATAGAATTGAATCATGTTTCTAAGATAAAAACTATTTCAGGCATTCATCATGTTCATCTTGTCAAATATCCTACCCTGGAAGTAGATGAATGGGATTTAATTTTTTGGACCAAGTACAAAATGATTATTGGTTACATAACTTTGTGTGCGTGGTGTCTCACATTTTAATTCTAACAAGATGTTGAACCCTTCCCTTCCACACATACATTATACAATTTTTTAAACTTTTTTTTCTCAAACGTTAAACAAAAAAGTTCTGTACTTTACAATATATCATAGCAGAAACATTTGTTATTTCATTTTTATCTCTTTAAAGATTTCCCATAGATTCCATTTCATTTTCCTTAGCAATATATCACAGCTCAAACCAAGCTATTTTTAGGACAGTCTGTAATAAATTGGATTACGATAATCAATGAGTGATCACTTTCCCTTCAGTTTTTGCCTCTTCCTCAGCTCGTGCTTTTTGTAACACTGACAAGTCTTACGTAACAGCTATCAGAATCAATTTAGTTAGACGGGACCCCCTCCCCTTGGAAAACATGCTGCACTTTTTTTTTTATCTAGAACCTGCAGCATCTCAAGACAGGGATTAGGCCTGCCATAGGGAATTTTTGCTTTGGCTTCCTTAGATGACTGTTTTGACCCATAGGTTTGCACAAAGAGGTTTCTTAGTCCAATATACATGTACTAAAATTAACAGCCAAGCAGTTTATCATTTCACATGCCTTTCCTGTAAAGTTAAAATATTACATTCTTATAAAATGATTCCTATGTACATGGTGTACATTACACTTGTCATAGTGGTCTTGCGTGTACAATTAAGCATCTAGTAATATATACTCTAACCCCTGTATCATAAATGAATAAAGAATTTCTAAATACATACGATACACTGCAGCAAATACAGTGAGCACAATTTATGCTCCATAATCATGATAATGCAAATCAATCTATGACTTCATTGTAACTAGTAAAATAACCCTAACTGCCCCAAATAAAGAATAACTTATTCTATAAATCAAGAACATGAAGAAATAAGGAATTAAAACCAGAAGTCTCTGTCGAGACTGAAGCTCTACTGGTTTGTACTTATAGCAAAAGAAGAGAAAAGTACTTAGGCAGTTGGGAATTGAAACTTTTCAACAGCAATTAATAGAAAAATGATCCTTGATTAAGTCTCTTTATGTTTTAGTGTAGTCTACTTGCATGCCACATTACATTATAATCAGACTAAAACTGTATTTGGAGTAGCATTTTGAGAGTATTAAACAGAAATTTCTATTTTTAGTAACCGTGGCAACACCGTTCATTGAAGTGAAAAACTATACAAAGAATTATGTACCTTAGTGTAGTCTACTTGTGTGCCAAGTTATATTGAAATCAGACCAAAACTGTAGGAGGTGTAGCTTTTTGAAATAATTTCACAGAAATTTCTATTTTCAGTAACCACAGCAACACCGTTCATCGAAATCAAAAACCAATATATAGAATTATGTATCTTAGTGTAGTCTACTTGTGTGCCAAGTGACATTGAAATCAGACCAAAACTGTAGGAGGAGTAGCATTTTGAAAGAATTTCACAGAAATTTCTATTTTTAGAAGCACGTCAACACAGTTCATCGAAATCAGAAACTGATAAATAGATTTATGTATAGTGTGTTCTACTTGTGTGTCAAGTTATATTGAAATCAGACCAAAACTGTAGAAGGAGTAGCATTTTGAAAAATCACAGAAATTTCTACAGTAACCAGCAACAATTTACATAGAATTATGTAACTACTTGTGTGCCATTGAAATCAATAAAACAGCATTTTGAAAGCAAATATTTTCAGTAACCACCGCAACAACGTTCATCGAAATCAAAAACCGATATATAGAATTATGTATCTTAGTGTGGTTTACTTGTGTGCCAAGTTATATTGAAATCAGACCAAAACTGTAGGAGAAGTAGCATTTTGAAACCATTTCACAGAAATTTCTATTTTTAGTAACCACGGCAACACTGTTCACGAAATCAAAAACCGATACACAGAATTATGTATCTTAGTGTAGTCTACTTGTGTGCCAAGTTATATTGAAATCAGACCAAAACTGTAGGAGAAGTAGCAATTTGAAAGAATTTCACAGAAATTTCTATTTTTAGTAACCACGGCAACACTGTTCATCGAAATCAAAAACCGATACACAGAATTAATCTTAGTGTAGTCTACTTGTGTGCCAAGTTATATAAAATCAACAAAACTGTAGGAGGAGTAGCATTTTGAAAATTGTTTCAGAAAAAAAAACGGACGGAACAGAAAATAGTGAATATAAACAAATCAATCATTTTCCGTTCTGATTTAATAACCAGGCATTATAGGTGCAATTTGAGCACAAAATTGGATCTAACTCCTTTCTGTCAGTCTAAAACTCTTAAACTTAAATTGCTCAATACGGATAAATCCACAGATTTTAAAAATTTTTATTATGTCATGACAGTCTTTGACACTAAGTTGTGGCAGGGCTCAAATACTATAGGCTTTTTGTACGGGGCTGCTAATCTGATTTGTGTCAAAACAGCTTTCAAAATCAATAAAGAGGAGTTTTTCTTCCATTGTTTGTCCTTATTTGTGTACATTTCATAATAAAAACAACCTACAGTTTATCTGATTTTTTACTATACAGTTCCATCTCTTCTTCATTTTACTATGCTTAAAAATATTGTAACTGATATGCTACACTTTAATGAATGTATTACCGTATTCTTCCTTTTTAGCACCCTACTCCCATAAGCACCCCTGGATATTGCTTGTCTGAGAATAATGGACCCTTTATGCTTTATTAACATGTTAACTTGTACCAGTTATGGTTTCCATCAGAGTTTACAAAACCATCATATCTATATACAAAACTGATTGAAAATTTGTACATGTTCCATGAAATTGACCATTCTATTGACCTGTGTCTAAGCATATAAAGAGTGATTGACACAATCTAAGACAATTCATTTTACTGAACTAAACTTTTGATGGACGGTTAAGGCATAAAATTGAATTTAACAATCAGTTTCTTTAATTTCATCATTGTTATTTCGTTATCAACATGGCTACCAAAAACTCTCTTATTTAAAGCAATATTATATGTGCCCAGGACACTAAATAAGGGGGATACTTATAACAAATATCTATAATGCAAAATAAACACAACAAGCATTTTGAGATAACATCTACATATATGCATGGATTACTAAACATGCTACTGTTCACGATGTAGGCAGAGAACAAGTACAATAGTACAATATAGTTGTTTCTAATTTTTCTTATGTAAGTTGTCTCAGAAAAACACTGAATCAATTCTTCCTGTCCTTATTTTTTTTTTTTTGAAGTGCTTTATATTAATAATTTATACACTGTAAACCAACTTTTATTCACGATGACTTTATTTCACAATTTACCAGGGGAAAACTAGTTCACAACAATTAATTTTCACAATCAAGCCTTTTTTGGATCTGTTGTTAATAGTCACAGAGACTTTAAGGACTGGTTCACGGTGACAAATATTTTGCGATGACAAGACTCTTGCGAACTACGCAAAAATTTCTCGCATGCAAATAAAAGTTGGTTTACAGTACTCCCTGCATAAAGAACTTAAATCTGACCAAATCCCTAAATGTTAGTGTGTTTAGAAGCAGCAGCCATCCTCTAATTAAAACCAGTGTCAATTCAGACATTTTAATCAAAGCGTTTAATAGCTGGTGTGTTGATGAAATCTTCATTGTGGCCAAATGGTTATTAAAAAATCTAAAGTTGTATTCATTTGGACAAAACATACTAAAACAAATTATGTCAAACAGATGGACTTCTCTTACTTTGTAAATATCAGGCCATCACTAATCAGTGATTGTCTTTGCAATAATGATATTTTTAAAGGAGTCCTTGAATCAGTTGACTTTAGAAATAAATTTAAAATCTTTTTAGCATTAAAGGAAATACTCTAAAATACTATTATTAAAGCATGTTTCTCTATTTCTCTTGCAAATGGCAAAATATCTTTCCAACTGAGCATGTATCAAGTTGGTCTCGCAGATGTGTATTGAAATTATGGTTTCATTTAAATTTATGAGAATATCTAACTGTTTTACTTAATAATGTTCATAAAATGTAACCATTCAAACCAAGTAAGACTCATGGATCATGTATTTTTTTTTTAACTTGAGTTTACATTTTTACATAAAATCTGATATTGCGTTGCCATCAGTGACGGAATATAGTCTGAGTTATGAATGGAACGTAACCACATGAAAATGTTTTAGTATCTGTATAGAGGTATATTTTTTCTTATTTTTTTAATTTATAAATAAATTTACTATAAAACAGTACCAGTATTTCAATGAATAAATATGTGACATAAAACACATAACAATTAATAACCTTTATCAACACAATCAATGTTAATACTTGATATCGCGATTACTTAACTTAGCGGAACTCTTTCGCAATGGAGGTAGGAAACGTCTGTTGACTAAGGGCAAATGTGCTATTGAATACAATGCAAGATCGATCATTGTAGAATCTATAAGGACAGATAAGTAAAAAATCCTGGTGGAATGCCTTGCTAAACAATCGCTGAACCATCCTAATAATTTTTTGAGAGGAGCCAATCCTAAATTTTTACATTTCAAACGACATTTTTAACGAAGCGGACTCTTCTCATTAAATATTCATTGTAAATCGTCACATTTTTAAGCAGATAAAATAAACTTCCCTCATTTGACAATCTACTATTTGGACAATATCTGGCAAAACATTGTGCTTTCGGCATTAAATTGTTCGAATCAGTTCGATTGTCACTACTGTAAAAAGTGCCATGTGCCCCAGAAATTTAGACCTTTCTCGACTCCCCCGCAAAAGAGCGGTAGTAAGTTAGATAACTGCGAGGTTCTCGTTGGTACTCGCGATATTACGTATTAGTCTAGCCAAATACTATAAGTAATGCTTTTACATCTTTTCTTTTAAAATACTATGTGCTTAACATGCTTTATGTATTTGCTGCATAATCAGCTTCATTTCTCTAAATACCATGTTTCACCTCAGTGAAAAATAACATACTTTTTTTTAAACAACCCCTTCAAATGCTTATTGGTCACATTTGACAGAGTAAATTCGAGTTTTCTCTATACCTCCGGCGCCTTGTCCACCTGAATAAGGTGTGTAATCTTAATGGGGCATATTTTCACTCTTTTAATGCCCACAAAACAAGTTAATTTACAGTGTCTGGCATTTTAAACAAAAATATGGGTCATATTCTCTCACAATAACTTCTTTCAACATGGCGGACCATTATCATCAAATAAAAAACATGCTTTATATTTTTTCGCATTTTAAGAATTACAGGTGATTCGATCAAAATATCCACCCAATAAGTTTGAATAAAGTTTATAGTCATATTTTTTGTTGTCAGAAAATTCAAAAAGTAGTTTGTCACATGTTTACACTGTAATAAAACCATGAAGAAATCTAGGTCATGCAATAAACTCACCTGAACTTGTGAAAATTACTCCAAGAAAGACCAATATAAATAACATTTTCTGAATCCCTAACGCCAGACCAAAGTCTGACAGTCCAGAGATGATTTGAAGCAGACATCAATAAGCTTTAAATGAGGTGCAAGACTTTCTAGTTTTTGGTAGCCCTTACATATTTCTCGTTCAATCATCCCGGCCATTACAAAAAAGTTGTGGAACTATTTTCATCGCATTATTAATGCGCTTGACAGGTGCCCGTGATTCGGTCAAGATTAATTTGTTTACATTTTCTAAAGAAAATAAGTATTGGAGATATATATAGGTATCGAAATAAGAAAGAGAAAGCGTTGAAATAATGATTTTCTCCTTCTTACACATGTTCGCTATTGAGAAAGAACAAAAAAGTTTTGATTACAATTCGAGTGTTTAATTTTTCAGGCGCAATACCTCTTGACCTTTATGGCATGAAATTTAGGCATCTGTCAAAAAAAAAGTATTACAAATTTATCTGGGATAAAAGTGTCTAGCTGCTACTCCTTTGTCTTTCTCTAAATTACAATACTATTTAGAAAAAAAAAGAAATATCCCTCGTTCTTTTATTTCTTTTCTTTTTTTTTAACTTTTTAAATAAAAAAGCAGTATTTTCCCTTTCAAGAATAAAATTGAGTAACACATAGTGGACATCATACCACAATATCATACATGCACTTCTCACCTTAATTAGTTAACTAAGAATACGTCCTATCAGTATTATACAATACATATAGATGCCTGCATTTAATTATCACGGGGCATTTTTTTTTAAACATTGATTTCTTAAAATTAAATATTACATATTTTATCATTTGCTATTATCAATATTACATAACATGCATAAGATGCATGGTTCTTCGCCTTTTTAGGAAATCTAAGATTTCCCTTGTAAATGTTTTGGAAGAAAAATATAAGAAAATACTCAGAAAATAATCTTATAATTTAGAACATGTGGAAAATTAATAAAGTTAAGTCATTAAATTAATTAATTATTCATTATCAATAAGTATATTAACAGACATGTGAGGAACAACCTTAACCCGGGGGGGGGGGGGGGGGGCTGTATTTTGTTATAGATGGAGACCATGCAGGAGGACCTGAAACCATAAACTGAGTTCAACAGATTTAATTAATTAAGTCACAATTTTGGACATCAATTATTTTATAATTTCGCGTATTTGCTTAAAAATTTGCAATTTCCTTTAAAATTTAAATTCTTACAAATTATGAAAATTTAGTTTTACTATAAAATTGTTTTCAAAGTTCTATTGGTTTGGAATTTTGACTTTTAAAAGCTTGTTCACAGTTGGATATAAACAAAAATTCGCTTCTATTCTACATGTTCTATATTCTGTAAATGAATTAAACGTCAATTAATTGAGGCTGCATTTCATCATAGAAGGAGACCACTAGATCATGGCATAAACTTGTGTCGAAGAAATATGCATGATGACGGTTTTCAAAAATCATCTCATTATCAAATCTAGTATACACACATAGTGAACGCTTTTTATCAGGTTTACAAGAGTTACAGTCCTTTATAAGAATGACTCGAAGATGTTTGCCCTGTGTTTATCTCTTTTTTGTATTTTAAGCATCTGAATATAAATCTATAGATCCAAACTATCAAAAGTTATGTGCACGGTTAATAATTTTTTCGGACAAACAGATTTACAGACACAAAAAACTATGGAATGCATCCTCTATAAATATTAACGACAGTCAATTGATGTATTGATTTTTTTCCCTCCTAAGTTGCTGTTATAACTGGATCTTTTTTATGCCCCCATAATTGAAGAGTTAGGGGTATATAGTTCTTGCCCTGCCCGTCCGTAAGTCTGTTTGTCCGTAAAAACTTTAACCTTGCCCATAACCTTTGAGTGGGCGAGGCTATGGCTTTCACATTTCACAGGTGTATCCCTTCTGAAAAGAAGTTGGGCACCACCAAATTTGACCTCTTGACCCTGGAGTTTGACCCACGCTAAAAAAAGATTCAAAAACAAACAAACAAACCAACAAAATATCAGCACTTTAACCCCTTGAAGAGTAGTTGCTTGGACTTTCATGCTTCACATCTGTTTTCTATCAATGGGTGTAATTTTTTTTTTGGACCTTTTGACCTTAGAGTTTGACCAACTTAAAAAAAAATATTAACCTTGGCCATAACTGAGTGCTAAAGCTTTCATATTTCGTAGGTGTATTCCTTGCGAGAAAAAAAAAATTGGGGGGGATACCAACAATTTTGACCTTTTGACCTTCACCTTTGGAGTTTGACTGGCATTTGAGAAACTTTTACCCTCGCCATAAGTTAGCCGGTATCAGAGAAATCAGAAGAAATGTTTAACCTCCTGTTTCAAAAATCTTATTAGTAAAATGATTTTTTTTTATCTCAAATTCTTTGAAGAAACAAAAACGTGACATCACAATCAATAAGGCGTCACAATGTCATTGACGTCATAATCAGCACGCTTTATTAGCAACATTTGTTTACGAGAGACAACACGAAAAAGGAATTGATCATTACAATCCTAGTTGAAAAGATGTCGACAAACCCGCTTGAGGTAAGATTTTTTTTTTAATTTTGTCAAATTCGTACATGTGAATGTTTAAATGAAATGGAAACTCAATATAATTGTCAGGGTGAAAATTAATAGATGTATCTCATTGTATCTGAAATTACTATACACCTATTAGTTATTATCGGACTAGGTGGCGGGTTGGGGTGGGGCACATTGTACATGTACATAAGGGTCAGAAGTTTGGTTTTAAATTGTCTTCTATCTATACTGTGATGATGCAATATAATCTTACCTAAAGCTTTGATTTATTGATATTTTATTTCCAATAATTTATCAATTGATATCATTCATATTGTCGGTCTATGACGTCACGTTATTATTACGTCATAATTACATGCATGAAGTAAAAAAATCTACTAAAAGTTTACTGGAAAACTGTTAGACCAGGAGTAAATATTGTTTAGCATGGTCATACAGTTAATTTTACTTCGGAGTAAAGTATGCATTAATTCAATCGAAGAAAGTTTTTCATTCTACAAATTGTAATTAGTTGAGGTAAAGAGCTTAGAAAACAATATTATATTGTAGAATTCTGTTGAGTTGAGAGAATGTCTGAAGAATGGCACGCTGTCTCTTAGAGACCTTGATAACAAGGTATGTGTGGCGTTAGAGATTGGGCAAAGTTTAGTTCATATGGATCATGACAAATATACCTAAACATTCTCCAGTATCTGATGAAAAAAAAACTGAATAATGCAGAACTCTTTCCTCATCATTAGATAGTCAAAGACCAATTAGTTGCAACGTGTTTAACTTTAATAGCAGAAGAGACGATCCTCCAAGGGCAGAAGAAGGCGAAGCAAGACAAAGACTGGAAGAACTGAAGAGGCAGCTGATGGCGGTGAAACTAGAGCAAAGGCTATGGAAGATCCAGAACACAGCAAGAAGGAGCCAAAGGTTATCAAACCTTCTAGGACCAAGAAAGTTCCGAAGGGAAGTGATGTTCATGTTGGAATGATAAACCAACACAAAGATTCTGATGAAGAGGTAGGGGTTAATGTATTGCTTCAGTCTTTAATTTTACAAAAAAATTACAATTTTCTTTACCAGGAAATAAAAAATAATAAAATAGTTAAGAGACATCTTTCTCCTATTATTCAGACTGTACGCAGCCTCCTTAATGAAGCTTTGGACACAGTAGTCAGACAATGTATTGCTATCGAGCACAGGTAGGGGACGCATACAGATATCAAAATATTACAACTTTTTATTGCTTAAAAGTATAAAGCAAAATGTTTATATTTCCACCTTCCAGTGATGTCATAGTTTTTTTTTTGAATCTGTTATAAATTTGATACCTTTTTAAAGTACAATTTTTAAAATCTGAAACATACTTTTGTTTGCTTATGTCTTATATCATAAAAAAAGTATGACAAAATATGCATTTTTAATTTAAACTATTATAAATAATGACAAAAAAAATTCGCATCGGCAATTTTCCGTCTTAAATTTTAAGGGAAAAATAAATTATCTTAATTTTTTATATTTCGAAGTATATAATTATACTTTATATTTCTAAAATTCCTTTTAGTCAAGCAAAAGAGCAACGTAATGTTGTGAGTACCGTGGACTTTCAGCGATCTGCAGAATTGGATGGAAGAATGAGGGCGCATATGGAACAAATGAAGGCCGAGAAACTGGCAATGCAACAGGTATCATGCATAAGAATGATACATTGTATGACTTGAAAATATATTTTTATTTGTACAAAGTTTAGTATATATCATACTTATATTGTTTTTGAATTTTTAGATTATGTACAAAACAGCCTCAGAAGTCGTCCAGGATTTATTCTCTTCCGCGGCCAACAATGCAAGGTTTATCCATTCCCTTATATACACTGACCTTTAATACAAAAATATAACATATTGTTAAATGGATATACCGGGTAGTATTGCGGAAAAATGTACGTGAAAAATCGGGAAAAAAAATTCTTACGTATATTTATATTATATGTTTATAGCAAGACTGAAGGGACAGGTGATGGCGATACAACAAAAACAGAGACTATGGAAGATCCGACAAACATCGCGAACGCTTCAGAGGTTACCAAATCTTCAAGGTCCAAAACAGGACTGACAGGAAGTGATGTTCATCTTAAAATGAGAACCCAACACAAGGAATCTGGAGAGGTAAGGTTTTATATTAAATTGAACTTGTTTGTTTGTTGTTGTTTAACATCCCTCTCGAGATTTTTTTCACTCATATGGAAAAGCCACCTAGCTCTTGCCGATTGAGAGTTGCAAATTTTGACCTATTACTCGGCGCTTAGGGCCATTGAGCAGTGTGGAATATTTTTCGTACCACCAAGATTGCGATATGGCACCTCAGTTCAGTTAATAGATTTAGTGACTAATCAATGTCTAAGTCATAACTAGTTCCGAAATTGGTCGGATAAGACAATACGCTGGATAAGACAATATTTTAAACAAATACATGTAAATTTATTGGAAAACTTAAAAGTTTACATCATTCTAGGCAAATTTCGGAGTGCAGAACAATCGGATTAGACAAGTTGCACTGTAAAATCATATTTTTAACAGGGAAAGAAAAGTATTATCAAATCATGTTGCTAATACGATATTGTTGATTTATTGTTTTAGATTGCACGCAGCATTCTTGATGACGTCTTGGACACAGTTACCAGGCAATGTATTGCTAACGAGCAAAGGTTTGTAACCCAGTTAGATCTTAAATCTTATAAATCTTTATTTCAGTGTGTATGAAAGTTGAACTTGATTTTCAAAAATATTTTTAAAATTTGAATGCTCTTTTTTCCAGTATTGAAAATGAACGGGCACTTATGTTGGTTCTTGGCTGTGTGGCAGCTTTTGATGATATGAATCAATTCACGAGGAAGTTGTATGTGGACGAGAGAAGAGAAACTCAGGAGGTTTGAATTTTGATATTCACTTCAACATTGTTTTTTTTAAGAATATTTAAAGTACGATTTCAAATAAACTATATTTTTCTATGGCAGTTGTTATACAGAGAAGCAAAGGAAAAAGTAAAGAACTTGCTGCGATCTACAGATTATAATGCCAGAATGAGGGTCCAAGTGAAACAAATAAACACCGAGAAACGGGCAAGGAAAGAGGTATTCACAAGATCACTGTAGATCACAAAATTTTCGCGACACACTACTTTTGCGAGTTATATATTTGATAATAATGAGCGAGACAATATTTTCAAACCTGTTTGATTTTGCTTTATTGTTTTTATGCTAATAAAAATAAACATGATGATAAATTTTTCGCAAGTAAACTGTATCGATCAATTATACGAAAATAAATTTCTCGCAAATAAAAGGTACAGTAATTTATTAGATTATCTGTAAAACATAGTTTGTTTCTGCTTTACCAACCGGTCTGACTCAAAACTTTTATCTCCACGGAAGAATTTTCTTTATGCATTCCAAAACTTTGTCATCTTATCATTTACAATATTTTAATTTCATATTCGCAAGCGTTTTTTTTTTAATTTAAAAATCTACATTATTTTTATATCATTTTTGGTGGGCAAGCCGATAGTCTTATATGTAATTCTCAATTGCTTAATTTTATTTATTTAATTTGTAATACCCGGTATATTACACAGATATTCTCTTAAATTTAGATTGTGTACAAGGCGGCCTCGGAAACCATTGAGGATCTGTTCTCTTGCGCAGCCAATAATGCAGGGTTTGTGCATTCGATTAATAGAAATCATCTTTTATATATTTTTTTAAAGTTATTTTGGATAATTGCGTTTAAGACATAAAAAATACTTTTTTGCATATAAATTAAAGGTTTTATTTTTAATTTGCAGCGTACAAAATGTTATTGAAACAGAGTTGACCAATGACGAGGTACGTACCTAGCTAAATCTTTCATACAGTATATAACTTTTATATTGCATTCAAAAAACATGCATATTATCAAGAATGAGTATCAATTAAATTCGTTTTTGTTTTATTTATATCTCAGGAGACAGATTGTGAGTTACCTGTGAGAGGCTGGAGAAGATTTGTGTGCTGCGGACAGACATACAAACTAAAGGTAAAGATTATACAGTCTGATAATGTACAGTGTGTCCTCTGTAACCCAGACACTTGGATATAAGAAGCTTTCAGATAAGACCCTCCCCCCTTATTTAAAAGCTTATTTTGAATGATGAAATACAGTAAAATGACTAGCACAAGCTGAAAGGTAAAAGATAAATGTTACTCAAATATATAAAATTATAAATAAATAAACAAACAGAAAAAGAAACTTTCTTTACTAGTTTATCTGTATTCAGTTATCTTAAAATTCCCTTTATACTACATCTCAACTTTTTTTCTTGTGTTTTTGCGCAAATTGCTCTGGTAAATAATATAAAATTTTCGTTTCATTTCAGCAAAAGAACAAGTTTGGATTGCTTTGTCGGCTGCGACGCTTGTTTACACGCCGTTAATTTTGTGTTTAATTTATTTTATTTGAAAACTGATTTTATTATCTTTATCAGTATTGTATATTCATTTAAGTCTGTCATTTAAAGAAAAGAGATCTGTTTTAATTATTTGGAGTAACTTTACATCATAACTCCAGTTTTCATTTTATACTAAAACCTGAACTTAAAATAAACGGGTTTTTCAGTAAACCTATGTAATAATAAAAATTGTAGTAGTTGTTTTATTGTAAAAACATTACTGAGTAATCCTTTTTAGGATACTAGCAATTTTGACCATGACCTTTTGTTTGATAAACTTTTAACATTCGCAATAAGTCACCATACGGGGACATCAGTGTTTTACAAACATATCTTGTTTATTAAATTTATCATTTTTTTTATGGGAATACTTAATACATACCCAGTAAGTCACTGAGAAATGATCTACAAATGATGGTTCATTTTGTATGGAGTGAGAGAAAGGATTGGAGGCTGAAATTTCCGGATGTTGCAGCTTTATAACTTTGACCAGAACCCTTACCTTGACTTAGGAACATTATATTTGCATGTACGAGGGTTGATCCAAAAGTTCGTGGAATTTCTTTCTAAAATTTTATCGTGATTTGATGAAAGTAATCAACAGGCATATTTATCATACAGAGTCATAATGAAACAATATTGGAAAATTTCACCACTTTCCAATAACCAATAAGGTCACACTAGCTTTCTGAAAATGGAATAGTTGTATAATCCAGGGGAGACTTCGACGTAACCTCAAGTTAGATAAGTCAGGTTTCACAACTATCCATTTTCAGAAAGCTCGTGTGACCTTATTGGTATTAGGAAAATTTTCAACCAATTTCACTTAAAATAAATAAAATAAATAAAAATTCTACGAACTTTTGGATAAGTCCTCGTATACTGGTAATTTTCAAATAAAAAAATGCATAAGAACAATACCCTGAAAATGTAACATAGTTTTTTGTCATACAATTTTGGTTTAGAAGATAATGATTCTTTCAGAAGGAGTTGTCAACTGTACAGCTATTCAACGAATCTCCCAGACAAAAAGACCTGCTTTTGCAAAGTGCTAAAAAAGTTTTTTAGCAATTTTCATTTGTTGGTTTCTGATACAATTCCTTCCAGTGTATATGGCTTATCAAAAGCTATGCTTCTCGATATTTTGATTCTGGTTTTATTTTTAAACAATGACGATATTTAAAAGCGTCACACAAACGAAAATGGGCAACTGAAAGCAGGTGTACTACAGTATACAATTGCAAGAGCTTTCAATTGTAAACAAAGCACCAAATCTAACCTATAACACAGTTATATATAAATACCATCAAGCATGGAAGGATGTGGCTGACCGCACGTGACATAAGCAACACATGGTCGCTTCGATGATTTGGGTAATTTTCATGAATGTTTTACAATAACGTCTGATAAAACATTAGCTTCTCTAAACTGCACAGTATACCTAGCAAACCGTTTTCAGTTGACTACAAAATGCTGGAATTCTTGCCAAAGCCTTAGGATTATTCATGCCATTGTTCTGACCCCACAGCACCCCAAATGTCCACTTCAAAGATCTCAGATCAATGGCCCCAGCACACTGCTGAACAATCTGGTTATTAGGCAATAATGTTCATCGCAAAGCCTGTTGTAAGTTTAAGAGTGCATAAGCTTCGTAATGAACGATTTACAGAAAACTGCCTCGGTACGTTTATGGAGTTGGTTGTGGGAGTGTAATGATATGGAAAACTGTATTACTTAAAAGTAAGACTGATTTGGCTCATATAAAAAGGACTGATGGTGGAAAAAGGCACTCTAAAGATGTTCTACCTGCAGATCCTTACCTTAACCTTCATTCTCTCCGTACCAGGAGGCACACAAGGCTTGGACATCTCTTTTCCACTGGGACCGGTTGGAGGCAGCACGGAGCGCCGTGTTCCAGGTGTTCCAGCCAGCATTGTTTCGCTCCACCTCCACCATCCGTCGCCACGTTGTCTTGGGGCGATTCTACAGTTATTTGAACTACTCCAGGGGTCTTCCCATTCAAAAGCGTCTTCAGTGCAGTCCTTATTTCCTGTGTGGTGGTTGGCTCAACCGGTTAGAGCGTTTGCTCTAGAGTCGCTAAGTAAGAAGTTGAATCTTACGTCGCGGGTTCGAATCCCACTGTGGAACGTGGAGACAAGTCATTCGGGTGAGACCGTTTAAACCGAGGTCCCGTGTCGCAGTAGGTACTGGCACGAAAAAGATCCCTCCCTGCTCAATGACCCTCAGTGCCGAGTACAGGACAAAAAATATGCAGCTCTCCATCGGCAAGTGGTGTATGGTCCCCATATGAATGAAATATTCTCCAGAGGGACGTTAAACAACATACAATCAATCAATCCTCCTCATCTTCATATTGTGGTGTCTCTGTTGAGTACTTCCTCAAGTTGTTCTCTCCATCTGGCAAGCCTCGTTTCTTTATTTTTCAGAAGCTCTCCATCTTTGCCCTTCACTGCTGCTGTTTGTTTATTACTCTTTCTTGTCAGCTGCTCTTCTATGCTGTACGATTCCTTCTGCCTCCCGTTCTCGGCTGCTTTTTATGATCACTCAGCTTTCTCTGCCATCAATCTCCTCTTGTCCTCTCTCGCACTATTCTTGACTGCTTTGTCTTTCTCCCTGTAATTTTCCTTCAACCTTGTCTTGACTCTTTCGGATCTTGTGCATCTCTATCTTTTTCTTGGTGTTTTTTCTTTCATCTATCAACTTCAAGGTGTTTTCGCTAATCCAGGGTTTACTTCTGCCTTTCCTGTAGCCAAGTGCGTCCTTTGCTGAGTTTACATATACCATCTTCTGTTGTTCTCAAATTTTCTCGATGTCTTAGTACTCTTCGAATTTCTTTCTCACACAGTCATTGAATTTTGCTTTAACTTCTTTTTAGGCTTTAACTTCTTTTTAGGCTTCTACATCCAATCTTGGTTTCAACTTTTTCTTATTCTTATATAAATGTGTGCTGAGCCGTAGCCTGATTCGGGTCTTTACCAGGTAGTGGTCGCTGTTGGCACCCGCTCCCCTCTGAACCTTAGTGTCAAGAACAGAAGATCCCCACTGTCCATTGATGAGATGGTCAATCTGGTTTTTCGCTGTTCCAGTAGAAGACACCCATATTGCTTCGTGTATGTCTTTGTTGGGAACAATGTTCCTGTGATTACAAATCTGTCGGTCTGACTAAATTCACACAGTCTTTTTCCATTTTTGTTCTGTGTTCCCAGTCCATGGATACCCATAGTTCTTTCATATCCATTATTGTCACTCCCTACCTTGGTGTTGAGGTCCCTTATGGTAATAATGATGTCGTTCTAATTACATCCATCCAAGGTCTTTTGTTACTCCTGATAGAATTGGTCTTTGTCCTCCTCTTCCTTTTCATTATGTGGCGCATATGCTTGGATCACCGACACTCTTCTGTACCTTGAATAGAATCGTTGCTGCCATGATTCTCCTACTCACGGTGTCCATTGCATGAGTGATTTCATTGCCTGCTGGCTGATCATAATGACAACTCCTCCCTCATGCAGTTCTTCATCCCCGCTGAATACGACGGTCTGGCCCGGCGTCAGTCTCATCTTCCCACCTCCTGTCCATCTGCACTCACTGATTCCCAAAATGCCCAGTTGGTATCCTTCCATTTCTCTCACAATCTGTGCTGAAGCTCCTCCTCTATACATTGTTCTCACATTCCAGTGTCCGATGGTGAATGTTTGTTTGGGTGTCACAAGGGATCTAGTCGGACACTGGGCTTCCCTAAGGCTTTCACCCCTCGTCGTCTTACTGCCATAATTGGCAGTCCCCGCTTCACCCGGTCCTCTTTGCTCTTTGATGCCCGTTGTTTCTGTAACTGTTGTTTTCCGGGAGAAGGTAGTCGGCCTACTGCCCAACCCCCAAGCTTGGAGGACCAGTGGTTTTCTGTCAGTGTGTCTTTCCCATGTGCTGCTTTGGTCCACTGCACCTTCTTCAGTCTATCCGGTGCACCCCTTACTTAGTGAGGGATTCCCTATCTGCAACCCGGGGAAGGCGCCTCCTAACCATCGCAGTCCCAGCTGAAAGTCTACCTAGAGCTGTATTTTAATCTGACAATACACAGCTTGTTTGACAATCAGATTCTTTCAAAGCAATTAACAGCAACCTTTTTCTGCCATGGTCATTTAAATTATCAGATTTAAATCTAATTCAGCATGTATTTGATAAAATGGATAGGCATGATTTGCTAAAGACAATCGCATCGCCAGACTCTGCAGCAGCTGGCTGACCAAAAACTCCACATTTAGAGTAAGAGAGTATTCCTGTGCAGTTTTTAAAACAGAATGCTTTCATTAGATACTGCTGTAGCGTAACATTTGTGTTTGTGGGGTGCATATTATAACTGATCCTTAATAACCTTGAACTGTCTATGATTTTAAGTTGAGTAATTATGACATATAAGTTTTACCTATATTGTAAACGTCGCCTGCGTGGCGCAGTGGTTAGAGCTTCTGCTATAGTGTCGCAGAGTAAGGAGATAATCCTTACGTCGCGGGTTTTAATCCCAATGTGGGACTTGGCGATCCTTAATTCGGACGAGACCGTATAAACAGAGGCCCCTTGTATAGTGCTGACACAAAAAGATCTTTCACTGCTCAGCAGCCATAAGTACCGATAGTAGGTGACAATTTGTAGCCCTCCACCGGCAAGTTGTGGCGTCTCCTTAAGAGTGGATTTTAATACGATAGACGCTAAACAACAAATAATCAGTCAATCCATCTGTTGTTTACCATATTTCTTTAAGTGCATTATTTTTCTAAATAGTAGAAATTAATATTCAAGCATTTCTGCTTTGTTAAGAACAAAAAAGACAATTTGAAATAAAATTTCTCATGTCAACATTAAAACTTAGGAAATTACATTAACATGATCATCTGTACATGTAGCATGTATTTTATTTTAAGTTGAATCCAAGGGACATACACAGCAAAGTTAGACATCAAGTCTCTGCAGTACCAGGAGAGTCTGTCTGGTCTTCATTGCCGACATTTTCAATGCGCTCTTCTTTATCAGTATGTTCTTTATCTGATCCATCTGTGTCCTTTGCAATGCTTTGAACTGAAGCTGTACTTGCAAGCAAATGAAGTTTATTTTCTAAGAGGTTGAAATTGTCTTCTTCTGAAGATATAGTGCTTGTTGGTACTGATTTGTGGCGAGAAAGACTCTGTTTAGCTGTCTGCACATTACTTGTAGGGGAAAGCGGTATCGGTGCTTGTGCTGGCATTTGAAATGGATTTTGAAAGTTGGAGAATGGGTAAGGATAGGGATAGAATGGTGAGGGAAATGGTAAGGGAAAAAATTGGTGGCACTGATAAGGATTGTCGATCTTTATACGCTTTGGATCTGCATCATTTTCGGGAGATTTTGCCTATTTGACTTATCTATTATGTAGGCAAATTCATCCGCATCATTTTTTTGAAGGGGATGGTATTTCATTTCTGTATAGTTTTTTTTTTTGAGAATGATAACATCCTTAAAAAGGATGGACTTTTGGAATATTTTGAGAGATTTGACTTTTATAAGTCGTTCTTGCATCACAGAAGCAAAGATATTGGTAATCTGTTGATAGGACGATACCATGGATTTTTCAGCTTCAAGATCTTTAATTTCTCTTTTGAGATTTTTCAGGTTCTCTTCCACTAGTCTCTTCTCTTGTCTAAAGTCATTATGAAATCTTTCCTGTCTGCATTTGAAATAGTGCATTTCTCATTATATTTTTTAGAGGGCAAAATTTTTTCAAGGATTTTCCTTTCAGCTTTGTGTACAATCCGATAGCTATTTGAGCATCTCAAAACTCTGATTCCAAATGGCGCTGGTACACTCACTGGAGCCAGTAAGTTCTCATAAACCTTTTCAGTTTTCGCCAGTACACTCCTCTTTTCTTGAAGTTTGGTTTCTATACCGACTTTTCAATCTCACACAAAGTAGAACCCATCCTCCATTTTTGAATAATAATACATGTATTTTGTTAATAAAGTTTGTAGTAAAATTTCCTTTAGATACCCCCTTTTAATGCTGTAAGGTTGAGCACAGGCAAATTTCAGGATTTAAACAGGTAAAAAAAAATTCTTTGGAAAGTTCCCCTCCCCACTTTATAGGTGCCACGACAGTATAAAATATACGCTTTTTATATTTATTGGTATTACATTTATTAGATTCATAAAAGGAAGTACGACGTCGCGGGTAAGAATCCCAATGTGAGACGTGGAGATCGGTCTTTCGAAAGTGACCTTATAAACCGAGATCCCGTAACGCAGTAGGTGCTGGCACGAAAAAGATCCCACACTGCTCAATGGCCCTGAGTTCCGCGTATAGAAGAAAACATATAGCTCTCCACCGGCAAGTGTTGGCGTATCAAATTCTCGAGAGGGACGTAAAACAACACTCAAACAAACAAACAAACAAACAAAGGAGTTATTACTTAGTACGTGCTGTTTTTATACTTTGCATTTAAAGGTGGGGGTGTGATTTAGGACATGACTTGCTTTTCAAACACTTGTTCGACTTGCGTGCCTTGATGTGAATTTTTTATATTCTACTCTTTATAAAGATCTGTAAAGGAAACCTCCCAAAAGTTTGTTTTAAATTAAGAACCACTTACCTAAAGTTGTGCATTTTCAATTTAAAATATGTTGAAATTTTTTTATACTTTAGTGCTACCTGCATAAAAATGAAAACATATCGCTTTTCTTTACATGACAACTTTAATTGAATTTATACTGAAACCGATGTGTGAAAGGGCAAAAACAACACAAAGCCAAAACAAAAACAAAACACACAAACAAAAACAACTCTGTAACTGCTTTTCAAAAGCATTCACACTCAAATTTTTGAAGAATATCATAAAATAAATTTGTTTCCCAAAACCAACTAGAACTAGATATTGAGATGGTGGTCATTTCAAAGGGCTTCGCCTAAGCAATCAACATGAAAATGTAAGGTACCTGAAAAGGGTTTCGACCTTTGATTTCGAAACTTTGTTTAAGGCCACTGCACATCCACTGACCAGTGACACTCTGTGAGTGAAGTATGAGCCACATTGGAACAAAGGGAGAGAAGATATAGCCTAGACAAGGATTTTTCATATAATTCTGCTATGACCTTAACCTTTCACCTAGAAACATGGTTTAAGGTCATTATAAATCCTTCACACAAAAACACTCTGTGGGTGAAGTTTGAGCCAAATTAGGTCAAGGAGGGAGAAGATATGATCGCGGACAGAGTGACGGATGGAAGAACGGACAGACTGATCATTATAGGGCGTCCGCAGAACAGGACCCTAATATAGAATTAGCCCACTAACAGTGAAACCGGATGGGACTATAGTTTTCCTCTGAGTCTGTCCGTCCGTCCGTCTGTCTGACCCACTTGGTTTTCCGCACTTTTTTCTAAATGTTTGCAGGTATTGAGCTGATTTTTGGTATGTAAATGTACCATACCATATGAGTAACAGACCAAGTTTGAAATTCGTTCTGCGTCATTGACTTTTGACGGAATTATGGCATTTTTAATTTTTATAATTCATTTTGGAATACAATCGTGTTCGTGATGCACTAAATTAATGTTCCAAACGAGCTTGTATCCTAAAGAGAAAAGGGTAACCCGGTAGGGGACATGACATTTTATTGCTTATGCAACATTTTCAGAATGCTTGTTTTAATATACAGAAATATAATAGAAATTGTATCATTCACAGGTTTATTGAAAACCCAGTTTATTTTAAATTCAGATTTTGGCTTTAATTGACAATTGCAGTTATGATGTAAAGAATTCCAAATAATAAAAAAAGATCTCTTTTCTTTATAAAAGGTTTAAACTAATATACAAAACATTAAAACAGTTTCCAAATAAGACAAAAATTAACGGCGTGTAAACAAGCGGCGCAGCCGAGCAAGCAACCCAGACTTATTCTTCTTTTGCTGAAATAAAAGAAAATGTTTAAGTTATTTACGACAGCAATACAGTATGTGCTAGAGAAAAATATAACAAACAAGAAAAAATAGCCTAAAGGGTATTTTAAGAGAATTTATTACAGATATAAATTTAGTGTCTTTTTCTGCTTATTTATTTAACCTTTAACACCCATTTTCATTATTCAAAATAAGCTTCAAAGAGGTTTGAAAAAAAGGGGTAGTCTTTTGGAAGCTTCATAAAGCCGGGCAACAATGTCTGGGTTATAGAGGACCCACTACAGTGTTAGACTGTATTATCTTTACCTTTTGTTTGTTTGTCTGTCCGCAGCACAGAAATCTTCTCCAGCCTCTCACAGGTAACTCACAATCTGTCTCCTGGGGTATGATTAAAACGAAAATGAATTTACTTGATACTCATTCTAGATAATAATGCACGTTTCTGAATTTAATACAAAAGTAATACATTGTTCTATCAAAAGATTTGGATGGGTACGTACGTCTTCATTGGTCATCTCTGTTTCAATCACATTTTGCACGCTGCAGATAAAAACAAAACATTTACTTTCTATGCAAAAGAAGAATTCTTTATGTCTTATAAAAAAATTATTAAAAATAAACTGTTAATAAAATATGCATTAATAATTATTAAAGCAATATGAGCTGCATGTTTGACATCGGAAAAAAAATGTTGCAAATTTCTAATTAACTATTTCAATGAAAGAAAAATAGAACATTTATAAACTTCTGTTGTTCATATTTGCTATGAAAGATCTTTTTATATGCTTCTCTTGAAGCAAAATTGAATTATTGTCGTCCTGTACAATAATGATTTCTTATAAATTACTGTATATTCGGTTGTACAGAACTATTTCTTCTGAAACATTTTTAAACTTTATTTTGGTTTTATTGATCATAAGGATTTAGAATACATACAGATTAATCATAATAACATATTTTACCAGCAAAATAAAATTCTCAAAAATGCAGCTCACATGTGATTTGTAAAAGTGAATAGACAAACCTTGCATTATTGATTGCGCAAGAGAACAGATCCTCGACAGTTTCCGAGACCGCCTTGTACACATTCTTAAAAAAAAATTAGATTATATCCGTGCAATGTATTCCAAAAACTACATACAAGACTATCTTCTTGCCCATATAGGATTTAAAAAAGGGAAATTTTTTTAAATTCAATAACGATTGCGAATATGAAGTTAAAATATAATTAATGATGGGATGACAACATTTTGGAATGAATTAAAAAATTCTTCCATGGAGACTGAAGTTTTGAGTCTGGCTGTTTTAAGGCAGTTGGTCGGGAAAACATAAACAAGTTACAGTGTATAATTTACATATTTTAAAGATGATCTAATTAACTGTAAATACTTTTTATTTGCGAGAACTTTTTTTGCGTAATTGCCAATTGGGCGACACGGTCTGTTTTCGAAAATCTTATCCTCACGTTTATTTTTATTAGCATAGGATATATACAGCAGAATCAAGCAGGCGTGAAAATTTTGTCTCGCTCCTTACTCACAAAAAAATGTGTGTTTCAAAAATTTGGTGAAGTAATCTAAAGCAATACCTGTTTTCTTGTCTCTTTCTCGGCATTTATTTGTTTCACTTGGGCCCTCATTCTGGCATTATAATCTGTAGATCGCAGCAAGTTCTTTACATTTTCCTTTGCTTCCAGATATAACAACTGTCAGAGAAATATATAAAATTTATTTGAAACCCGTCCCTTAAATATTCTTTAAAAACAAAATTTAAGTAAATGTTAAAATTTATACCTCTTGGGTTTCTCTTCTCTTGTCCGGATAGCACGTCTTTGTGAATTGGTCCATTGCTGCCACAAAGTCAAAGACCAACATAATTGCCTGTTCATTGGTAGCACTGGAATAAAGAGCATTCAAGTTTGAATATTATTTTGAAAATCAACTTTCCTATACACTGAAATAAAGATTTATAGGATTTTTAGATCTAACTGTGTTACCCACCTTTGCTCGTTAGCAATACATTGCCTGGTAACTGTGTCCAAGACTTCTTCAAGGATGCTATGTACAATCTAAAACAATAAATCAACAAACATTATAGCATAAGCAACATGATTTGATGATACTATTTTCTGGCAAGTAGTGCCTTCTCCATACGAGTGAAAATTTTTCGCGAGAGACGTTAAAAGCTACAATAAAAAAATCAAATTAATATTTAAAACCTTACCTCTCCAGATTCTTTGTGTCGTGTTCTCATTTCAAGATGAACATCACTTCCTGTCAGTCCTGTTTTGGACTTTGAAGATTTGGTAACCTCTGAAGCGTTCGAGGTGTTTATCGGTTCTTCCATAGTCTCTGTTTTGGTTGTATCGCCATGACCTGTCCATTCAGTCTCCATCTTGCTACACATATAAAATATAAAAATGATCATTAATCCGAAATAACATGTCCATTCCATATTTATATTTTTGTATTAAAGATGATAGTATATAAGGGAATGAACAAACCTTGCATTATTGGCAGCGGAAGAGAACAAATCCACGACAACTTCCGATGCTGTTTTGTACATAATCTAAAATGTAAAAAATTATATCAGTTTGATATACTAGTATACAAATGTTAATTTATGTTATTTTAATGTACAGATAAGAAATATATTTTCAGTCAAATTAGTCTCATGTACGATACTAGTACCTGTTGCATAATCAGTTTCTCAGCATTCATTTTCTCTATATGCGCCCTCATTCTTTCATCCAATTCCTCAGAGCGCTGAAAGTCTACGGTACTCACAACATTATGTTGCTCTGTTTCTTGACTGAAAGAATTGGAAAAATATAAAGTATACTAGTTTAAGATAATTTATTTTTCCCTTTCATTTAAGAGAGAAAATTGCGAATGGTTTGTCATAAGTTACTGTAATTTAAATCAAAAATATATAGGTTGTCATGTTTTTTTAATATATAATACATAAACATACACTGTCAGAGGTATAATTCAGCATTAAAAAATTGTACATTTTTACTAAACAGTATTTAATTAATGATTGGTTTTGAAGGAAAAAAAACTATGACATCACTAGAGGGTGGATATACCTCAAGTCGCTTTTTTGCTTTATACTGATAAGCAATAAAGACTTTACAAGATAACAGTTTGATGTAAGGTTACCTACCTCTGCTCGATAGCAATACATTGTCTGACTACTGTATCAAAGGCTTCATTAAGGAGGCTGCGTACAGTCTGAATAATAGAAGAAAGGTCGTTGAACTGTATTATTATTTTGTATTCCCTGATTAAAAATTGTAATATTTTAGCATATTTAAAGAAATGATACATTAGCCTTTACCTCTTCATCAGAATCCTTGTGATGGTTGATCATTCCAACATGAACATCACTTCCCTTCGGAGCTTTCTTGGTCCCGGAAGATTTGGTACCATTTGAAGCCTTCTTGCTGTGTCCTGGGTCCTCCGTAGCCCTTACTTCAGATTCACCGCCATCAGCTGCCTCTTCAGTTCTTCCAGTCTTTGTCTTGCTTCGCCTCCTTCTGCCCTTGGAGGATCGTCTCTTCTGCTATCAAAGTTAAATTCATGTGGTTTGACTATTATTGTTAAGCGAATTTGCATTTATAATTTTAAAAAGTTTTTCGTAAGACATGTATCTTATCTTTCGTGTGACCTATACTAGTATTTTGCCTTAACCTCTATTGGTACCTTTACCTTGTTATCAAGGTCTCTAAGAGACAGCGTGCCATTTTTCAGACATTCTCTCAGCTTAACAGAATTCTACAATAAAATAATAGTTTTATACTACATTTAAAAGAATTCACTTTTTTCAATAGAAATAGTGCATACCTGGCTGCGAAGTAAACTTAACTGTATCAATAAATAATTTGATGTACTAGTAATTTACTCTACATGTACCAATATCCCAGAATTTGAAAGCAATAGGTGGTGAGAACGTTTTCTGTATACCTTTTTGTTTCATGCAATGTAACTATTACGCAATTGTTTATGACGTAATAGTAACGTGACGCAAGAGCCCGACAATATGAATGTTACTGATAAATTATTGGAAAAAATATTTAAAATAAATCAAATCTTTAGCAAAGTTACGATGCATCAGTACAGCAGATAAAAGGCAATTTAAAACCAATCTTCTGACTTCTTAGGCAGCGTCCCCCCTTACCCCGGACCCGCCACGTATTTATCAACAGCTTGATAGTCCATCTGAAGTAATTTTACAAACTCACATAGTGATACGTCTATTAATTTTCACCCTGACTATTATTTTTGGGTTTTCATTTAATTTTTTTCATTTAAAAAAACCATTAACTATCTACAAATTAGACAAAGTTTACGATATCTTACCTCAATTGGACTCGCCGACATATTTAACTAAATTGTAATGATCAAATTCCCTTTCGTGTTGTCTCCTGTAAACAAATGTTGCTAATAAAGCGCGCTGGTTATGACGTCAATGACATTGTGACGCCCTATTGATTGTGATGTCACATGTCTTCGTTTTCTTTTCAATGAATTTGAGACAGCAAAAAATAAATAAATAATAATATGACTTGGTTTTTTTACTTGATTGAAAGAGATAATACATTTCTTCTGAGATCTCTGATCTCGGCCTGTGATTTTGACCAAACCATGACCCATATCGCAGAATTTTATTCAAAAGCAATGCATGTAGGTTGACGAAAAAGACAATCTTAACACTGATATTGTCCAACTGACATATAAACATATGTTATTTAAAGAAAGTTATCATTGATCCATAAGTTTTTGCCTGTGAATTATACGAGGAACGAGCAGAAAATTCTGAAAGTTTATATGTATATTTATAGAATTAAAAGAAACAACATGAAGCAAAATGTAAACTACAATGTACATGTAGTTCAATCCTCCACAGAACATAGAACTCAGAATTTCGGATGCTGGACAGGACTGTCATGCTGTGAGCCTTGTTTATACGGCGACCTTTACTCAAGCATATGTGTAAATAAACTCATGTAATTATCTTGTTGTATAAACGTAAAAGTCTATAGCTTTACTGTATACAGGGAAAATTTCGCCCCCGTTTTATTTTCACCCCTTTCGCCCTCCGTGGTCACAATAGGGCGAATTTAAAAAAGGGCGAAGTCAAAGAATACAGTATAAATTCTTAAATGGAACTGTGACTGACTGAGTTTAAAACGGGGCGAAATTGTTCGCAAGTGAAAAGTGGCGAAAATAACCCTGTATACATTATGTAGATGTAGAAATGGATTTAACGCATGATATCTGTAATGGAGAAAATAAAGATGATATCTGAAATAGAGAAAATAAAGACGAATTAATGTATCTAAATAATTTTTTCAACGAAGCACTGTAGATTATGTTATTTTTTCACAAATTTAATTTTTCCCTTTCAATACTTTATTCATAAAAAAAAAGGCGTATATAACGACAATTTTTAAACGCAATTTTAAAGGCGTTATTACGAAAGCCTATTTCAAAAAGAGAATTAAAAGGCGTTATAACGCCTTTTGAAAAGACAGGCCTTTTTCCAAAAGGCCTTTTTAAAAGGCGTTATAACGCTTTCTAAAAGGCGTTATTACGCCTTTCCATTCTAAAAGGCGTTATTATGCCTTTCCAAAAGGCGCCTTTTTTAAAAGGTGTTATTAAAAGGCGTTATTACGCCTTATGCCTTTAAAAAGCGTTATTACGCCTTTCTAAAAGGCGTTATTATGCCTTTCTAAAAGGGTTATTACGCTTTTTGAATACCCATTATTTTGCATTTAACAGGCCCGTGCTTTTAATACCCCCCCCCCCTACTGGCCAAATTCGTGGAGGGACTTCTCGGTAAAACTTCATTTAAATGCAATAATTTGCCACAGTTTTACATACTGCAACAAAATATTCAGGAACCAAGCAACCAATAGTTAATTATGAAATTTAAACTCTACAAGACTTTTCCCCAAAAAATGTGTATGTGTGGAGGGGGTATCCCATTCGCACTCGTACTACTGGCCTACTTGAAAAGGAAAATGGAAAGGCGTTATTTTATGTTAATAAATATATGAAAGATTTAATTAAAACCATCTTTATTTACGCAATTCTCTATATTCCTGCACATCTCACTGGCAAATGTTTGCATTCGTATTAAGAGAAGGCAACACTCTAATTGTGATGATCTACGATATGGGCAGATGTATCTTGGAGCTTAGCTTGCCATGAATTAAAATTCATGTCATTTGAAGATGTTTTTCTCTCTTCTTGGAAAAAAGCAGGCAAACTATCTGCATGGGTATAATGAGCAATGACCCTTGGTAGGGGTGTGCCTTGTATTAAAAAAGACTGACTTAGTTGGTTCAACATTGAAAATATATAATATATCTTTTTTCCTGGAAATCGAATTGCTATCTGCTTAAATTATTTTTTGAGAATTAAATTAGTCATATGTCTTGTTGTGAAATTCATGTCCCAAAGGTAAGATTTCTGCACCCCCCTCCCCCCCACCCCCTCGGTTGGGCTAAATATGTTTAGTCATGTATTGAAAATAAAAGGCGTAATAACGCCTTTTAGAATGGAAAGGCGTAAGAACGCCTTTTAAAAAGGCGTAATAATGCCTTTTGGAAAGGCGTAATAACGCCTTTTAGAAAGGCGTAATAACCCTTTTGGAAAGGCGTAATAACGCCTTTTAGAATGGAAAGGCGTAATAACGCCTTTTAAAAAGGCGTAATAACACCTTTTTTCGCGTTATTGCGCCTTTTTGAAAGGCGTTATAACGCTCTTTAATTTTTTTTTCTATAGATTGATCCTAATAGGCTTTCGTACTTTCTTATAACATTTGAAGAAAAAAGTTTTATATTTTGGGGAATTTTCTGCACATAAACTACAGAGAGTAAAATCAAAGAGGATTACAATCATGGAAACTATACATTTTTTTTTATTATTTTTACATTTACACACCACCTAAGAATATTACATGTATCTCGATTTTTTTGGAAGAGAATTTGTGCCCCCCGCTTAGGGAAAAAGTAAACTATGCGCAGTTCGGGAAGGGGGGGGGAGTCGGATCCCCCATGACTGAATTTGTAGAATTATTAAATGTATACATGTATACTGAAGCAAATAAAATATGCCAATATGGATAAAAAGATTTGATTGCTTATTCTTATTATGTGTATAGAAGATTATTTTTAAATGGTATATCTATCACACTGTATTGATGATTTTATGAGTTTGTACAAGCCAGACGTCATATTTTTTTCTCATATCATATGATGCTGAATACTATCATTAAAATGGGAAAAAAGTATTTTAAAAAAAAAACAGAGAAAGAAAACGCACAAGAACAAAAGTGTCAAAAACAGACAGAATTTATTGATTACTGACCTTGACCTTTTAACCTCAAAATCAATAGGGTTCAGACAGAAAGACGGACAGACGGACGGACAGACGAACTGACCCAAATCAATATCCCCCACTTTTCGAGCGGGGGACAAATATAAGAAAGTGGGGTTCCTTGAAGTAATATCCACAGAACATCGTAATGTCCTTGTTGTCCCCCGCTTTCACTGAGAATGGGGGATATTAATTTTGATCTGTCTGTCCGTATTTCTGTCTGTCTGTAACGCTTTCGTTTCCACGCGATATCTCGAGAAGTCAGAAAGTCAAGGTCATTAATCAATAAATTCTGTCTGTTTTTAACACTTTTGTTCTCGCGCGATATCTCGAAAATCCTTTGAGCTTCTGCAATGAAATTTTACATAACAACTCCCTGTTGCCTAAAGAAGACTCCTATTGATTTTGAGGTCAAACAGTCAAAGTTCAAGGTCCTCTGTGTATAAAACTTTCGTTTCCGAGCGATGTATCTGCAATGAAATTTTATACCAAAACTCCCTTGGGCCTCTCTCATCCCTCTCAGTGTCCCGCCCGTTTGTTTTATAGGTATTTTTTAAACATTTTTTTTTTTTTTTTTTTTTTTTTGCAAAATCCTTTGAATTAATCCAGAACCTATATAGCAAGATATGCAATGAAATTTTACAATATATAACAACTCCCTGTTTATTGCCTATTCTATTTTAAAAATGTTTTTAAAAAACAGACGGGATAAAATATTTTATTTATTTTTTGATTTATATCAAACATGCAAATCAAAGTTCAAGGCATATTAATTCTTCTTAATTCTGTGTATAAGAAAAACTTTATGTTGCACTGCCTACAATGGAATGTATCTGCAATGAAATTTTATAACAAAATCTTGTTATTTTTTTTCTTTTTAAAAAGTTAGGGACAGCCTCTCTCAGTGCTGCAATGCATCTCATTGTAATTGTCCCGCCCGTTTGTTTTATAGGTATTTTTTAAACTTTTTTTTTTTTGCAATTGAAGCAAGAATTTGGAAGAATTAATCCAGAACCTATATACGCAATAAATATACAGCTTTTTAATGGGTGGCACTGTAGCTCTCCGGTCTGTCAATATATTTTTCGGAGAGCTGCTGTAGCAGTTCTGCAACTGCCAAATTACTAGTTTATACACTGACTTTATTTTTCTCTTCTGAATCAACCGTAAAACATTTTTTTTTAAATTTTGATCCTAACCTTCTGCATAACTTCAGTACTTAACAGGATGACTCAAGTTAGAAGTTAAAAAAAAAACTCTATAATTGATTGGTCCAATAACCAATCAATTCACACCCCATTCAGAAAGATCCCGCAAAGGCGGCGGTGTTACACCAGAGGCGATTTAGTGAACACCAAATCGTCAGTAGAGTAAACCAAATACAAGTAATACATATATCAAATACTTTATGGCCAGAAACATGCACGCCAACGATGAAAGGAATAAGAATCATTTAGTGACGTGTTCACTATATACACTGTATATATAAGTCTTTTAATTTAGTTTTATATTCATTGTCATATTATATGGATAAATTAAAGTAAAATAAAATTTGCAACCTACCGAGTATACGTTAATAATCTTGTAGGTTTAAATAATGTACAGTTTTTTTAATTGCCAATAAAAGTTGCAAAGCAATTTTAAACTGAAAGTCTGACATACACATACAACGTTTAAGTAGGAATGAGAATCACACATGGCACTTTTAGTGGTTCAATAGCTCTATTCTTAGCGTAAACGTTTTGTATGCGTTGCAAACTTCTGTGGTTTATTTCTTGATTATAAATGAACAGATATCTATCTTTGGAAAATTAATTTTTCAAGAATGTTCAAAATCATATTTAGCAATTATTGGTTGTGATTTAGTTTGAATCTATGTAACCAATACAATAAATTTTGGTGATTATAGTAATGCCAGACTCAAAACACTATTACTTTTTAATAACGTTTCCCTATGTAAAGTTTTTAACGACAAATAAGTTGCGAAAAGTTATAAGGCAGAAAATTAAAAAAAAAAAAAGGAAAGAGAGGGTATGAAAGAGTCAGAGAGTTGTGAGAGTGAAAAATGTGTCGGGAGAGGGAGACATAGGATAGGGAAAAAAACGAAAGGGAATTATTCACTTTCTTTTTTACCTGCTCTATTCTTATGGCTCCTTGACTCCCTACTCCTGGTCGGAGTGGGGAGAAGATAACTCTCTCAGACTCAGAGTGAGGTGTGAGGAAAGTGTATGAGGAAAGAAAGGGTTTGTGAGGAGAGAGAGTTGAGGGGAAAGAGTGTGTGAGGAGAGAGAGAGAAGAGAGGTGGAGTGAGGAGGGAGAGTGTGTGTGTGAGGAGAGAGAAAGTGTGTGTGTGGACAGAGAGATGGAGGGGAGAGTGTGTGTGTGCGTGTGGACAGAGATAGAGTGAGGGAAGAGTGTGTGTGTGTGTGTGGAGAGAGAGGGTGAGGAGAGAGAGGGAGGGGGAGAGAGTGTGTGTGTGGACACAGAGAGAGAGTGAGTGTGTGTGTGTGGAGAGTGAGTAGAGAGTGTGTCTGTGTGGAGAGAGAGAGGGAGAGAATGTGTGTGTAGAGAGAGGGAGGGTGTGTGTGTGGAGAGAGACAGAGTGAGGAAAGAGAGTGTGTGGAGAGAGAGTTAGGAGAGAGATAGTGTGTGGAGAAAGAGTCTGTGTGTGTGAGAGAGAGGAGTGAGAGAGATTGTGTGGAGATAGAGAGTGTGAGGAGAGAGAGATAATCTCTTTGGAAATAACCAAAGCACTTATGTGAGCAGTTTTATTCCACATATTCCTGGAAATCTCTGTGATTTGTTTTTAGCTCAGGTTGACTTGCATATTCTGTAGCAATTATGGAGAGTTCTGGAGCAACAAGGATGCGAATATGTACAAATTGCAAATAATGAAGAAAGTCTGAAAAAATTTGAAAACAAGCACTGAAAATAAAGAAATTCTGTAAAAAATTACGTTAAAAAATATTGACAGATAACATTATAGACTGTGGATCCTCTGTCGAATAAAGAATTTCCCACCTTGTTAAAAAAGTTTCTTCCCACATCGAAGGGCTACAGAAAATGGGGGGGGGGGGTATTTTTTACCAACATTGAGTTTACTATAATAAATATAGATTTCTTTTGTCTGCTCAATAATAACATGTGAATAGCTTTTTTGTCTTTTTATTAGTCAAATGAGTGATTAATACATATCTCTCTGATTGGCTGAGATCCAACTATGTAGGCCTATCTCCAAATGTACAAAATACAGGTAAATCTAAGGCCGCATTTCATTTCCGGAATTTTTGGTAATTATCAACTTTTCATTTCCGACATATTTTAGTTTTCATTTCCGACATTTTTCAAATACATATGTAGCACCTAAAGTAACAGATTTGATAACTTTACTTATGAAAAATTTAAAGGAATAAATCATAAATAAATCATTGAAATCCAATTTTGGAAATCTATCAGTGACTTGGAGATAAGTATGGTGATGTCACCGAAATTTAATTTAGTGCACATTAAATGTTGTGATAAAGTTTTATGCTAATTGATTACATTGAAATATTTTACCTAGACTTAGTGCTACATGTATGCATATATGTATAGATGTTTTTTTTATATTAATATTTTGGTATATATTTTTAAAATTCCATTTTCTTTCACTTTCTTTCAGATAACATTGAATTGCCGCACAGGTAAATTCCGGAAATGAAAAAAAAATTATGTCGGAAATGAAAACAAAAAATGTCGGAAATGAAATAAAAAAATGTCGGAAATGCTATGCATATTTCCGGAAATGAAATGCAGCGAAATCTAAGATGAAACCTAATTACTGTTAAAACAAATTAACAATGAAAACATCTATTGTTATTTGCAAATGGGAATAATTGAATAGCTGGAATTGAATTTTTTTAATGGGAATAGGACACCATAGACCTTCTAGGTGAACAAAAGGATTTATTTTTTCTAAATTGATATAAAAATAATTTGGAAATTCTAAATACAAAGCCATGTAGTTTTCAGGAAATATATTTTCACTTAGGAAATGCATAATTTGGCGTGGGCTGGCCTCCCATTTTTTCCATACATTGTTTCAGACACAAATTCAGTATAGGAGTAATGTATGAAAACAATATAAAATAGAAAAAAGTTCACCTATCGCCCCCACCCCCAAAAAAGATTTTCAGTTCCCCTTTTTGCCTATCAGTTTTTTCTTAGGTAAGCTGAAATTTTTCTATGGCTGCATGTTCCTTTCAAAAGCGAAGCTACGTCATTGGTGGGGGTGGTTGGAGGGTGTGCAGGGGACCCCCTAGTTAGAATAATCTCTGTCTCGAAACAAGCTGTTAGAATATACCTCTCTCATACGATCGCAATGTAGCAAAAAATTGCAGAATCGCTCCGAAAATTTAAAGAAAGAGAAAGAGTGGAAAGAGAGAGAGAAAGAGTGGCGGAGAGAGAGGGAGAGTGAAGGGAGAGAGGGTGGTGATGGGGAGTGAGAGAGGGATTGAGGAGAGAGAGGGGGAAGTGGGTAGACGACAGTGACAGTGGCAAGAGAAGGAAGAGAGCGAGTCTTTTCCCACACCGAATTTTACCTGTTACCGCACCTTGATTTCTTACCTGGGATCAAAATTTCACAATCTTTATAAAGAGGCGTTGTATCTGTTTTAAAATATAAAGAAGAGCATTTTCAATATTGCATTCCAATGCTCTAGACAGCTATCCCAATTTCATTTTCTGAGTCGGCCACAACTCCTTAAGAACCCCCCCCCCCCCAATGGCGCAAGTGCGAGAATGATTCCCTTCTGCGCACAGATTTTAGCTCAAGTTATCGATAAGTGTACATGTATATTTTATTAAGATTTCTTCCTTGAATCCAACAAAAAGCCTATGGCACTTACAGGTGACCTGGGCATCTTGAAACAACTTTCCAAATTGAATTTGGTTCCTGTTTTAAACCACAGGCTATGACATTCACAATTTGGAAAGAGATTCCATTGCCCATCACAACTATACACTTAGCATACTTAGCTTGGTTACCTAATACCCATGGACAGAGTTGTGTCCTTACTTGCTGGACAGGGTGTTCAGGCTCAGGATAGACCAAAATAGCCTGGCCTGGCTTATGAACAAACATCCGCGGGATCAGAATGCTCACCGGTAAGAAGAGCTAAGCCATTATAATATACGGATTGTGCACCGTTGAGAAGCTTGTGAAGGCTGTCCCGCTGTTCCGGGACACACAGATGCATATACCGAACCAAATTAAATAATTTTGACGACTAAAAAATAAATAACAACAATAAAATGTATTATATAAAGGTTTATTAAAACCCATTTGATTTTAAGTTCAAGTCTACAGTGCAAATGTTATGATGTTAAATTTTCCTGAATTATAAAATCATATCTATTTTCTTTGAATGATATATTTAATTTTACAGATGTATTGAAACCGATGATGATAAAAATGTTAGTTTTCAAATAACTTTAAAAAAAAATTAACGGCGACCAAACAAGCGGCGCAAGCGAGCAAAGAATCCAGTCTTCTTCTTCTTTTGCTGAAATCAAACAATAATGCGAAAGTCATTTACGAGAGCAGTATATAATTATGCAATTTATGTGAGAAATAGGTTTTTAAAAATCATGCGATATTTAACAATGTATTATCCAAATTGAATTGTTTTTCTTCTGTTCATTTGGGTTGTTTATTTATTTGAGTGATTAAATTATATAAATAATATCTCCATTTTTTGATTTTCTGATAAAAACGATGTACTTCACTGAAATTAAATTTTATGTTCAGCTTTTTAAAAAAAATTATTCCTTTTAGAAAAACTTTTTTTTTTAAAAAAAGGGGGGGAGGGGGCAGTATACAATATACTTTCGTTAATCCGGCCAATAATCCAGACATTTCAACTTATACTAAATATGTTTCAGTTATCTGAACTCTTTGAATATTTGGACAATTTCTCGATAACATGTATAGATTAATGAGACCGCGCTGTACAGTGTCGGACTGTCCAAAGTAGAACCTTTATTAATAAATCAATATAATGTTTAGGCCTAAGGTAAGGATAACTTCTGTTTTTTACTTTATTTCATTTCAGAATCCGTCACACTCTTTTTAAAAGAGGGAGAGGAGACTTAAATTTTTGCAATTGATATATTTACCTTTGGTTTGGTTGTCTGTCCGCAGCAGAGAAATCTTCTCCAGCCTCTCACAGGTAACTCACAATCTGTCTCCTGAGATAAAAACAATAGGAAAATGAACTACCAAATTTATATTTCTGAATTTTTTAAATACAAAAGAGCTACTATCAAAAGAGAACTTACTTCTACATTCGTCATCTCTGTTTCCAACACATTTTGTACGCTGCAAATAAAAAAAAAAATTTTTAAAAACCACTATTTTTAAAAATACAAAGAAGGGTTTCTTTTAGATGTCTTACTCTTACACACAAGTATTCAAAATGATCTGGTAATAAAATATGTAATTATTACTAGTAAATGTGATTTGTAAAAGTAAATGGACAAACCTTGCATTGTTAGCTGCGCAAGAGAACAGATCCTCGACGGTTTCCGAAGCCGCTTTGTACACTATCTAAAGATTTAAAGAGAATTTCTGTGTAATATTATATATATTAAACTTAAGGATGTGCAACACGCCCACCCTAAACATTTTATTGAAATCATAAGAGTTATCTCCCCTTAGTGTGTTGGACGTCTTTAAATGTATACTAGTAGTTAATTTTAAAATAATATTTACACTTAAGTCTATATTTTAAAATATTTTGCTTACCAATAGAGGATTAAATAAAAAAAAATTAAAAAATTTATTCGAAATATGCTTGCGAATGTAAAGTTAAAATGATTATAACTGGCGGGAAAAACTTAGTAATTAATAAATCGGTGGTAATGGTGCGAATACCTCTTTCCTTGCCTGTTTCTCGGCGTTTATTTGTTTCACTTGGGCCCTCATTCTGGCTCTAAATTCTGTAGATCGAAGCAAGTTCTTGACATTTTCTTTTGCTTCTCTGTATAACAACTGTCAGAGAAAAATATAAGTTTATTTGAATTCGTCCTTTAAATATTCTTTAAACAAAACAATGTTAAAGTGAATATCAAAATTCAAACCTCCTGAGTTGCTCTTCTCTCGTCCACATAAAACTTCTTTGTGAATTGATTAATTTCATCAAAAGCTGCCACACAGCCAAGGACCAACATAAGTGCCTGGTCATTTGTAACACTGGAATAAAGAGCATTCAAATTTTTACAACATTTTTTAAAGTCATCTTTCATACACAATAATGATATGCAATTAAAGAAAGATCAATAATTAAGATTATTATATCTAACTGCATCACCCACCTTTGCTGGTAAGCAACACCATGCCCGGTAACTGTATCCAAGACTTCTTCAAGAATGCTGCGTACAATCTACAACATTCCAGCAACTATAAATATTACACACGCAACTTGATTTAACAATATTATATTTTTCATTCTATGATGAAAATATAACCAGCTATATTAATATTAGTAAAAAAAATCATACATCTCTACCTCTTCGGATTCTTTATGTTGTGGGCTCACTTCAAGATCAACAACTCTTTCTTTCGGAACTGTTTTGGTCTCTGGAGATTTGGTAATCTTTGACGCGTTTGTGGCATTTCTTGGATCTTTCACAACGTCTGCTTTCGTTGTATGGTCCTCGCCTGTGCCTTCAGTACTCCAAGTCTTTGTTTTGCTGCAAACATATAACATTAATTATAAAAAGGTGTATCTTTTCGATCTTTCATATACATCCAAAATAATCTGTCCATATAATATGTTTTTTTTTTCTATAAATGGTGACTCTATATATAAGTGATGGAACAAACCTTGCATTGTTGGCTGCGCAAGAGAACAAATCTCCGACAACCTCCGAGGCTGCTTTTTCCATAATCTAAAAATCGAGAAGGAATATGTGTACGATATACTAGTATCCAATACTTGAATGCTTTTAGCTCTGAAATGCAATCAAGCCGTATGTCATTCTTAAGTACCTGTTGCATTGCCAGTTTCTCGGCCTTAATTTGCTCTATATGCGCTCTCATTCTTTTATCTAATTCCGCGGAGCACTGCAAGTCCACGGTACTCACAACGTTATGTTGCTCTTTTTCTTGACTGAAAAGCATTTAAAAAATAGAACACATTTCATTTAAATTGCGATAGGCAAAAAAAAAATGGTTTCTCGTCTTAGAATTAGATCATTATTAGAATGAGATGGCCAATGCACATTATTCTAGGTCATAATTTCAAATTAATTTGACAAATTTACTAAAGTACTAATATCATATCATCGAGTGTTTAAGAAATCGTGTACAATAATCAGTAGAAGAGTCTTTTATTTATTTACAGTCAAATTGCCATGATTTAAAAAAAATGATGGGATGGATCTGCCCTTGAATGAAAAAAAAATGTAACTCTCAAAAACATGTCAACAACTTTATATATATATATACCTTGGACTCCATTGTGTTGTTGCTCTGATTATCAAGTCTTTCACGTTTTCCTCTGCTGCCTTGTATAGCAACTGTAAGCGGAAAATATAAAGTATCATATGAAATTGTCTCTACAAATTATCCTTTATTTACAACGTTTAAATGAATAACAAAATTCAAACCTCCTGTGTTTCTCTCTTCATGTCGATGTAGAACTTTCCTGTCAATTCCACCCTTTCGTCAAAAGCTGCCATGAAGGCATTGGCCAGAGTATGCGCTTGTTCGTATGCAACGCTGGAAAAAAAAACAAACAACGCTTTTTGGTGATTTCATTGATACTTTAACTCTTACTTATGACATGCAGAAAATGCTGCAGCACAATTTTGAGATCTACTATAATACTAATGGCGTAACACCTACCCATGTTCGATAGCAATGCAATGCCTAGTAACTGTATCAAAGGCTTCATCAAGTAAGCTGCGTACAATCTAAAACAGAACAACAACGATGTTGAATAATGAGTATCCAGACTGATTTATTATCTTTTCAATCTGCGAATTTGAAAAATTGTAGATCTTTTTTTAATAATTACAGAAATAATACTTTTATTTAGTCCTTACCTCTTCCGATTCTTTGTGTTGGTTGCTTATTTCAAGTTGAATTTCTTTGCCTTTCGGAACATTCTTGGTCCTGGAAAATTTGTCACCCTTTGGTTCCTTCTTGCTGTGTTTCGGATCTTCCACAGCCCTTACTTTAGTTTCACCGCGATCATCTGCCTCTTCAGTTCTTCCAGTCTTTGTCTTGCTTCGCCTCCTTCTGCCCTTGGAGGATCGTCTCTTCTGCTATTAAAGTTAAACACGTGGTACTAATGATATTCGACCTTTTTTTGATGAGTTAAAAATTTAAAAATTTTTTTTTTTAAATTTACGGACATGTCTTTCATACAAGCCAGATTTTGCCCAAATCCAACGCCACTCCTACCTTGTTATCGAGGTCTCTCAGAGACAGCGTGCCATTCTTTAGACCTTCTCTCAACTCAACAGAATTCTACAAAAGAATACCAATTCTCTTAGCACTTTATCTGAACTATCTACAATTACTAGAATGAGCTTTCATTAACTGAAATATAATGGCCACAGAGAAAAATTAACTGTAAGTCCGTGCTAAAACAATAGTTGCTCTACATGCACCAATATTCCAGTAAACAATAAGCGTCTTCTTTTTGTTAGTCTAAGATTTCTTTTGTTTTATTTTTGCACACATGCAATGTATGTATGAAGTTCCTGTTTATGACGTAACAGTAACGTGACGTCATAGTCCGAAAATGTTAATGCTTTTGAAAAACTGAATTGGAAATATAATATCAATTAATAAAAGTTTTAGATAAGATGACAATGCATCATCACAGATAATTTAAAACCAAGCTTTTTCGACCTTTTTGGTACATGTACCCCCATGACCCTCCACCAAGTCGTTAATACTGGGATAGTCCGTTTGAATTTATTTCACAAATATCTATTTATCTTCACCACGGCTATTATTTTGATTTTCATTCACTGTAAACATTTACCAGTCACGAATTCGACAAAGTCTAACAATTTCTTACCTCAATTGGATTCGCCGACATCTTTAACTAGGATATTGTAATAAACTAATTCCTGTTCGTGTTGTCTCCTGTAAACAAATGTAACTAATAAGCGCTCTGGTTATGACGTCAGTGTCATTGTGACGCCCTTTTGATTGTGGTGTCATATATATATATATCTCCTTTTTCCAACGAATTAGAAAAGGGGAAGAGGGGTAAGCAACTTTTTTTTTTACCCCTTTTGCAAAAATCACATCTAGTCAGATTAGGTGCAAATTAACATTTACACATATGTTCATTTACCCTTAGTGTTTTTTATAGTGTTCTGAACGCTTAGCAAAAGAATGAATCGTTTAAACGTCCACATTTGGCCCCCCAAATATTTACAAAAAAATAACTTGCAGATTTTCTACATAATTTTGCCCCAATCTTTCCATTAAACATTGTAGTTTATTAATTTCAATTTAAAAATTTGCTTCCATAAACTGTAATTCGGTATTTTTCTGATTAATATAGCAGGGGTACATTGTTTACATCAATTTCTCATAGACTTTAGGCCACACCCCCATTTTGTAAGCCCATTTTTTATATGAGCGCATCAATTTGCCGTTTTTATGGACAACGTAAAAAGTAATACTAATCATTTTCATCCATGAAAGAAATTGAAACAATCGTGCGCTCATGTGTTATTTTCCCAAAAACCTCAAAATCACGGGTACTTGTCTCTATAGTAAAGCTACCTTGTTTACAAATTTCAACCCGTCTTTGACCTCATGAATAACAAAGCATTGAACACGTGATTTAAATCTATTCACTTTCACGCTTTGAGCACACCATTTCTACATCGTGTCTAGAGTGTCTGCGAGCTATCCATTGTCAAATCTTATTCCATCGGCTAAAAATACTTGGACAACCCTTCTATTTAAAAATACATGTATTTTGGAGGAGTGCAAACTTGATCTATCTATATGCAAGGTTGAATTGTTTTATTTCCCTGTTATTGAACGTTATTTTTGCCATTTTCCGTTTGGTTTTTTTCTTTCGGTTAGTATCTATCGATCTACTTCGGGGGGGGGGGGGGGGGGGGGGGGGGGCTATAGCCTACATCTGTTAGTTAATCACTGCATATATTTATTAAACATAATTAAAAACTCTATTTAGGTATCGTTGATTCTGCTTTTTACTGTGTTTATATATTATACACGTGCGTCTGTTTCAAGTAAACTCTCAGTTAAACTGCTGGAAGATATTAAAAGTCATACTCCTTTTTTCTGTAAAAACCGTCATTACACACTGTTATAATCGGAAAACACTTACTAGTATTCACCATGCCTAAAAGTATAAACTGTGTTGTTTGTAAAAAGCGCACAAATAAATCTAATCGAAGAACCCTCAAGGGAAAAATAAACGAAGTACGGAGGACTGAATTAGCGCGTATTACGGGAGGAAATGTCACGGGGGATGACCACATCTGCACAAAATGTACCCTCAATATGAATAGGGGGAAGCTTCAGACTTATGGGGGCAATGTTGACGCGAAAACATTTTACATCGGCACAAAGTCAAACAAATATTGTGCTATTTGCAGATCCCGTAAAAAGTCAATGAAAACTGTTTCTAAGAAAGCCTGCGGACAGGTATGTGGCAACGCACTTTGAAAAAATTACGCACTTTGAAAAATTTTTTCAAAGTGCGTTAGAATTGGGACAATATCAACGCACTTTGAAAAAATTTTTCAAAGTGTGTTAAATTTGGGACCAACTCAACGCACTTTGAAAAAAAAAATCATATTTTAGTCATGGAAAGATTTTATTTGTTATTTTACTTATCTATCTTTCAAAAAACTAAGCCTAACCCTAACCTCAAAAATGAATTGATTTACTCCTGTCGAAAAGAGGGGAAGACGGGTATAAGATCCCTCAGTCCAAATCTTTATCATTCCAATACAAAGGTGTCGGTAACAAACTAGGGAGGGGAGCAATAAACCTAAAAAGGGTACGCTGCATTTTCAATGCTTATACGATGTATATATCTTTCCAAAATAAGTGGGGGGGGGGGGCTTAGCCCCCCATCCCCTCCCCTGGCCCTTCGCCCAGTCTCGATGTCTATGCTATACTCAAAGCATTCATATAATTATGTATTTACCTAACTGGTATGACGTTGAAAACTTTCAATAATAAATGAGTTAATTAAAACAGATGAAAACAAGAATTTTTTTAGTACAGTAAAACGTATGAGAGAGAAAAATTTTTCATAGTTTTGAACAATCAAATTGGCCCCTTTTTATTATGATAAATGCTAAGTTGCTTGAAGCTGTCCTCTGTTAGTGCCCCCTATACACCTTTACATCTACTTATCAAAGACTAGAATTTAAAAAAAGAAGAAACGAATTAATGAAGTTAAACAATCGTCACTCTTTTTTTCAAGACCCTTTAATTTTCCCTTTTATTTTATCAAAACCTTAAATATTTAAAACGTCAATATCTCAGGTCCTACTGTGACTTCATCATGAAAAAATTATCAAACCAGAATCTGTTTTTTATCATACCGATTATTTGAAGGAATATTGATCAATCTTTACATTTTTTTTCAAAGTGCGTTAATATGGTCGATATTAACGCACTTTTAATTTTTTTTTTCAAAGTGCGTTAGCTTGGTCCCAAATTTTAACGCACTTTGAAAAATTTTTTCAAAGTGCGTAATTTTTCAAAGTGCGTTGTAACACAGGTATTTCTTAAACATAATGTTATATTGCACGAAAAAGCACGTGTATGCCCCTCTCACTTGTCCAATGAACGCATTTAAAGATCAACATTATCCTGGCTTTCTATCAATATTCAACCGCATACATATATTTGGTGGAACACTCAGTTTTTTTTTTTGGGCAAAATTATATGCTATTGATAATCAATTCGACGTGTAAAAAAACTTTAATGAAATTATTTTCGCTTTAGAATTAAAATAATTATCCCTTGAGAAATAAGCTAGGTTACTGTAAAATCTTAAAAATACTTTCCTAGTCCTAAAAATACCATCTTTTGTAAGACATTATGTTTACAGACACCATATCATTGTGTTTACATTTTATTTCAACGAATTTTAAAAATAATTATTTCATTGATATACTCGTTTTAAAGCTAAGCAGTAAAAACAAAACCTAAACCTGCCAATATTATTACATAATATTATGGTCGGTCCCAAGCCCGAAGAAAAGGTGGGGGATTTTTAAGATTGTTCAGTTATTTAATAATATATCACTTAAAAACTATATTAAGTACACGTCGAACACTCGATAATATATTCACACTATTCGCACGCTTGATTGACGCTCCGCCTCCTTATTCAAATAATACAATGACCTCGTAGCCGCAATGGCGAAGTTGAGATTTGGCACTGATGTATGCAATTTTATTTCATTGATATTATGTATATATTGAGAGTCTCTCTATCAAAAAAGATTTTGAAGTGTTTGTATTCATACCATACTTGTACATTTTAGCTAAAATATGTCAATGTTCTGATTTGAAAAGGCAAAAATCCGTGTTTAAAAAGGGGCCAGATCGCAATGTTATGAAGAGTCATTCTTTACTTAAGAATAGAAATGTTGAAATAGTAAAGAAAAGATCTAGCCACATCTATGAAAATGTTCCTCTTAGCGCATAGACGAAATGCCGAGTTGAAGCGTATCTAGAAAGCCGAAAATATTTACACAATACTTAAAATTGCAAAATCTACATAACTTTTAGATTGCATTTGAATGCATTTCTTAATTTTTCACTTACACATCAAATGTAAAATTTGCACACAGTGAAAAGTGTATCCTGCATAGGCGTCGGATCCCCCCTTTCCACTTTTTTTTTCGCAAAAATAGATACAGTGTATTATATAGGCATTAAAAATTGGGGTTTACCTTTTTTTGTCGGTTTAACCCCCCTCCCCACTTTCATTTAGATTGCACCATCCTTTCAATTTCATTCCGACGCCTATGCCCTGTAAGTACGCAAGTAAAATGGGTTCGGTTCAAGAGTTTAATAAACTGCAGTTAAAATCAAAGAAATCACATGTAACATTTATCCCTTTGAGTAAATGAGCGCAACTGAATGGGGTTTGATTTTTAGAGTTTAATCAAATATCTTCGGTTAAAATCGCCGACATCACTAGCTCTGAACAAAGCTGAACAATTTTTTAAAATGATTTATTCAAATATATCATCTCGTAAAATACATTTAGTACATGACAATTAACATAAACTTCAAAGAAACAGATGAACAAAAAAAAAATCGGAATCTCCAAAACTGTCCTATATGTTGTACATGCATTTGATAAATATTGTCCCTGAAGGGATCATTTTGATTGCAATTAAAATTGACGACAAAATCATGGTTCTAAATTCCTTCAATAACAAAGGATTAGAAATATTTATTTAAAAAATGTATATGTACATGAATTATAGGCTCCATGGTATGATACATGCATTTTCATGATAACAATACGATGTTTTTAAAATTAATTTTCCCTAAATCATTTTGAGACGGATATTTTCTCCTGTTGTTCACTAGACTACGTCATCCACGTCATTTGATCGACACGACTTCCAGGCTAGAATGATTCCAAGAAGCTGTAAAAATACAACAAGATGAATGTATATTGTATTCAACTCCAAAACGTTTAACTGAAACTTAATAGCAATCCCCCCCCCAAATCCAATTTTCATACATCAAAATGACGTTTTGAAATAATACTTTTATCAAATTTACAGATGCTTAGTTTAAATCGTCACATTTCGATTGCAGACCTGTTTACCCATAACGTTGTCTCTGTATTTTTAATTTGTGTATATGGCATTTGCCAGTAAGATTCATTTTCCATCAATTTTACATATGTTAAAAGTGAAAAACTGCTTTTCTGATTACAAAAACATGCTTTAACAACAAGGTCTTTGTCATTTTATAATACAACAGCGTTTTGGCAACCTGACATCACTTATGTGTTTGAAATCTTTCTCTTCTTTAGCGATAAAAAGGGTGAACTAAGACAGATCATAATGAAAACTAACTGTTAAATTCCAAACTAACTTATTTCTGATTTTATTTTCAAATGGCAAAACAGAGGTTTTAGATTTAAAAATCCGTAAAAAATACGGCGAAATTAAGAGTAAACAGGTCTGCGATTGTTAAGCCCCCCCCCCCCCCCCCCCCCCCCCCACCCCTCCACTTTACCAGCGATAAAAATTAAATTCAAATTACTATACTTTTCGATTGTTATTTTATTCCCCCTGTGTGTTCAAGTGATCAACTGCCCTACCGTCACAAACTTACATAGTGTCTTCTGAATCCAGCACCGTGCAAATTAGAATTTGGAAACACCGACACTTTGTTTGCTACAGTACTAATTTTAAAACAGAACAGAATTTCAGAATTTCTATTTTTTTACTTTAATAATTTTAACTTTTTGCACAGCTAAAGTGAACGTATATAATGTATATAGTGCATGATCGACGTCAATTAACAAGGACATTGTGCAGTGTATAAAAAGTGAATATAGGTAGTGCGTTGTGTCGATATAAATGAGAAGTATCAGTCTTAATTAACATGATCATAGTGCCTGTTTTATTAAAGAAAATTATGGACATAAGAAACTGCACCTTTAACAATTCAAATTTTTAAAGGGGGGGGGGCAAGTTCGTATGTGTATGGCTTAAAGAAATACATTTTATTCGGATTCATTTGTTCTTGAATTTATACTAGCTATACAGAAAAAACATTTGAATCATTGCAGCAGTTACAAGAAGACAAAAAGATTACCAAGTAAAACATTTATTTGTTTAACGAACAAAATTAACAGTATATTGTAAAGCTTTATTGCCAATATAATGTTGAATTGAAATAATTTGCATAATTGATAAGACTCGTATTTAAAAGATGTTTATTTCACCAATTATTATTCCTTTCTTAAGATGTCTAATGATTTTTAAATAAAGATTTTTAAAAAATGAAACATTAATTAACAAATAATGCAAAATTATTAATAAACTAACAAGCAATATAAAATTATTAATGAACTAGAAAATATAAAATTAAAAAAGCATTTTAAAAAATCACTGTCATAACACTAAATGATTAAAAATAATACACACATTTTTCGTCACATATATGATAAAAAAAAACCTATTTATATATTTCATTGTTTTTAATTTTACAACATAGTCTGTTTAATATTCCTTATAATCTTCGTCAGCAGAACGAAATGACTTGCAGGCTAAGATGATTCCAAAAAGCTGAAAATGAAAATTCATATCAGATTAATTATTATTCTAATTTTTTATTCTGTCCTTGTGAAGTAAAGGGCGATAATAATGTAGAAGGAATGGGGCATGACCAGTTGATAATATATGTATTTTTCTACTCGATATTCAGGTACATGTACGTTGTTTTTATGCTGTCATTTTTCAAGCTGAAAATATTTATCAGTTTATTTATTTATTTAATAACAGTTGATAAATATATCATCCTGCTGTATTTTTTACTGTTAACAATGCATTCATATACAGGTAGTAACTGATCTGAATTTGTTTTTGCTTCTGTTAAATGAGAAGGATTTGAAAAGTGTTGATTAGGTTCCTATTATTTTATTCTATAAATCAATTTTGAATGATGAAAATTAAGTCACTTCCGTTTCGCACAGGACATAACCCACAAACCAAAACGTTTTTGACCTTTAAAAAACTGGGCTGTTAAAAAAGATTTTTTTTAACACCGCAATTTTTGCAGAATCTTTAAAGAATTGTGATATTTGTCAAAATGGTGCGATGGGATGATAATATCTTGAATAATTAAAATTGTATAAACTTTCTGTCGCTTGGATTTCAGAAACAGAATTTGAAATTTGTTTTCTAAAAGATTGTTTCCAAGATCTTACCTTTTCTTCATGTAAAAAATTAATGATGTTTTTATTTTTGCATTTATTATTATTTTTTTTTGTGCACAGTGCTTGAATGTGATAAAAAATATTTATTGTGAGTGAACTATATAGATAACCATCTGTTCGGGTGCATTGAATAGATGAAAGGGATTTTTGTCTGAATAAATTCTAGTACTCAAAAATCTATTAAAATCAACTTCATTGCAAAAGTTTTCAGATTGTGGTGTGATGGGGAGGGTGTTCTTGCATAATTAAAACTGTGTAAATATATGGATTTTTCTCTAACATCATTATCTGTGAAATGTGAAAGGTGTACAAGGTAAAAAATGACGATTATCGATGATACCTGAATCATTGCTATTCCGATGGCCACTCCAATAATGATGGACAGATTACTCTTCAGCTGGTCTTGTAGGGTATTTAGACAACCCTGATTGTATAAAATTAACACAATATTTTAAATCGATCATATCTACCACTGACTTGTTGAAGTATACGGCATGCATGATTGTTTTTGTTTTAAATGAAATTTATTAATTCAAAGATTTATTTCATTTTTTTTTTACCTCAGAGTACAGGTTTTTGAAGCTTTGAGTAGGATTACCGGGCATGGCCTCTTTTCTACAGTTTATAATGTTGTCATGACAACAGGAATCCGGAACAGGCTGTAAGAAATGTTTCCATCAGATATAATGACTAAACTGAAAAATCAACGCAAATCCTAACTTTCAAGGCAGAAAAATTCTAACTAAGGAGTCTTAAGACAAGTTTTTTTTTTATGAAAGAAACTCTATTTGTGCAAATGAAAGCCTCGAATGCGAAAAATGATGGAAAGTACTGTATTGGAGAAAATTACCACAGTGGCGTTAAAATGTGTAACATTGACGTAATCTTTGTAGCTATCTACTCCACAGCAATGGATCTATAAAAAAAACAAGAATAAAAAATATTGAATGAAAATATTACAAGCACTACAAGATATTACAAGCATAGCTGCAGAACTAGCGTTATGGTTTTATGTACGGGTCTTTAACAATTATGGTTTATGGTCAAAGACTAATATATAAAACCATAACGCTACAGTTCTGCGGCTATTACAAGCACTACAAGATATTACAAGGCATAACAGGTATTACAAGTATTACAAAAAACGACAAACAGAAATAATTCTTACTCTAGATCTTGTAAACATTTCATACAAATTTTAAGGAGGCTGGGGGTCAACAAATTAACCACAAATTAACCAACAGATTTAACCTACTTTTTTTTTTTAGATACGGTTTCTTAAGCTGTCAACTAACTATCATTTGGCAAAGAAAAAAATCATAATTTAGTTTTAAAATTTGATCATTTTTGTATATCTTTATATGGAGCTCTTCTTCTAAAGGAGATCGAAATAGTCTGAAAATGGCTGCACTCCCCCCCCCCCCCCCCCTTCCCAGCCCCTTTAAGACAACAACCGTAAGATTGCATGTGAATATTCGAAAAAAAGATCATACATATTAATTAACCCTTTTACTAGTATCATATATTTTTTATTATAATTCAAAATCCAAGTTCTTTATGGGATGTTGAAAATCATCAATTTACAAAAAGCTTGTAAAAATATCTTTGTTAACATTGTTTAGTTTGACTTTAAGCCATCATAGTTCTCTCTGACATGTTGTAATAAAGTTGTTATAAGCAAGGTAACTAACTATACATATAGTATTTTTACCAGATTTGTGAAATTCTCAACCGCTTGCATTTTAGTGTTGGGTGGCTGGAATTTGTATTCTGTGCTGAATAAATTATCCCCATAGCTACTAACTATAACAGTCAATCACTGTATGGATGAAAGGTCGATTGAACTAGAAAATCAAGCCCTTTTTTGTGGGGGGTGGGGGGGAGGGTGGTGGTTCCGAATTGTTTATAATTTATAAATTTATTATTCTGTTCATCTTGCTCTTACTACCTTGAATCCTTTAAAGTATTGTACGAATTATAATCAGGTGACCGTTAAGGCCCTTGGGCATATTGTTTTTAACAGGGAGGTCTAATTTGCTTAGAAAATATGTTTTATATGTTGAATGTCAAACTGACCGTTTTCTGTACATCGTCCCAGGCCTGTCTTATTAGGGAGCTGTTCTTGTATTCTGCAACCGATTTTTTTAGTGTTTTACTGAGTTCATCAGTCACCTAAAGGAAAAAATATATACATTCATTTTTTATGAATTGTAGAATATGATATCGTAGGTAAAATATCTTTTGAAATCTTTATTTTTTTTTTGTTAATGCATAACAGCCAAGTTTGTAGATTTTCATAAATGGATTTCTTTATAATGTGTTTAATTAAATGTATACATGGTTTCTGTTTTTAAAATATACCTTGGATTTGTATACTGCTGCCATTATACCTCCAGAAAACTCACCAATGAATATAATGACGAGAAAGAAAATATACTGAAAAAAACCCAAAGAGGAAATATTTGGTGTGTTGTTAGGCGTTGCTGAGATGTCAACTTTAGTTAATACTTTTGTTTGCAAACTGATTGTTAGATTTTTTTTTTTTAAATAACGATAAAAAGATATTTTTGAGCGGAAATGTATGTTTTATTTTAAAACCTAAAGCAGGAAATCAAATGACTCAGAAACATTTTAACATAACAGATAAAAGTAGATATGGAAAACGGCACTTGTAAAAGTGAAATGATCATATGTCTTGTTTTATTAGGAGACGTTCATACATGTTCTGTGAATCTAATAGTGTAAATTTATGTATAAAATTTAAATAGTCTTAAAACATGTAAAATATGATGTATCGATACAAACCAAAGCCAGGGCCCATTTCCACTGCTTACATCCCCCAAGACACCCTAGGAAGCCCACTAAGAAAACGACACTCCCGAACCCAATAAGAACATAGGCTGTGGAAGAAATTGCTTGATCATGACTGTCCACTGAAATTAACTTCTGTATATTCACAGAGTCGGGATCTACTTTCAGCCAAATTCCTGCGCCAAGGATGCCACCTCCAGAAAGCTGGAATTAAAAAATATATCTTAATGATGACAAGGTGTAAATGCATCGTCGGAAACCACGAATTTTTTGTTCAATGTGTCCACAGTTTTGAGTAGAATGGACATAAAATCCGTGGCTTGCGAGTTGTCATGAAAATTGACTCCATGTATATATAAACACATTTATTGTATATTTATATACATGATCACATAGATACTTGAACATTAAGAATTTTCTAAATTTTTAGCAAACAAATGCTGGAAAAATCAACAAACATAATAGGGAAAATTTTATAAAATATTTCCTCACCACAAATATTATGTTGAAAACCACAAGAATACACCTGGCGAACCCCGTACAACACCCGTCTCCCATGTTGCTTTTTCTCAAACTGGCAAGTATTTAAAGATGTACATATATTTCAGTGTCTGAGGGACAGAGAGAGAGGGAGAGAGAGAGAGACGTTAAGTACAATCAAAATTTTAAAACTTCCCAAACCTTTTCTCTATCTACTTCCTCCGATGCTTTCCTTCCAATAAAAAAAAATTCCTTCGTCGAAGACACTATACTTTTAAAACGGATTTTAACAAAATTCAATGATCATATCTACTTATATATACCTCCTGCTACCGTCCGCTCGTGCATTCACTCTCAAAAGGAAGTGCGCGACACTGATTTAATTTTTGTGAACTTTGAACAGTAGGGAAGATCATGTAACATTTTATATGTCTAGCGTCGTTTTTAGTCTTAATTCTTTTTTTTTTTTTTTTAGATATCTTACCAATTCAAATTTAAATCGTCGTGAAAAAGTGGAAGAATAACTGTCAAAATACAAGTAAATGAAAAGGACTTACCTCGTTTGTATAATAAAGTCTAGACTGGACTATTTAGCAGATTGTGATAACAAAAGGCCAAAGGATATCAAATAATAGCTTGAGTTCGAGGGTACTACTTTAAGAATGTAAAAATACTGCACAGTATCTCTCTAACACAAATATATATAAAACTCATCAAGATTGTGCAATTAAGGATTGTATATTAATATACTGCTGATAAATATCAGTACTTTATAATTTGAACGTAAAATCGCGTGATAATTACTCTTGAAATATGTATTAATGTTCATGTGACCTTTTGGTTAGTTATATGTAATAGCAACATGTGAATCTGTAATCAGTAGTGTGAGATAAAGGTCCCTAACACTGTCGCTGGGTTATGTTATTAACTTTATTGCCAGTATAACTGATAAAGAATGCAACAACTTGTTATCTACGTATATACATGTATATATTATATTTCATTTTAGCCTGAAAGGAATATGTAAAAGACCATACATGCAGCATTCATACTGAGGAATAGAGGATACATTACTTTAATTTGCAATATCTAATATCTCTTCCTCCTAACCCTATTCAATTAAAATATTGAATGTTCTTGTTTGAGCTATACATGCAGTCCGAATTTTCTAGAATCTCTGCCCCCTGAACCTGATAAAATTCAATAGCATCCCCATCCCTCTTTGAAATTCATTCAAGGCTTAGGTGCGATAAAACTCAAACGAGCTTATTTTATGATCTGGTCTCGATTTTACAAAAGTAATATATTCTAGGACTGAGTGTTGTAAATTTTAAATTACGGTAGCTATCAGGTTGTATAAAGTTTGTATTTGCATCCCAGTAAAATTTACAATATTTTATCAGTACTCTTTTAGGCCTGTAGCCTGAACCAACTGCATTGGAAGGTTTTTACTGGACCCTTTGACTTTGAATTCTGACTCATTTCTTTAAATTCTTATCTAAGATGTTGGATCCACACCTGACTAAAACTTAACGCGTAGTACAATTAAAAGGCGTTAATCAACATAAAAGAACTTTTTTGACGAATTTCATGTTGTTTTTTCAAGTAACATAATGAAACAAAGAACGCTGTTGTTAAAGCTTTCGAAAAAGAAGTAATAAAACTAGCTACGATAGTGCATACGTACATAATATTCGACAACATTGGAAAGTCTTATATTTTTGTTCGTTTTTCGTTTTGAAGCTATGATTACTGTCATGTTCTAAATGTATTTTGTGATATACATGTATTTTTAAAATAAATCTTCAAAATGGTTTGAGATGTTCAGCTTGCTTCAGTAGCAATGAACTCTATACGGTTTTAGTGGTAGTAATGCTGTTATACTCTAAGAGGGATAATACAATCGGAAAATGTTGATGATGGGTGAGAAATTTTGGAAAAACTTTTTTTTTAAACGTCAACATTCGTCTCTAGTTGAAATATAAATTAACGATATCAAAAAATATAATTCCGATAAATTTATCAAAGTGGAAATATTTGGACGTGTCAATTTTGATATTCAGAGGATTATCTTCTTGTCTGTATACACTGTCCGTAATGACAATCTTTCATCCCCCCACCCCCATACACACATATGTTCAAGATCAGGGCAAACCATTTTTTTTTTACTTTGTTCCTTGCATTACTTCATGTAATGCATTCGAACGTTTTGTTTAACCTAGCAGTCAGAGGGTATCTTCAAGTAGAATAAGACACATGACATCACAATCATACGGACGTCACAATGAAACTAACGTCATAACCAGCGCGCTTTATTAGCAACATTTGTTTACAGGAGACAATACGAACAGGAATTTGATCATTACAATCCACGTCAAAGATGTCGGCGATTCCACTTGAGGTAAGAAATTGTTAATCATTTAACATGAATGGAAAATCAAAATGATAGCAAGAGTGAAAATCACCGGTAATAGATGCATGTGAAATTATAATATTTCAAGTTAACTAACCCTTAGACATGTATTGATGAAAAGGTCAGAAGGGTATTAAGGAAATTAGAAAAGCTTGGTTTTAATTTGTCTGTTATTTACTCTGAAGGTGCAGCGTAATCTTCCCGAAGACTTTGAATTATCCCAAATTTAAACTTTATTTACATTACTTTATTAAATTCGTCTCTAAAAATTGTCATTGTGACGTCATAATACATTCAATTCATGATAAATAATACATTACGTGTGTGCAAAAATCTATCTAAAGCATAGTGTCTATAGTTTGCTAGGTCATACTTCGTAGCCAGGTTTGCTACTATTTTCAAGAAAGACTAGTCATTGTAATTAATTCAAATAAATGATAATAAATCTGATATTCTATTGAAGAAACCTGTGGAGCTGAGAGAATGTCTGAAGAATGGCACTCTGTCTCTGAGAGACCTTGATAACAAGGTAGGTGTGGCATTAGAGATTGGGCAAAGTTTAGCTCATATGGAAGACGAATTAATATACATAAAATGTATCTTATGCAAAAAAGCCAAATACTCAATATGATACCCCAAATAGTCAAAATTCATTTAGTTGCACCACATGTTCAACTTTCGTAGCAGAAGAGACGATCCTCCAAGGGCAGAAGGAGGCGAAGCAAGACAAAGACTGGAAGAACTGAAGAGGCAGCTGATGGCGGTGAAACTAGAGCAAAGGCTGCGGAAGACCCAGGACACGGCAAGAAGGCATCAAAGATTACCAAATCCTCTAAGACAAAGAAAATTCCGAAAGGCAATGATAGTCATGTTGAAATGAGCATCCAAAGCAAAGAATCTGATGAAGAGGTAAAGACTAAATAAAAGTATTGTTTCTGTAATTGTTCTTAAAAAATACATCTAACATTTTCAAATTTAGGGTATTAAAAGGTAATAGATTGATCGAAATGCTAATATCTGATTATGCAAAAGTTTTTTTCTGTTTTAGATTGTTCGCAGCTTACTAGATGAAGCCTTTGATACAGTTACCAGTCATTGCATTGATATCGAGTACGGGTAAGTAGCGCAATAAGTTCTTAAAAATGTGATGCGGATTTTTTGCATGTCATTAGTAAGAATTAAGATGTCAAATAATAACCCAGATACGTTTTATTCCAGAGTTGCATACGAACAGGCTCATGAACTGGCCGATGCCTTTCTGGCAGCTTTTGACGAAAGGGTGGTACTTAAACGGAAGTATTACATGGAACAGAGACGAGAAACCCAGGAGGTTTGAATTTAATTGTTATGTTCAAATAAACGTTGTATTTGAAGAATAATATTTAGTGACAACTTCATATAATAATTTAGTGACAACTTCATATAATACTTTGTATTTTATGCTTACAGTTGCTGTACAGGACAGCAGAGGAAAACGTGAACGACTTGATAATCCGAGCAACAACACAATGTAGTCCAAGGTGAATAAAGTTGTCTTATTTAAAAAGAAATTGAGATTTACATTTTTTCAATCAATCGCAATTTCATCCCATCATTTTAATTAACCAATCATGACAATTTTATTGTGAATGAATGAAAGACTTCTATTTATATACTGATCATTGTACAAAATTTCTTCAACGCCAAATGCATGATATTTATTTTTTTCAAATGAATTTGAAAATATGACCTAGAATAATGAGCATTTGATAGTTTCAAACGCATGCATCTCTCAGGACAAAAAAACTAGTTACATGTACTTTTGTCTATTGCAATTTGAAATGTGTTTTATTTTTAAAATTCTTTTTAGTCAAGAAAAAGAGCAACATGCTATTGTGAGTACCGTGAACTTTCAGCGATCTGCTAATTTGGCTGAAAGAATGAGAGTGCGTGTAGAACAAATAAACGCTGAGAAACTGGCAATGCAACAGGTACTAAAGAATGATAAACTTGAATGCATTTCTTACCTATAAGAATTAAAGTTTGGGATATATTTATCACCCATTTATTCCTTGTGGATTTTTAGATTATGGTGAACGCATCCTCGGAAGTCGTTAAAGATTTGTTCTCTTGCGCAGCCAACAATGCAAGGTTTGTTCCATCACTTACACAGAATCATCTTTTATAGAAAATAAGATATTTGATAGATTGACAGATTATTTTGGACAAATATACGTACATGTATATAAAACATCGAAAAGAAATACCTTTTTGGATTTTTATGTTATATGTTTATAGCAAGACTAAGACTTGGAGAACTGAAGAGAAAAGCGAGGACCGTACACCAAAAACAGAGGCTGTCAAGGATCCAAGAAATACCATGAACGTGCCAAAGATTGTCAAATCTTCAGAGACCAAACCAGTTCCAAAAGAAAGAGATGTTAAACTTGATGAATTGATCACCAAACACAAAAAATCTGAAGAGGTAGAGTTTTCTATACTAGTATATATTTAAAAATATTTACACGACTCTATATTTTCATCACAGAATGAAAAAATTTATTATTCAATCAAGTTGCATATGTAATATTGTTAGTTGTTTGATTGTTTTAGATTGTACGCAGCATTCTTGATGACGTCTTGGACACAGTTACCAGGCAATGTATTGCTAACGAGCAAAGGTGGGTAACACAGTTAGATCTAAAAAAAAAATATTTTAAATCTTCATTTCATTGTATGTCATTAGTTTGTATGAAAGATGATTTTCAAAAATATTTTGAAAATTTGAATGCTCTTTATTTCAGTGTTGAAAATGAACGGACACTTATGTTGGTCCTTGACTGTGTGGCAGCTTTTGAGGAAATGAATCAATTCACAAAGAAGTTGTATGTGGACGAGAGAAGAGAAACTCAGGAGGTTTGAATTTTAATATTCACTTAACCATTGTTTTTGAAGAATATTTAAGGGATATTTTCAAATAAACTTTATATTTTTCTCTGACAGTTGTTATACAGAGAGGCAAAAGAAAATGTAAAGAACTTGCTGCGATCTACAGATTTTAATGCCAGAATGAGGGCCCAAGTGAAACAAATAAACGCTCAGAAACTGGCAAGGAAACAGGTATTCATTAGATTTATTTATTATATGTGATTCTCACTTAGCGTTTTACATTTAAGATTGAAATATATTACATAGAAATTCTCTTTAATTTTTTTCTAGATTGTGTACCAGGCGGCCTCGGAAACCGTTCAGGATCTGTTCTCTTGTGCAGCCAACAATGCAAGGTTTGTCCATTCACTTTTACATATTTATTTAGTAGTTATCAATAAATATTTTTATTAACAGGTTTTTGTTGTTGTTTTTTTATTTTATATTTCCATTCGCGGATTATATTGGATAATTGTACAAGCAAATAATCAAAAATAAATACGTTTTAGCAGTACATGTATAAGTATTTATTTCCTTTGCAGCATACAGAATGTGCAAGAAACAGAGGTGACAATTGACGAAGTACGTAACCTGCTAATTAAATTAATAGAATCACCTTTCTATTACATTCAGAAACATTTTTTGAAAATAAAATGAATATCCCTTAAATTCATTTTCGTTTTATTTATATCTCAGGAGACAGATTGTGAGTTACCTGTGAGAGGCTGGAGAAGATTTCTGTGCTGCGGACAGACAAACAAACCAAAGGTAAAGATCTGGACTCAGATCCTGAGTAGTGGCAAAGTAAAATTAAAAAAACATACATTCTCTACATTACATGATTTTATTTTTGTAATCACATAAACTGCATAAATTGTTCTCGTAAATAACTGTCATGATATTTTTTTTTAATTTCAGCAAAAGAAAAAGAGGACTAGATTGCTTGCTGGGCTGCGCCGCTTCTTTGGTCGCTATTAATTTTCTGCTTTACAAATACTAGTATATATTTTATGTCGTTCGAAATCTGCGCTTACTATCATTATCGGTTTTGAAATAAATTTCAATTTCATTCAAGTTTGTCTGTTATAGTAAGATATATTTTTTATTCAGGGAAACATTACATTGTAACTTTTATTGTTATTTCTTTCTTTCTTGGGTTTCAATAAACCTTAATATTACATAATTTGTTGTCGTTATTGTTTACTCCCCCCCCTCCCCGCGCTCGAAAAGCGGGAGGATATATATAGTAATCGGGATGTCCCTCCGTCTGTCCGCTAATTGGGGTGCCCATCTCTTATCCGCAAGTCCTCTTAAACCACTGAATGAAATTTGATGCGACTTTCAGAGAACATAATGTCATTGTGCACCTCCTATTTTACTTTTTGATCCGACGCATATTTTGGATTTTCCATAGCAAAACATGGACACTGCCATTATATTCATGTGGGAGGCGGGGTATCACTTAGTGAACTCATTGCTCAGAGCTCCTCTAGCTTATCATTGAATTCAAAAATTATTTATTATAATAGTTGATGTAACATGTTGGGTTGGAAAATATTTTTAAATTCATTACGGCTCAAAAAAAATGGATATTGTAAGATAAAAATTATGTACTTATCTAATGGTGATTTTCTGAAAATAACTTTTCTTAAAATACAAGTATTTTAGTTCTGCAAAGAGTACGGGTTGAATTAGTGACCATATACACCGCTGACTCTTGAAATCTTTACGTCGCAGTTGTAAATGTCGATTTTCGAGTGGTAAATACAAGTATAGTACACCTAACTAGTAACTCATCAAGCATCTTTGGTAGCCGAGGGTTTCCAATCCGAAATCTACTCTACAACACAAGGGTTGTGAGTAGATTTCGGATAGGAAACCCTTGGCTACCAAAGATGCTCACCAAGCTACTTTCTTATTTTTTTTTCCTGTCTCAGAGCGCCGATCTAGAGGGGGGGGGGCGTCCCGACCCCTACCCCCGTAATCTGCAGTTACTAAATCTATGTACTAAACCAAGAGTGACCTTGCCCCCCCCCCCCTCCCGTCGAAAACGCAGATCTTTGGTAAGTTGGTTAGAAGTCAACGACAACCTTCCCTCCTAATTTCCCCTCCACGAAATAAGTTTTTCACGTTTGGCCGAGTTTAGTTTTTAGCTCACCTGAGCTGAAAGCTCCATTGAGCTTTTCTGATCACCCAATGTCTGTCGTCTGTCTACCTGTCCATCTGTAAACTTTTCTCGTCTTTAACTTCTTCACAAGAACCACTGGGTCAATTTACACCAAACTTGGTACAAAGCATCCTTAGGTGAAGGGGAGTATAAATTTTAAAATCCAAGGGCCAAGCCTCCTTCCAAGGGGAGAAAATCAAGAATATAGAAAAATAGGGTGGGTCATTAAGAAATCTTTTTCTCAAGAACCACTCGGCCAAAAAAGCTGAAACTTATGTGAAAGCATCATTGGGTAGTGTAGATTCTAAATTGTTTAAATTATGACCCCTAGGGGTAGGGCGGGGCCACAATAGAGAATCTTCTCAAGAACCACTGGGCCAGAAAAGCTGAAACTTATGTGAAAGCATCCTGGGGTAGTGTAGATTCTAAATTGTTCTTTATGTCTGTAACATTTTTGTTTCCATAGGCTTACTATTGCTCAGGTTAAAATGAAATTTTATATCACAGGTCTTTTCAGTTTGAGGTCAAAGTCATAAACTCATACATTCTGTCTGTGTGTAACAAATTTGTTTTTTGGCAATGTCTTTAATGTTCAATGACATAAATTTATATTAATCTGTATGTGTGCAATATATTTCATATACTCTGAAATTCTTAAAGTGGCTACAAACACAGCAAATGTTACTTCCTTCTTTCACTTTCATAAAAGCAGGCTTTGGTATATTCTCCACTATTCTGATGAGAGTACCATTACTAGACATTATATGGACATTATCACTGTTGTGACCAGCAATATAAATATTGTTCATCTTGTCCTTATCAACACCACGGGGTTCCTTAAGCTTTGGACTGCTATATTTCCACAGTTGATTTCCTTGATTGTCAATGGCTGTCACATCATTGGTATTTATGTTACTGAACACAATGTGTCCATTGTCTGTCACAGCTACATTTAAAACTATTTTTTCTACCGGATAGGAGTGAATAAAGTTCCCTTGCATATCGTACTTAAGAATTGCAGTTATGCAGGCAACATATAGAACCCCTTTCCAGACGGAAATGCCAAACAGTTTTAAATTACTTCCAACTGAAATTTTTCTAATGCTAGTAAATGTATCACTTGAAATCACATTTATACATTTTTGAGCGTAGTCGGTCACAAATAATTCATTTTCCACACACTGTACATCAAAAAGATAACTGTTGGATTGGAATGTTTTGAGAAGTGTTGAATTATCATTGGACAAAGAATACTTAGCAAGACCAGTTTTACTTGAACTGTAACTTGCTACGATGAAGGTTCCATCAGGAAGGAAAGTGCCTCCATATATTTTAGGATTCTGTATATCAAAATCATAAAGAAGAGAAAAATGTGCATTTAATAAGTCTATGTCAGAGAATGGGTTTCTTCGGTATATTTTTACTTGAGGCTTAGAACTTAATACTGCATTTCTTATCTTTTCAAGTTCTTTTGCTGAATTTGATTCGACCTTGATTTTGAGTTCATTTATGCTTCTCTTAATTTGCTTTTTCAGTGTCTCAATATTTTCTTTAATCTTATGATATTCCTTCATGAAAGAAGCACCTTCTTCTACATTTACTTCCTGGAGACTTTTTAAACAGTGCCTTGTAAATTGGATCCTATCTGAAAGAGAACCAATATTTTTGTTTAACATTTCCCTGCTCTCCTTCATAGCTTTGCTCAATTCATCCTGGTGCTCGCTTTCAAGTTTGTCCAATTGTTCAATTATTTCTTTTTTCAGCTTCTTTGTTTCTTCCGTTATAAGATCTGAGGTATTGTCTATCTCACTGATATTGTCTTCATTATTCTTTCTTGCCTCTTGCAGTTCCGTTTCATATTTTCTCAATTCTTCTTGCCATGCTTGTATATTATCACTTTTCTTTATTTTCTCCACAGCTTTCTGTATGTCGTCGATGCTGTCACATTTTCTGTGCTCCGTGCTGACACAAAGAGTGCAGCATGGCTTACTGTGATCATTGCAGTATAACTCTACCTTCCTATCAGAATGTTCTTGACAATTTTCGATTTTTATTGAAGCTGAAGTCAATTCCCTAATTGCATTGGGATCATCAATGGGAATTATTTTGTGTTTACTTGATGCTCGGCTTCTTCTGTGACATTTTGTACAGATTCTACATAAAAAATCTTGACACGTCAGACAAATATTCGTTGCCTCTTCCTCTTCACTTTCTCTTTGACACGCCGAACATATTCTAGATTCCATTAAGTCGTTCCATTCCTCGAGCATTTCACACATTGGGAATTTTTCAGCCCAGTTTTCTGGTTTGTCGCTAGGGTCTGGCGATGGAATAAATTCCCTGCAAAGCGGGCATGAAAACCCTATGGGCGCCTCTTTAGATTCACACGAAGTCACAATGTACGACGATAGACAACCTTGGCAATACAAATGTGAACAAGGCAGACATCTTGGAGACCTGAATTTTTCAAAACAAATGGAGCATGCTTTAAGGTCATATTGTGAAGGTGATGAAGCCATGTTCTATGTTCAATGAGTACCGGTATTCCACATGCTAATCTGAGAAAAAATAACAACCGAAAGTAGACTGCAGCACATGGTTTTGGTCTCTCTTTTTAGAACATCGATCCCGATCTAAAATTAGATGAACAAGATGTTATTTTACTGTTTTTACAGAATAGCATTTATGTGCATATTGTACAAATTTGTGATCAATACCTAAAAGTTTAAATAGTACTAGTAACTAGTAAATAATTACAATTATAAATATTAGATAAATCAGCCTATCTAATAAAATTTAATGGTCCGACAAGAAAAAATAAATATTACACAGCAAAAAAAAAAAAAAAAAAAAAAAAAAATCATATGTATTTTATGGAATGCCATGTACGACAGCCAACTGCTTACTGCCAACTGATGACTGCTTACTGCCAACTGTCAGCTGCTTACTGCTAACTGCCTCACATATTTAAATAAATTTTATTTTTATATTGATATTTATGTGAATTTTCAAAAAGAAGAAGAAGAAAAAAAAAGGCGCAGATCCAGGACATTTTTTCCAAGAGGTCACCCTAGTAAAATTTAAATTGACTAAACGACCATTATGTTTTAATTTATGAAATATTCAATATATGCCATTGATAAAGTACATTGTTTATTTTTATATTTATTTTCTTATTTGAAATAGGTAATAAAATGACTATTTTCTGCTTTGAATCTTTAAAGAAGTCCCCCCCCCGAGACAACAAAACCTTTGAAGAGAGAAAATGATAATAATAAAAAAAGATTTGTCTTTTCGCAGATAAAGATTTTTTGAAAATAAATTTACATTTTCCATTATATTCTGTAGTTAAAAATTTCCTGAAATTAAAGATGTATATCTCTGTGTGTTTCACATGCAAAGATCTTGGGGGTGGGGTGGGGGCATATAAATTTGTACAGTCATGGGTTAATGTATAAACTAAAAGAACTAAAACTGACCTTGGACCCTCCATTTAGAAAACACCGATCAAGCATTTATATCTCTTTGTTTTTACAAATAAGATATGTTTTACATGCATAGATCTAGAGACTGAGGTCCGGACCATCCCTCTGAAAATTGTAAAGTTATTTAATGCACAAACTAAACCCACTAAAAAGTATTCAATGTATAAAATAAATCAACTAAAAGGGACCTTTGAACTCCCCCCCCCCCCCCTCCCCCCGAAAACGCGGATTCATGTAAAGTTGGTATAAAAAATGTCATAGACATGAAGGTATGACGCATGAGAACCCCCCTCTCCCCGGCCGAAATAAATTTTCACATTAAGGAAAGGACTTTACGTTTTTGTTTTCCTTGTCAAGAAATTTCTGGGTTGGATTTTTTTTAACATCATTGACCCTCTTGGGAAAAAAAATGTTCTAGATCCGCGCCTGTTTTTTTTTTTTTTTTTTTTTTTTTTTGAAAATTCACATGAATATCAATATGAAAATAAAATTTATTCAAATATGTGTGGCAGTTAGCAGTAAGCAGCTGACAGTTGGCAGTAAGCAGACAGCAGTTGGCAGTAAGCAGTTGGCTGTCGTATATATGGCATTCCATAGTATTTTGATCTTTATATCGTTAATTACCTTTCCAATCTCTTTCTATGTCTAGGCATTTTCTATCCTCCTCTGATGTCACATATTGGTTTTAACAATTTAAAAACTGTCATTGATTTAAAAATCATATCCAAAAGAACAACGTTTCTTCTTAGAATGGTTTTCAATATGTGCAAAGTTAAATATGTTTAAGTAAAAGAATTTCATTTGTTTGCTTAAAAAATGGTGGCAAGGGCAATAACTCATTCTCATGTGTCTTCATCAAATGTTCATTCAGATATTTTCTATATTGTACTTCTAAGTTCAAGAACCGCGTATATATGTATTATTCAAATATATGTTCTAGGTAGCAAGTATTTTGGATTTTTTTTTTTCAAGCTCAGAATAACCAATTTTTACATAATATTCATGATACTGTTTACTAATCGTTTAATCATTAAATTTTTTTAAAAAATTACAAACAACTTACTTTTTTGTCTTAGTCGTACGTAGGGATCTAAGTTATTTTGTAAAACAGGCCCCTGAACTCTATAACTAGATAGAATGTTCTATCGTTAAAATGATAAATGTCCTACGGAACCGATGAGGGCTTGTCCCGAGACACAGTTAGATTATTCTAACTACTCTATAACATACAACATATCTAGTGTTTGTAACACTTTTGATTCGACGACATCTTTAAGCTTTTGCAATGAAATGACATAATATCATATATTAAACGCAACTCCTAATGACTTATATAGAGGATCTATTTTGATTTTGAGGTCAAAAGACCAAAGTCTTGGTAAGAAATTAATAGTATACTGTACTTTGCAAATTAACATTTTATAGATGGTGACTTACGGGTAAGTTATCTTTGAGCTAAATTTAATTTCACAGTTCTTTTTTCTGAATAAATTCAAAGAACTCTTTTGATTTTGAAGTATAAAGGTCAATGGTCAAGACAAATTTGGCATTGCATTATTCAGGTTTCTTCCTTTAATATCTCACATCTCCTGACCTTACATGTAAACTCTTAATTTTGGTGGCAAATTTATAAATGATAACATGTTATAGTACCATTAGTCTTTTACACATACATGCATATTTGATGTATTCCTTTTAGACAGGATTATTGTTGAAATGATTTATGTCAATTACTAATTGTATAATTGTTTTGCTATTCATTGGCTTATCTTTTCCTTATTATTGTAACAATTTCATACTTGTCTGTTATGGGCTCTAAATTAGAAATAAAATGTTCTGTTCTGTATGTCTCAATGAAGATCAATATTGATTTTTAGGTCATAAGGTCAAAGTAAAAATATTTTATACTGCACATATAGTTTTAAAATGATGATTCTAGTTTTTCTGTAAGCTTTTGCAAACTAAACTCAAGGCATAAATTTCTTTATCTTTTTTTAAAGACTGAGACTCTAAAGCCGAAAGGTAATTAAGTTGATATTTTGTAGACTCCCTATTTTGTTAATCTCAGGTGATTTTGCAATCTAATTTTTTTTATATAGATATTTGTTATCTTTGTTTTTTTGGGAATCATACGCACTGCGGCAGTATGTATTCAAAAAAATAACCTGACTTTTGAGACATATGGCAAGTGGATCCGCTCCTCTTTCTAACATGCGCGAATTGTTGCGCGATGTAATCGCAAATGGAAACAAATATGGCTGCGCCCATGATATTACTTGGAGGATGAACAAATCTATAAATGCGTGCCGATATATGAGTCTTTCTTCATTATTTTGACGACAATACACATTTCTACCTTAAAAGAAGATATATATTAAGTTTTTTGCAAGTAAGTTATGTTTGCAACAAAAGTCAATGAAATGGGCGTTTTGGTTAGAAAAAAAAATATAATTGAACTGAGCATTCTACTATTTCCTAAATATCCCATGATTTAAAAAGACAATAGCACTTTTTTCTTTGAAAAAATTAAATGAGAAGTTTTTGATGTGGTGCCTAAAAGCCAGAACCATTAATCTCAATCTTAAGGAATTGAAGCCTTAAGGGGGATGTACAAGCCATATTGGATCTATTCTGGTGTAAAATAATAAATACCAAGAATGCGCTTAATACTCCACTAAACTAGCCCAAAGTTACTCAAAGTGCTAATGCACTAATTACCTACTATTAGAGACCAAAATTAGTAAACAATTAAGTTTATTTTGTTTTAATTAGGAGGAAATTAATCATGTTAGAACTGCGCAGCTACAGCATTTACGAGATGATAAATGCATTAAAAATGGTGTTAGTTTGATTCATTGATGATATGGCTACAACCATTTGTTTCGCTCTTTTCTTGTCATTATCCATAATTCTTGAAAATTTGATTTTTCATATGGGTGTCTTCCTGAGGCCATGTGTTTATTTCGTCCGCCATTCCTCTGTCACACAGAGTTCGAATAACATTGGTTTTATAATAAATGCGACCATAATAACATCAAGACAAGAAATTACTAAGTAATAATCACTAGGTTATATTACTTCCTACTTTTATTTGTTGCATCGCGTCATCTGATTAATGAAAAAACGCAATTTTAACCCCACTCCAGCAAATCGGGAAAAACTGTTCTGTTTACAGTTCGAGTTTCCTCGTTAAAATTATTCCACTGAGCACGTGGTTGGCATGTGCATATATCTGCTGTGGATAGATCCGTTTATTACCATGATTATATTTAATTTTTCATGGAACAAGTCTTGATAATTTGTTGGTTTCTTTAAAACTCGAGAAAAAAGATATAAATGTCCTAAACATATGTGTTTACGGCGGGTCTTTTTTCTGTGGCGAAAGAAGTTATTTTCAAATGGGGCACTGCAAGGAGGATGCTTAGCATTTAATTTGAAAATGTTATACAATATGCGGTGCATGAAAAACAAATTGTAATTGCATGTCCTACATTCGAAAATTGGTACCTATGTATATTTATGTTCCCCAAACGAAGTTGGGGAACATATTGTTTTTACTCTGTTTCTTATTATTATTATTCTTCTTCTTCTTCCTGGGTACTTTTTTGTCCGGGAGTGATCTTGTAAACTGTTCATCTGATGTAGGTAAAACCTTTTTAGGGTCAGTAGACATGTTATGTAGATTTGCGGAATCAAGGTCATTTTGCGCGCACGTGCTTGCAAGACCGCGCACGTGCAACACGTGAAATGACCAATTATATTAATATAGGCGTAACTTTTTACATTTTTGATGGAATGCTTTGAAACTCATAATATAAGGTTATATTAGTGACATAGACAATATGACATGGTCAAAATAGCAAGATCTCACGCGCATGCATGTGCGCTTCGCTCTGATTGGCTGAAACTAAAGTCTCTATATCTTTCTTGTTTTTCGACGAAATCCTATGAAATTTTGAACATAGCCATGCATTAAGATATCCTACAACATGAGATATAGCAATTATTATGAAAACACGTGCATGAACGTGCGCTG